TGGATTTGCATATCTGTTACTGGATCTATGATTTCTGACTAGGTTTTGGGTCACTACTACTGCTAGGGTTTTTTTTTTAATTTTCGTCCTTTACTCGCTCGCTGTGATTCTGATTCTGCCACTTATTTTTTCTTCCTTCTTTGAAATCTTCTGTGTAAGTAGAACTGGTGTGCTTCACGATTAGGGCATAAGCTCTTTTCCATGTTCAATGAAATTGTTGAGTCGGTTCGGATTTTATACTGGGATTTGTTTGTTGTGATTTTGTTGTTAATTACTCAGAGAAAAGATTCTCCTATGGTTTTCTCAGAGTATAGATATTAATTTAAGCTTGCTCTTGTTTGCGCTCTCTGATTTGAACCTGTGGACGGTTTGTATAGTATTATTGCCTTCTATAATTTTACCATTCCTTTGTTCAGTAGCTTTTACTTTTGCTTAGAATTGTACTGGATGTGGTTCTATTTGACTACTGATTGTCGCTGATGCTGGTGTATGTCTTTATTGTGCAGAGAGAGGAATGGCTATGGAGATCACACAGTTCCTACTGGCTGCTCAGTCAGCTGATTCAAGAGTCCGTACTGAAGCAGAGGCTAGTCTCAGGCAGTTCCAAGAACAAAACTTGCCGCTGTTCTTATTATCCTTGTCTTTTGAGCTTGAGAACAATGATAAACCTGCTGAATCCCGTCGACTTGCTGGTATTCTGCTAAAGAATTCTCTTGACGCCAAAGATTCTGCCAGAAAAGATCATCTGGTGAAACAATGGTTTGCAATTGATGTTGCTCTTAAGTCCCAGATCAAGGATCGGTTACTAAAAACTCTTGGTTCATCTGCCCTAGAGGCGAGGCATACTTCAGCTCAGGTTATTGCAAAGGTAGCCTCCATCGAAATTCCTCAGAAGCAGTGGCCTGAACTTGTTGGATCGCTGCTTAACAATATGACCCAGCAAGGCAGTCCCGCACACTTGAAGCAATCAACCTTAGAAACTCTAGGCTATGTCTGTGAAGAGATATCACACCATGATCTTGTGCAAGATGAAGTGAATTCCGTCCTCACAGCAGTTGTGCAGGGCATGAACCAGTCTGAAAATACTGCAGAAGTTCGTCTCGCAGCAACAAAGGCACTGTTGAATGCCCTGGATTTCTCTCAGACAAATTTTGAGAATGAAATGGAGAGGAATTACATCATGAAGATGGTATGCGAGACAGCATGTTCCAAGGAGGCAGAGATCAGACAAGCTGCTTTCGAGTGCCTTGTGTCCATTGCGTCCACATACTACGAGGTGCTGGAGCAATACATGCCAACACTCTTTGAGCTCACATCGAATGCTGTAAAGGGAGATGAAGAGAGTGTTGCCCTCCAAGCAATTGAGTTTTGGAGTTCCATCTGTGATGAAGAGATCGATCGTCAAGAGTATGACAGTCCTGATAGTGGTGACTCATCCCCTCCCCACTCCTGTTTCATAGAGAAGGCTCTTCCCCATTTAGTTCAAATGTTGCTAGAAACTCTGCTGAAGCAGGAAGAGGATCAGGACCACGACGACGATGTCTGGAACATATCTATGGCTGGCGGGACATGCCTTGGCCTGGTTGCCAGAACGGTTGGAGATGGTATAGTCCCTCTTGTGATGCCTTTTGTTGAAAAAAACATAAGTTCGCCAGATTGGCGAAGCCGGGAGGCAGCCACTTATGCTTTTGGATCAATTTTGGAGGGCCCAACAATTGATAAGCTTGCCCCGATGGTTGCTGCTGGCTTGGAATTCCTCCTTAATGCAACCAAGGATGGGAATAACCATGTCAGGGATACAACTGCTTGGACTCTGAGCCGTATCTTTGAATTTTTGCACTCCCCAGACAGTGGCTTCTCTGTTATATCACCCGAAAACCTCCCTAGAATTGTGAGTGTATTACTGGAATCAATTAAAGATGTGCCAAATGTTGCAGAGAAGGTCTGCGGAGCAATATACAATCTTGCACAGGGATATGAAGACTCTGGAGCAAACTCCTCTCTTCTCTCTCCTTATCTCACAGAGATCATCACACATCTGCTTGCAGCTGCTGAGCGTACAGATGGGGCAGAGTCTAAGCTAAGAGGTGCTGCGTATGAAACCTTGAATGAGGTTGTCCGGTGTTCAAACCTTTCAGAGGCCTCGAGCATCATAGCGCATCTCCTCCCTGCCATCATGAAAAAATTAGCTGAAACTATGGACCTCCCGATAATATCAACTGATGACCGTGAGAAACAGGCAGAACTCCAGGCTTCTCTGTGTGGTGTTCTCCAAGTCATAATCCAGAAGCTGAGTGGCAGGGAGGATACGAAACCCATCATAATGCAGAACGCAGATGACATCATGAGGCTGTTCTTAAGAGTGTTTGGATGCCATAGTTCAAGTGTCCACGAAGAAGCCATGCTTGCAATCGGTGCTCTTGCCTATGCTACTGGAGCTGAGTTTGTGAAATACATGCCCGAGCTTTTCAAATATCTCCAGATGGGGCTGCAGAATTTCGAGGAATACCAAGTCTGCTCAATCACCGTAGGAGTGATTGGTGACATATGCCGTGCCTTGGATGAAAAAATCCTACCTTTTTGCGATCAGATAATGGGTCTCCTTATCCAAAACCTTCAAAGTGGTGCACTCCACAGATCGGTGAAGCCTCCAATGTTCTCATGCTTTGGAGACATTGCTCTGGCGATTGGTGCTCATTTCGAAAGGTATGTAGCTCCAGCTGTTCAGATCATGCAAGGGGCTGCTCAGGTGTGTGCGCAGATGGACACCCTTGACGAGGAGCTTATGGATTATGCAAACCAACTCCGGAGAAGCATCTTTGAAGCATACTCCGGAATACTACAAGGGTTCAAGGATACAAAAGCTGAGCTCATGATGCCCTACGCTCAACATCTCTTGCAGTTTGTTGAACTAGTATCCAAAGATTCCCTGAGGTCTGCATCTTATGTTTTCAATAATGAAATCAATTTATATGTCTTTTAGTTTTACTATTCAGTTTAAACTTATTACTCGGGTTTTTGTTTTGGGAGCAGGGATGAGAGCGTGACAAAAGCCGCGGTTGCAGCAATGGGTGATCTTGCGGATGTTGTAGGGGAGAACACGAAGCAGCTGTTCAAAAACTTCACCTTCTGTGGTGAGTTCCTCAATGAGTGTCTCGAATCAGAGGATGAAGATCTCAAGGTCACTGCACGTTGGACTCAAGGAATGATCGCAAGACTCATGCTCTAATCATAATTTTAAAGGCTTTTTCATCATCACTACTCGTGCGTCAGTCTGTCTCGGTCGTTATTGTTTTGAGTAAAGGTTCAAAGAATAGTTGCGGGTCTTCCTCTTTCCTCTGTCGAATGATGTGGGATAGTAGTTAAGGGGGTTTTGGGAAATTGTTTTTATTGCTCGAGGCTACTCTGTTTTGAGGCCGCGTCTTATTTTTACTCTGTAGAAGCAAACCAATCTCTTTTTCTCTTCTTTTTTTTTTTTTGGTTAATGGAATCATCCACTTATCGGTGGTCACTTTTGAGTAAAACTTTATGATTCTGTGTGTTTCTTAACGTGATCATTTCGACAGAATGTAGCAAACGATTAATTTGAGGTAAAGGCTCATCATAACTCCGATGATCTGCTCAAACACTAACTGAGAGATATCAGAATTCCGTTTATACAAAAGGTGCCAAATTTTCTTTAAAATAGCGACATTACATCATTACACCAATAGAAGTTAAAGCAACCACATCAAGAGGAAGAGAAGGTATCGATAATGGTGGTGTGAAGTGGGTCACTAAGGTGAGTCGCCCAGTTGTTGAGGGGTCCTTTACCGGTTGCAGCCGCCTGAACAGCAAAACCCAAGAATCCAACCATGGCTAAACGAGCATGTTTGATCTCAGCTAGCTGAAGCTGAGCCTTCTTCTCCGGGTCAGATGCTAGTCCTAACGGGTCAAAGAACTTGCCTCCTGGATACAAACGCTTCTCTGAGTCCAGCTCAGCGTTTCGTTGGAACTCAATGTAGCCGACCACTAACACTTCGATCCATATCAATGTCGAGATAGAGAACGGCAATGGCTGTCCTAAGTAAGACGATCCATCCACTAGCTCTACCTGATAAAACAAAAAAACGACAATCAGACAATGTCAAAACTCAAAACGCAAACGCTAAAAAAACGACGAAAAAGAGGCGATACCTTGCCGGCGTCTTGCCAAGTAACACCGGTGAGCCATTCTACGGTGATAGCGCCGAGAGTGGCGAGCATTGCCCACCGACCGTGAATCAGCTCACATTCTCTGAATCTCTGTAGCCCGAAGACTTCACTGTATGGCTGAAACGGCGTCGATTTGGGATCCACCGCCTCGGTACGGGTCCCGATCACGTCTCCGGCTAAGTTCTTGGCGAGGTTCTGGTCCAAGGAGTCCAAATCGAATTGGAGATACTCCGCCGGTTTACCTAAACCAAAAGGATCGAACCCGTAGTCCCCGACCAGAGAACCGTCGAGATACTCTGGGGATTTTGCGCCTGGGAACCATAAAGGCCGGTCTGAGATAACCGTCTTAGCCTTTTTAGGAGCGGCTTTCTTAGTTCCGAATCCGAACCGGGCTGTGAACCGGGTTGAACCAGAGCTAATGTCGGAAACCACCCGGGTACCCATGATTGAAGAAGCAGAAGCGGCGGTTGAAGTGGCAGCCATCTCCGGCGTCGTTAGTTATGTCGCGTTTGCGGTTTGTAATTTTTCTGAAGCAAATGGCGTTTTTAAGTGGCGGTATTATGTGTGGGAGAGATCTCAGAGAACGAATCTTGACGGTTGGATGGAGAAACAAATCCATCTGACGGTAGGAAACAAACTCAGCCTTATCAATAAAAAGCTCGCGTTATCTATCCTGTCTTTTAGAGTTAGATGAGGCAAGCAAGCTGATTGGGCAAAAATTAAAATAAATTATTGGCAAATCTTATACGTTGCCACTTGTCACTTCAGCAGCACATGTGTCCACTTGTATAGTTGTATGCCTTGCAAATAATAAACAGGATTCATTACAAATCCAATTATCCAAGAATATTGATAACCTGGTTCGGTATACTCAACCGAAATTCAACATTAGTTGGGTTTACAGTTTTCTCAAACCACAAAGTAAGTCTCCGTCTTGTGAAATTCGAAGAAGAAGGCTTCTCAATTTCTCGTTAAAAAAATATGATTACATGATCGCATCCGAAACAGTACAATAGACCAAGACCGGACAGCTAAGTGTTGCACAACCAAACAGTACACTCACAAGAAATTTAATAATACATTCAGGAAAATAAACCTCAGAAGCAGAGTCACTAGATACTTCTGGAATGGATGATGATCCAGAAACAAGTAGAAACTCTGTCGACAGCACTCAATCAGATCCCCGTGAAGGCAACGTCGAAGAATCGATATAAAACGTTTTACATTAAGAAGAGAGCTGGAAACGGCCACTGGGTTTTTTTCTTCTCCATCCCTGCCAAAACACCAAAGAACATATGATTCTTCAAATACTTATACAGAAGAGAAAACCCGAGGAGTAACATCAACGAGGACTTACAAAGGCAATGTAATATAGGAAAGTCAGTCCAGCCAGGATAACAAACCCGATTTGGAACACATTGTACCTGAATTATAAAACCTCAATCGCTCAATAAAACGAATCACGGATATAGATAGCATAAGGCTGCTATATGCTAAACCACTTCTACTTACTTGTAAAGGTACTTAATTCCTCTAAGCGACTGCAATGTGTGACCAAATATCTCCTGGGCAGCAGTGGCTTGAGCGTAATATCCAAATGCAGTGGCACAAAATTGAATCACACTGCATATTAAATGAACCACATTACTCAAGACTGTGAGGATTAACATGTAATTGTGAGGGTTGCAGCTGGATATTAGTCAAAAATTCTTGGTTTGACGTCCGAGAGAGAACGAAGGATACCAAAGTGCATGAGTAAAGTAATTATAAACTTCGATTAGGCATTCACCGAAAAGGAAATTAGTTTTAGTGATGGCAGGACAACACTGATTAGTTCATGTGTGTACATAAAGATGCTTGATCTAGATCCGTTTATCCGAGTGAACTTGGTCCCATCAAATACAGAGGCAGAAGAAGAGATTAGAGAGACTTACCTGATTGAACAAAGAAGAATGAGCCCGACATTGAAGAGAAAAGAGTTCATTAGAGTAGCTCCCCATCTGAAAAAAGTTGGTATGGCCAATCAGAAATTAAGAAAAGGGAAAGAATGACCTTCGAAAATAGCCACACACTGTTAAAACCGTTAGATGGATTACTTCATTGGATGAATGGTAATGAAGACCAGCTTCAAACCCAGCATCATTGCCCCAGCGATAACAGCAAGTAGAAGGTAGAAACAGAAGAAAGCAAAGGCAGCAGTGCCTAAAAGACCTGGAGATTTCCACACGTACCAGCATGGAGTCAGTTAAAAACAAAGAAGAAACCTTACATAGGATAACAAGAACAGAAGTATGAACTTACCCCAAACATCATCAAGCTTAATGAAAACCTCGTTAAGAAAAGGGGAGAGAGGAGGGTCGACGAGTAGATATATGATGATGTGTGCAACCCAAGCAATGGAAACGATCAATCTACAAAGACATTAAAAAACTGCCATTCAAAAAGACGCTTAGCTTGGGAGCTCAAGAGTGCAAACCCAAATATGGAAGAACTGTATGCATTACGCATGATTTGTACAACATGTGACAAAATAAGGCCATAACAAAAAACTGCAAAGAAGATTTTTTGCTTAGAGTACTAACCCTAAGATTCCAAGAATGAACTTGGCCAAGTATCCAAGCACAGTGAAAGCCCATGCAGTTTCTGCCTGGAAAAAAGTACCAGGGAACAAAATAGTTGAACAACAAAAAGATTATCGATTAAGTTCTAAGATACACTCGTCCTACCTGCTCTCCTTGAGGATACATCTCTTCTAAGAGGTTCACATCTTCCTCCAATTGGAGCAACTCCTGCAGGGTCACCACATTCAATTATAGGGTTGAGGGGACACAGCTTAAATTCACAATAAAGCAAAAAAAAGCTACCAATAAAGTCAATAACAAATTCTACTATCTCAGTAGCTTTTCACTACAAGTTTTCATTCCCATAACTCCACAGACAACCAAAGCTTCTTTACACGCAAAGGACCAGTATCACTAGGCAAACTTTCCAAGTTGGTACTTATGAAACAAAATTTAGATAAGATACTGAACCTTGAGATAAATGATGTACCTTTTCAACTGCTTTCACATTTTTCCTCCACTTCCTGCCCTTAGCACCACTTCTCTCTTCCTGATGAAGCCCATCAGCTGCTTTCTTTAGTTCTCTTGCCTTTTTACCTAGTTCGGTTGCCTCCTGTAAAACATTTATGGAGTTAACAAAAGCAAGAGACAGTGGGATTGACTCAAGATCTAAAGAGAGGCTTCCAGAGAAGAACAATAACCAGACCTTTATATATTGTGATCGAGTGATAACAGCCTTTGGCCGCCTGATGAATGCAGTGATAAGTCCCAGAGGTAGACATGCAATACCAACACCACCAAATATCTAGAAATATTTTGAGAGAACGATTAGTTATCAGATTTATTAACGGAAATCTATAAATCGAACATCTATTTACTTCATTGGATACAGAGTTATATCTTGCCATGTATCTCATTTGTCGAGAATTTGTGTTAGTCAATGACGAATCAACAATATAAGATAGACTAAATCCTTTCAAAACAAACAATGCACTTCTCAAGATGATAGAACAATGATCATACCGTGAAAAGAACTGACCCAACAATTGTCGCAAGAGCAACAACATACTCTGGAAAAGTAGTACGCATGGTCCATGTTTTCTCAGATGTGGGATTGGCTGTAAATGCTGAGCACTGCATTGATTAACCAGAGACATGAAATATGTTACATGCTGAAACTCTCTATGGCATAAATGTCCCATGATATAAAACTAATGCTAATACTGCAATCAAGAGGCAAACATTACCTGGCGAGCGGTGTTACCGATGCATGGTTGAGTATTTGAAAATTGCCAGGAAGTAGGGAAAGTGGAAGTGGCAGAAGCCAAGTGCCTGACAGAGAAGTCCACCTTTCCAATGACACCTACATAATGAAGATGTTAACAACAATATATAAGATATTCCTAGCATATAAATGAATAAGATATCTCAACCCAAGCCCTAATTGGGTAATTTATAAGCTAAAATTAACATAACAAAAAGATGTCAAATCATAGTGACCAGCATCAGATTCATCCATGCCACATGCTCACTAATGGTTTCAATTACCACTCCAAACTTTCGTCAATACAGGACGACGCTGAATTTCAAGTCACGAAAGAATTGAAAACACAGGAACAACTAACCATATAAAATTCCAAGCACCAGAGCACAAACAACAGCCGTGGTTACCACCCAAATTAAGGCACTTTTTATCCTCTTTCCAAGAGTCCTGCGAAAAAAAAGAAAAAGCCCACATATTGTCAACAAGATTCGACTAACTCAAAACTTAAAACGTACAAATACTAAATTTTTCATCGAGTAACGAACTTGTCCTGGTCGCCTTCATAGAAAAACATTGCGAAGGGGATGACAAAGAACACGAGAATAGCGTCCACGATATAAATAGCAAGCCAAAGATCCTTCATGGGCAAGGTGAGATTGCAAGCTCCATTGTATATAGCATGTCGACAAGCATGCCGATTGGCCACATCCGCCGGTAACATGAGAATCGAGATCATAGCAATAGACAGCCCAAAAACAACGACGAATTTGGGGAAATAAGCCTGGTTTGCATCATCTGGATGCTGGTAGTTGACGAGGAGATAGATGCTAGAGATGAAAACGATGACGCAAACAACGATCGCGACAATCACGAGAGCGAGGTTGAAATCGCCCATCGTGCGCAATGTACAAGGTCCCCAATTCGAGAGATTTCGATCCCGGAACGATTTGGAAGATGCAGCAACCTAATTGAAAAAGCTAGGGCTTTTTCGGAGTTCGAATTTGAAAATTGAATTTGGGTATTTTAGTAGATCTGGATTTCTTTCCCTCTCGAAAACCAGACGAGGGAATGAGAAAGAGGACTGGGAGGGTGATGAACGTTCTTGTAAATTACCTAGTTACCCTCATCAATGTGCTCTCGTGCCTAATGGCTTTGGGTTTAAACGTAAATTGTTACTAGGTTCGGAGATTAGCTGTCCGAAGCAAATGATTCGGACAAATATTTCAACTAATGAAAGACATCTGTAATAATAAACCAGAACCGCGCCGTATTGTCATCAAACCGGACACAATTTTAAGAACAAAAAAATCTCACATATATAGAGGGAGAATCTCCAACACTTGGCTTCAAAAACCAATTTAACGACTCTTCTGGCCAAAAGACGGTAACAGTACAAGTAGTTTGAGTAAATAAAATGATACACCTCCTATCGTGGCGAACCGAAGCTCTTCGGTCCCTTCGATCTCTGGAAAATCTCCCTCGGTTACTCGGTTAAACCCTCCGGTTAACCACCCTAAGCTTTTGTACCCTTCTCCGTGGAGCTTTGATACAGCCGCCAACGACCTGAGATTGAAGAGAAAGCCATTTATAACAACCAAACCGAACCAAAGAGAAGTTTAATTTTTACGATCCAAACCAAAAGATTCTAATGATCATATCGAATGTTAACTATATTGATTAAAGATTTGGTTAGTTTTTATAAGTTTCTCTAAAATCTGGACTAAAAGTCAATAATTAAGCTCGTACCTGAGTCCTTCACCGCACGCGACGAGCACTTTAGTCTCTTTGTCCGGGACAGCCTCCACAACACGGGGGGTGAATTCGTCATTGAACATGGTGAATCTCTGGCCTGTCCAAAGCCCAATGTATCCCAAATGAATCCATTTCTTCAGCAACGTAATCGGCCCATTGTCTGTATCCTCCACGAACAGTGGCACGTGTAAGGACCCTTTCACACGTGCCTTTTCTCTTTCCCAAGCCGGCCTCACGTCTAAGAGCACGTATCCCTCCGACGCCACAACCGTCTTGGCTTCTTTTGGCTCCACCGCCCGGACCTTGCCGGAAAGTATCAGCTCCTTACCGGATACGGCGGAGATCACTGGTAATCTGTATGGTTTTCGGAGGCGTCTGTATAGTACTACTGGTGGCTTGTGGATATGGTTTAGTTGAGGAAGAAGAAGTGTCATCTCTAAATCTTTTGGATTTTCTGAGGAATTTAACCAATTATATTCTTCTTTAGATTTTTTGCTTGCTGAGGATTCTAATTTTGAGACAATATGAGAACACCCCAAAAGCTCTTACTTATTTCCATTCTAAGTCCTCAGAGATTTCATAATTTGTCCATCACCCTCGAACTAAACTGGCACTGGGGGTCAAATGTTAAATAAGAAATATTTACGGGCCACAAAGTGTAAATCTCCTCTCCTTGAAACGACGCCGTCTTTTGATAAGGGTTGAACTTGGTTTGCCGAACCAAAAAAGAACCGGTCAAGCCCAATTAAAAGGATCCGGTCGGATAATTTCTAATGTCCTTATTAATATTTGGAACCGGTACGGAATGATCCGCCAGAGTTTTGTATTGAAGAAGATCGATTGAAAAACGAAGAGCGAATCAAAGAGGAAGAAGAAGAAGAATTCGGAGGAGGTATAGCAATGGGGGTCGACTATTACAAGGTTCTTCAGGTGGATCGGAACGCGAAAGACGACGACTTGAAGAAAGCTTATCGCAAACTCGCCATGAAGTGGCATCCAGACAAGAACCCTAATAACAAAAAGGACGCCGAATCCAAATTCAAGCAGATCTCTGAAGCTTACGATGTAAAATTCTCTTCCACAATTCGAATTCTCTTCCCTGTTTAACGATTATCTTTTTTCTGAGATATTCCCATATTTTGCTTGAATTTGATCAGTTGTGTAGTTTCTCAATTCACTATGGTTACTTCTCTGGCAATTAAGTAATCTTGATTTTCTTGTCAATTATAGAATTGTATTTGATTGATTCGTTTTTGAATTCGTTAAGGTTTTGAGTGATCCTCAAAAGCGAGCCATTTATGATCAATACGGAGAAGAAGGTCTAACAAGCCAGGTTCCGCCTCCCGGTGCTGGCGGGTTTTCGGGTGGTTCGGATGGAGGGGCTTCGTTCCGGTTCAATGGTAGAAGTGCAGATGACATCTTCTCCGAGTTCTTTGGCTTCACAAGACCCTTTGGTGACTCACGTGGTGCAGGTCCCTCTAATGGCTTCCGGTTCGCGGAAGACGTTTTTTCCTCGAATGTTACAATGAGGAAAGCTGCCCCTATTGAGAGACAACTTCCTTGTAGTTTGGAGGATCTCTACAAAGGAATCTCTAAGAAGATGAAGATCTCTCGGGACGTTCTCGATTCAAGCGGGTCAGTTTTTCTGCTACATTGTCATGATTTGAGTTTTAAGAATCACCCTTTTATGTATTTTAAGTTCCAAAACATTGATTTGCTTAGAAAGGGTCCATATTAGTGTTCTCTGTGACCATGTTTGAGTTTTTGAAATCTGGAGATTTGGAACTGGATGGATACATGAAAGATTTAATGTTAGAAATTAGTCATTAGCCATTGGATAGATAATATCATAAATAGTGCAGTTATGTGAATTCCGGTGTTTCGGAGTTGATGGGCACTTGACTAAGTATTAGCAGTGAAGAATGAGTGAATCTGAGAATAATCCATTTGCACATTTGAGACATCAGGCAGGAGACATTGAGTTGCTTTCTATGTAGCTTCGATGCTGTTGTTTTTGGTAATGCAAGTTGAAAGTGTATTCTTTGTTCCACTGCAGGAGACCCACAACAGTTGAGGAGATCTTGACAATAGAAATCAAGCCAGGGTGGAAGAAAGGTACGAAGATAACCTTCCCGGAGAAAGGAAACGAGCAGCGAGGAATCATACCATCAGATCTTGTATTCATAGTTGATGAGAAGCCACATGCTGTGTTCAAGCGAGACGGGAATGACCTTGTGATGACACAGAAGATCCCTCTCGTGGAAGCCCTCACGGGATACACCGCTCAGGTCACGACTCTGGACGGAAGATCAGTAACGGTTCCAGTCAACAACGTGATTAGCCCTTCTTATGAAGAGGTGGTGAAAGGCGAAGGCATGCCAATCCCTAAAGACCCATCAAAAAAAGGGAACTTGAGAATCAAGTTCAATGTTAAGTTCCCATCAAGGCTAACAACAGAGCAGAAATCTGGAATCAAACGAATGTTTTCGTCTTCGTAGTCTGTCTCTTTCTCTCTTACTGCTACGTTTGATTTTCGGTTATATCAGTTGGCGCTTTGGGAGGTCGTTGTGAAATGCGTAGGTGTGTGGGTCTTTGTTTGGGAGATTGTGAGGTTCTTGAACGATGTCGCATTGAGGTTTCTCAACGTCATCCTTCAAAGCTTTTTGGTTTGGCGTTTTATATTTTGGTAGTTTTTTTTGTTTTTTTTTCTTTAATTGTATTAGATTGGGGGGAAAATAAACTAAATAAAGATTCTTTGCTTTTTTAGTTTGTTTAGAGCTTTCAAATTTTCCAAACAAATACAAGGAAATAAACATATGTATGGAACCAGCCCCTGCATTCTTTTCTATATAGTTCAACAAAAACAATTTCTAAAATTATTTGATAACAAAACATATCAATAAAACTTTTCATGTTTTGTTCTAACAAATCTTCCACAAACAGACGACGGTCACGTGATTTGGGTTAAGAGAGCTAAGAGGAGGTGAGAGTCGTGATTCGTGAATTTGGGTTGTGATGAAAACATGAAAAATAAGAAACATCAAACATGTTTTGGCATAAAGTTACTTTTTCTTCCGTTAAGAGTGAAAATGATTTATGTACATCTCTCATCTCTATAAATACCAAAGAAGTCGTTCCCATTATAGTACATCTCTCCTTGTCTTTGCTTAATCTTAACTACTCTTTCTTCCTTGTCGTTTCAAATGGCGCAATTGTATTCTTCCGTGAAACCCACGCCAATGTTGAAAGATGAGCTAGACATTGTGATACCCACCATTCGAAACCTCGACTTCCTGGAGATGTGGCGACCCTTCTTTGAACAGTACCATTTGATCATTGTTCAAGATGGTGATCCTTCGAAAGTCATCAACATTCCAGAAGGGTTTGACTACGAGCTCTACAACAGGAACGACATCAACCGAATCTTAGGTCCCAAGGCCTCTTGCATTTCATTCAAGGACTCTGCTTGCCGTTGCTTCGGTTACATGGTCTCCAAAAAGAAGTACATCTACACCATTGATGATGATTGCTTTGTAAGTGTTCTCTTATGTGCAAAATTTCTTAAGACATCTGTTGGTCAAACCAAAGTCTTCTTCAAAGTTGATAATATATGTGCAATGTAGGTTGCAAAGGATCCAACTGGGAAAGAGATCAATGCGCTTGAGCAGCATATCAAGAACCTCTTATCTCCATCAACCCCACATTTCTTTAACACACTTTATGATCCATACAGAGATGGGGCCGACTTTGTTCGTGGATACCCTTTTAGTATGCGCGAAGGTGCTATAACTGCGGTCTCTCATGGCCTCTGGCTCAACATCCCTGACTATGATGCTCCCACTCAGCTTGTGAAACCTCTTGAAAAAAATTCCAGGAAATTTGATCTTCCATTGAGGCTACCAATTTTGTTATGCATCTCTTTTGTGAAAGCTTAATCGATGAAGCAAATACTTATTGATTAGTTCTTGCTTATATGCAGGTATGTTGATGCAGTCATGACCATTCCCAAAGGAACTCTTTTTCCTATGTGTGGTATGAACCTCGCTTTTGACCGAGAGTTGATTGGTCCGGCCATGTACTTTGGGCTTATGGGTGACGGACAGCCAATCGGACGCTATGACGACATGTGGGCTGGTTGGTGTGTCAAGGTAAATTCAGTTCTTATCTTTGTTTTTGATCAACTACATGTATTATGCATTATGCGGATTTGAGCTCGTGGTGACTCGGTGGCGACGCTAGTAAAAACCACTAGGGTGCATATCATGGTCAAATGCAATTCTTATCTTTGTGCATTGGTTTATATTGTAATACCGTTACATTTGTCCACTAACCTTAAAATACTTTTTCCTTTAACCAAAATAAAGGTGATATGTGACCATATGGGATGGGGAGTGAAGACGGGTTTGCCTTATATATGGCACAGCAAAGCCAGCAACCCATTCGTGAACCTGAAAAAGGAATACAACGGAATCTTTTGGCAGGAAGAGGCGATACCGTTCTTTCAATCTGTGACTCTTCCTAAAGAATGCACTTCGGTGCAGCAATGCTACCTCGAGCTGGCCAAGCTCGTGAAAGAGAAACTTGGGAAGGTTGATCCTTACTTCATCACACTTGCAACTGGAATGGTCACTTGGATCGAAGCTTGGGAGGAGCTTAACTCCGAGGAGGGAACTGAGGCTAAGGCACCAAACGGAAAAAATGAGTAAAAGAGAAGGTCACAGAATAAGGCAACTGGTATTGTTTACTAGGAGATAAGGGTTTGAGTCACATGTGCAACCCTCTCTGTTTTTCTTAATCATAATTGGATTTGCTTCTGTCTTTAATTTCTTGTCATCAGCATTTGTGTTCTCAGTCCATTGTCAGTTTGTCACAAAAAGAGGTGGTGTAATGTGTTCTATGCTTTTTTGTTTTCTTTTCTTTAAGGTTTCTAAACTCTTTATCTATGAAATATCTATCATTCCCATTTTCATTAATTTGAGAGCAAAATTATTCAGCTCTCAAAAGTTTAAAGGCTTTCTTATCATAAACAAGCCCTCGTTGTACATTAGGACTAGTTCTGGTCATATGCTTAAACAGGAACTCAGTAAGTAATACAAAAAGACATAAGAACATTGTTTGGTGTACTGAGTACCATCTTCTTCAGTTTATCAAATTCATGAACTCCAGTATAATTGAAAATCAGCATATACAAATAACATTTTTTAAGAAACTTGAAACTTTAAAGATAAGAGATTGGAGAAAGAGGATAAAAGAATTGGGAATTACCAGCAAAACAGAGCTAGAATTTATCAATCTCAACGCCATCTCTTAAAACCTCATAAGCATCCCGGCTTCTGCTTTTCTTCATCCCTGCTGTGAAATGGACCTTTGAAGAATCAGCAGAAATACTTGTGACTTTAACCCATATCATTACTTTTGTCTTCATCCCTTCAACATCGGCTAGCTTTCCTTTCTCTAGAAATCCGGTAACTGTTGTGGTGAATCTCAAGACTGATGAATCTTTGTAGCCAACTTCGCAGATTGATGGAATAAAGACGGTTAGTTTCCTCGTCTGTTCATTGAACTCGTAGTTGGTTGCATCACGTGGAAAGATCCCCACAGGCAAACCATACTCCTTTAGTAACTCGGGCAATGGCTTCTGCATTTTTCCTGATAACGAGATTAGAAACCAACAATTGTTTGAGGAAAGATGTGGCTCCTTGAATGTCAAATTAAATAGCAAGAATGAGTAAAAATAACCAACCTTTGATTTTGTTCACCAACCATTTTGTTCCTCCTTCGATGCTCGTAGACAAAGACTGAAACAAAGAATGTTACAGATTATAGAAGATCACAACATTGCATCATTGAGCTAAATCATGTTTTGAAGAAACCCAACACTACTAGCACAAAACAGTCTCAAAAAAATTATTTACTCTTAAGATCTTCTTCCTTCTATGCCACAATTCCCCTAATATTATCACAAACGGCCTCAAAACAGAAGAATTGCAGTAAACTCTTATACAATCCAATGAACATATGACAGATTTGCTAGAAAAATGCAGAAATCAAACGCAATTGCGCTACTAAGTGAAGAATCAACGAGCTACACCACCATATATACCAGACTCTAAGATCAACAGAAATCTAGATCGATTAAGATGAATCAAAGGTATAAAGGATAAATCAAAATTCACAAAAGCATCGGATCGAGATCAGAGAAACTCAAAACCAAAATTGATGATTCCTCAAGTAGTAGTGAAGGAGTAGAGAGATGCGTACGTTGATATCGTCACCGACGGAATCGAGCTGCTTGTTCGCTTTCTTACCTAACCAGTACGAGCCTACCTTGTTCAAGATCTGATCCATTCTCTCTCACAATCACAGTTCGTATCTCTCTCTCTCTCTCGCTCGCCGAGATCGGAGGTGTTTTTTTTGTTCTATCACCGATTCATTTAATTTCGTTACTTTGTATTAACACTATAACAGCCAATAGATTTTTGACACGTAGCAATGTGAAAAAGTAATGTGGATTGTTTAACAAATAACTAAAATTAGATGTCAATTTAACTTTTAATAAGTATATAGGGCCAATAGAAGAGAAGCAGACAAAGTTTATTTTACTGATTGTGAAAATAGGATAAGCTTGTATCTGACGTGGACGGGAATCTCCGAGTGTTCACACTATCTCATTGGATAGGCCATGAGGCCACCACACGCCCGTACATGTGGTTCATTCTAAATCCAGACACGTGGATCTCATCCAACGGTCACTACACTCGATTCCCTCCTATATAACAAAACCCTTTCTTCTTCATCAGTTAATCATACACACCGCAAGCTGATGAAAGCCATGGCTTCAAGGGCAATCTCGTCATTTACCACTAAACCCGCTCCGCCACAACTCCATCATGGCACCACTTCTCCTGCTGGTTCACTGAGATTCCCACAACAGAGGAAACTGGCAATGAGATCAGTGGTGGTGGCAGGAGAAACAGCTGGCTCGATGACCGGAGTCATATTCGAGCCGTTCGAGGAGGTAAAGAGAGCTGATCTAGCCATACCAATCACCGCTCATGTCTCCCTCGCTCGCCAAAGATACGCACAAGCTTGCGAGGCAGCTGTTAACGAGCAAATCAAGTAAGCATCATCCAACCTATTATCACACTTCAGCAGAGAAAAAGATAATTGAAAATAACAAGCTTTTGTACTTTGAAACTAGAAAATACTCATGTTTTAGTAATTTGATGGCAATCAGTCACATCATTGCTATTTTCGTGATCTCGCCTCCTAATATTCCCATGTACCTAATTCACCTTCTTTTTTTGTCACGGGTTGGTTGTGCAGTGTGGACTGTGGAGTACAATGTTTCGTACGTGTATCATGCCATGTATGCGTATTTCGACAGAGATGACATTGCTCTAAAGGGTTTAGCCAAGTATTTATCATTAAAATTTCATAATTATTCTAAGAAAAAGAAAGTTACTATCTTCTCACTAATCCTAATTGCCTTTATAATTGCAGATATATATTTCAAAGAATCAAGCGACGAAGAAAGAGAGCACGCAGAGAAGTTCATGGAGTATCAGGTTTCATACTCTTGTTTCACAGTTTCCACAATGATTTTTGTTTCTCATAAATTTGATTGTGTAAGCTGTTTGATTTAATAATATTGTAAACCAATTACAGAACAAGAGAGGAGGAAGAGTAAAACTCCACCCGATCGTGTCACCTATCTCAGAGTTCGAACATATTGAGAAGGGAGATGCATTATATGGTAAAATTTAGAATTCAAGAATCCTTAGAAGTATTACTCTTAATGATTCCTAATTTTTTTTAAAAAAATTAAGTCTAACTCAACCTTATTTAATTAGTTTTTATGTTTGTATATCTTTCGAGTGGGATCCAGCAATGGAGCTGGCTCTGTCTCTTGAGAAACTGACAAATGAGAATCTTTTAAACCTTCACAGTGTAAGTTCCTATCAAGATTAGGCTAATATATATTAGCAATCCTTTCCTTAACCTTAATTCACAAACAAAACAGGTGGCAACAGAGAACAATGATCCTCATTTGGCGGATTTTGTTGATAGTGAATATCTTGAAGAGCAGGTGAGTCTTAGTTTTATTGTTATGATTTTTTTTTTAAGAATAAGAGCCTTGAAAGCCTCTGACTGATCCAGCGATCTTCTTCTAGGTCGAAGCCATCAAGAAGATCTCAGACTACATCAGCCAACTCAGGATGGTTGGCAAAAGCCATGGTATGAATCAGAATCAGAACCCTCTCTTTTGTTTTGTCTATTTTTTAACAATTAAGATGAAGTGGATCACAACTGAGTTTTGAGTTTTTTTTTTTTTTTTTTCTGTTTTTGCAGGAGTTTGGCACCTTGACCAGATGCTTCTATAAATTAAGAAATAAGCTATGAAGAGAGGGTTGGCAAAAGCCATGGTATGAATCAGAATCAGAACCCTCTCTTTTTCTGTAGGTTGTGTAAGAAATTTTAGATTGGAAGCTATGAAGTAATAAGATTTAGTTCCAAGGTTGTAGATTTGTTATGTGTTGAAATTAATTTTGTTACTTTTGTACTAAAGTCGTGTAAGCATAATCAATAGAAATCTATTTTTCCAATGTGGTCCCTAAATAAGAACTAAGAACCCAAATCTATCTAAAACCATTAGTGAAACCAGAAGTTGCAGAAGATACCTGTTTTGTTAAGACCATGAAGTTGCTAGAATCGTATGTGCCCTTGCTTCCTCTGGGATCCAAAGATGTGAAGACTGAAGATCAAATCTGAAACTGAGATACAAGTAAAACGAGACCACTATTTAAGCCAATATTATTGAGTCAGATAGATTTGTCAAATATCCAATTGATTTACTTGATCAGTATTATGATATTATCTGATGACATGTACTTCGATTCTTACCTAAAATGTAATGCCATGTTACACTGTTTCTACAAGATTTGACAATTCTTGAGCAAAGAAGCTATGATTCTTTTTCTCTGCGACTGATCTATTAAGAAAGGTTCATAAACTACTAACTACTAAGCCTCATGCATACAGTGAGGATCCGACATATAATTCATGGAAAGACTTCATAAATGCAATCTGCTGGTCATTTCTTCAAATACTTCCAAAAATCAGTCACCAAACTTGCATGAAATTGGAAAACATTAGAATCGAAATTGAAAGGGGGAAAGGGAAACAGACCATCTTCGTGAGGCAAGTGGTGACTACGTTCATCAATAATCCAAAGACTCTGGCTATGACGATTTCTATCTCTGTCCAACTGTGACTATTTTCATGAGACTTGGGAAAACAAAGTTCCAGCTTCATAGTGTGTACACTCATCGCTAAATTGGATCGGGTTCTCTGGCCTGTAAAATCTACTCCAACATAAACAAGCAATGTCACAGAATGGCAAACCCCAATAGGTTCACAATGGTTCAGTGGAGACACAAAGCAGGTTCCACAGTTCAGTAGAGAAGATAGGTAATTAATCCCCAAGTTTGCTAAACCACCAAGATTTGGATTCAAAATCATTAAATCCCCCTGAAAGACGTTCAAGAATATACGTTCAAGAATATACTGAAAAGCATAGAAACTAGAAAACTGCTCTTCGGCAAATTATGTTCCTTCCAAATTTGTACAACCTAAATCTGAACTTGTGCATCAATCTGCACAGAAAAACGGCAAGAGCAGCTGCAACTAGAGCTAAAGATTTTGGATTTTTACAGGTATCTGCACATATAGAGTGCAAGGAATCTTGCAAGGAAAATATTCTTAGATTGATGGTGATGTTACAGGAGAAAAAGATTCAAAATCAAATCACAAAAATCCAAATTTAACTAAAGCAGAAAGTGTTTACATCTAAGGAAATGTTGGTAGAAAAAGAAGTTTTGGTTGCTAAGCTAAAACCAAGACTGATCACACAGATATATCATACAAATGAACTGATGCCAAATCAGTCTATTGTTTGTTTATGATGCTCCAGATACTGTTACATGTCTCGTAGGCTGTCATCTTATTCGTCTCGAATTGAAACTTTTCAATTACCCTCTTTTCACGATCTACCATATCTAATAGTTTTCGTGATCAAGGATTCAAACACTTTAACGATAAAATATTTATGTTTTAAAAAAAATTGAGAGAATAGAGAAATGATGAAAGAACAGGATACAGCCTGAGATCTTTGATGGACCATCAATGTCCGGTATAACTTTCGTGACAGAAGCATACATAGACAGCTTTTTCCTGCAGAGGGAACAATGAGAAAACATATGTAACGAACATTCAGAAATCAGAACAAGCAATTGCAACAATGAGGTTTGTGGATCTTACTCAGCTCTCAAGCCGTCCCGCTCTTTTCTCTTTGTAGATTGCTTATGTTCATCAATCGATATCAATTGAGCATTCAGGTCCTTGAATTCATCAGCGACTACTGTATTGACAAATAAAAAAACCAAAGATTGATTTTTCATGTCACTGAATCAACAACTAGAATAATTTCACTGAAATCAAACTATACTTATCTAAGCTCGTCCTTTAGCTTGCACTCCCGTTCCATCTCTTCGTCAAGCTCTCTCTGAAGACGTTCAATTTCATCTTCAGCCGCAACATCTGAATATGCTTCCTCAGTTTTCTTCTTACAAACATCGAGTTTCTTCTTACAATCTGCGTCCAAACCAAAAATTCCTCACTCAATCAAAACACTCAGCTAAAGCCACATTGTTTATCTAATACATTATCTGAAGAACCAAATCGGAGAAAAAAAACTGACCTTCAATAGAGCCTTGTATCTGATTGAAATCCTCGTCGCAAGCAAAATTGAGAGCTTGAAACTGCTCAAAACTTTGAGATATCACATCAAACCCATTCCTAACATCCAATAAGTTGATCAAATCGTCTCCATAAGACATGAGATCTTCGATATCGAAATTCTCCGACGCATTTCCCATTTCTGATGCGGAAAATTGATAAATCCACTATCTAGCAGTGTAAATCCCTAGCTCCAGATTATCCACACTTCAAAAACCTCACTAGGAGAATCGTAGATTTCTGATACCACCAAGTAGTAGGTGATATTCTGGAATCTGGAGAGAGGAGGAGGGAGATATGAAGAGGAAAGATCTGAATTTTGATTTTTTTATTCAAAATTAGTTTAATTTGACATACTTAACTGCGAAAATACGCCAATATGGGCCAAGCCCATTAGTTTCACTTTCCCTAATGGGCTAGCAAAATTTATGACCAATAAAGCTCAGATTTAGGCTAAATCATTTAGCGGTCTCTTCGCTTCATCATACATAGTCCATTTTGTCCACTATTTTGTTTTTTTGGTCGACTATATCTTGCGTCAAGTATTAATTATGCGATTACGTGAATATCATGAGAGACATCTCCTCCACACAAATTCACTAATGGTTGGAGAACCCGACCACACAAATGGTCCAAAAAGACCTTGACTTTGAACATTTCGACTCTTTCGTCGTTGATACTTGATAGCATAAGAACATGTCCATACTTGAAACTTCCTTAAACTCAATGTTCTCTCTTACTTCATACAATCAAAGTCAAAAGCTCAAGATACTACTCAATGGCCATAGCAAGATCCATAACCTCGTTCATGTTCTTCCTCTTGATATCATCAAACTCTGTTAACAGTTCTGTTCTTGCTCAGGCCACGACAGCGAAATTCACATTCATAGGTTTCAAAGGGAACCAAACGGAAATTCAAACAGAAGGAGCTTCTGAAATCCAACACGAAAATGGTCTTCTTAGACTAACTAATCGGAACCAAAACGTCACCGGGACTGCGTTTTACCGCAAACCGATTAGATTGCGTAACTTCACCAATTCCTCCGATATCAAAGTTTGTTCCTTTAGCACTTCTTTCGTCTTCGTCATAATCCCTTCAAGTCCCGGAACCGGTGGTTTTGGTTTCACGTTTACACTTTCTCCGACCCCAAATCGTCCTGGAGCCGAGTCTGCACAGTACTTGGGGCTTTTGAACAGAACCAACAACGGGAATGCATCGAATCACGTATTTGCTGTGGAATTCGACACGGTACAAGGATTTAAAGACGGCGCTGACAGAAGAGGAAACCACATCGGTCTTAATTTCAACAACCTCTCCTCCGATGTACAAGAGCCACTCATTTATTACGACACGGAGGATCGAAAAGAGGATTTTCAGCTAGAAAGCGGCGAACCAATCCAAGTTCATGTCAATTACGACGGACCCAGCGAAACCTTAAACGTTACAATCTATCCTACGCGTTTAGAGTTTAAGCCCAAGAAGCCTCTGATCTCGCGACGAGTTTCAGAGCTGTCGGAGATTTTGGAGGATGAAATGTACGTCGGATTCACCGCCGCGACTGGAAAAGACCAGTCGAGTGCTCACTATGTAATGGGTTGGAGTTTTTCAAGCTGTGGAGAAAATCCAATGGCGGATTGGCTCGATCCCTCGAAGCTTCCGCTTCCACCTCGCTTGAGTAACAAGAAAGGTTACGATTCTCAAGTCATTGCTTTGATTGTTGCTTTATCGATCGTCACATTGGTCTTGCTTGTGTTACTATTTATATTTGTGATGTACAAAAGGCGAATCCAAGAAGAAGATACTCTAGAGGACTGGGAGATTGATTATCCTCATAGATTCAGATACAGAGATCTCTACTTAGCAACGAAGAAGTTCAAAGAGAGTGAGATCATCGGAACCGGAGGATTTGGAATCGTTTACAAAGGAAATTTATCTTCTTCGGGTCCAATCGCAGTGAAGAAGATAACTTCAAATAGCTTACAAGGTGTTCGAGAATTTGTCGCAGAGATCGAGAGTTTAGGAAGATTAGGTCATAAGAACCTCGTGAATCTTCAAGGATGGTGCAAACACAAGAACGAGCTCTTGTTAATTTACGATTATATCCCCAACGGAAGCCTTGACTCGCTGCTGTACAAAACGCCGAGAAGAAACGGCGTTGTGTTGCCGTGGGACGTGCGTTTCGAGATCATAAAGGGAATCGCGTCGGGACTGTTGTATCTTCATGAAGAATGGGAACAAATTGTGGTTCATAGAGATGTGAAAGCGAGCAATGTTCTTATTGATGAAGATATGAACGCTAAGTTAGGCGATTTTGGACTTGCGAGGCTTTATGAACGCGGAACGTTAACGCAGACCACGAAAGTCGTTGGGACTTTAGGGTACATGGCACCTGAGCTCACACGTAACGGTAAAGGCTCGACCGCGTCTGATGTTTTTGCGTTTGGCGTTTTGTTGTTAGAAATAGTGTGTGGGAATAAACCTACGAACTCAGAGAACTTCTTCTTAGCTGATTGGGTAATGGAGTTTCACACTAATGGTGGAATCCTTAGCGCCGTGGATCAGAAACTCGGATCTAGTTTTAATGGCAGAGAGGCTAAATTAGCTCTTATTGTGGGATTACTCTGTTGCCATCAGAAACCGACATATCGGCCATCGATGAGAATGGTGCTTAGATATTTGAATGGTGAAGATCAGAATGTTCCACAGATTGATGGAAATTGGGGATTCTCGGATTCTTCGAGAGACGATCTTAAAACGAATGTCGTAGGTTATGTTTCGTCCGATAGAGCCTCGAGCTCGAATACTTTTTCGTCTTTCTCCGAGGTTTCTTCAAGTTCTATCGTTAGTGGTAGATAGTTTCATTCGTTGCACTTTTAATATAGCTTATTAATTTTCTAGAAACAGAACATTTTGTATGTATTTACTATTTATGGTCCTGACTCTTGAATACTTTATTACCGTTGGATCATGGATGTAGCGCAACCTTAATATTCACATGTTTGAAAATTGTGTAAAACTTCAAATAATTAATGGAATGATATTTAAAAAAACAGGAATGATTCTAAGAACGAACTAAAAATCTTATTTGTTTGAAATCTTAAATTCAGATGTATGATGTGTGTGTCGATTATGTCTTATTATGGTCCAGTGGAACCCATATTCCAGCTTTATTAGTTACAAATACAATATTGTTTTTGCATTACTAAAAATATACTCATTTTTTGGTCAAGCAAAATATACTCCTTTTAATTGGTTTTTCACTTTTTTTGTCAGACATTTGATTGTAAATTATAACCTAAAATGCAAATAGCAAACAAAATATCTTTTCTTATTCCGTTTAGATTGCTTTTGTTGTTGTCTCGAGACTTTGATTGTTGACTTATAACAAACGTTAAAAAGACGATCAGATCCCTATATATGACTACTCGTTTTGATAACTTTGATACAAACTGAGATTGACAGAAGATAAGACTAACAGGTCCGTTCCAGATTCTTTCCAAACGTAAGAGCTTGATTGGATCATTTTAAGCAATTTCAAGTGGAGAAAATAGAAAAATAGTATTGTGTTTGCCCAATTATTTCAATCAGTGATTCAAAATTATTATGATATGGGGCTTGGTAGGTTGATGGTTTCACTTTCATACACACAACGACAAGTGAACTACGAATCTATGCCTCAGTTTGTGTCCAGGTTCACGATGGGCTGTCTATAATTAGAAACGTGTATTGAAAGAAAGCGTATAAACATTGCAATTGGCTATACATGTTTAATTAGAAACAATGATTGCGTTATGTACATTACTGAATTTTCATGACAACACTACCTTTTAAAAAAAATATTTCGATTCAGTTGTTTTGTTACTGTGGATACGTGTTTATATGCTTTAAATATACCTTGCATCTTGTTTATACGTGATTCGTTGTATAGAACCGTGTATCAGACTATCACTATCCTACAAGTTAATTACCCCAAAAACAAGTTAATTACGCCAATCAAACTAAAGGAAAATTATAATAATAGCGTGACACTACGGTTCGGTTAATGTGCTTACTTGCTCATCTTATCTATGATTAGAATATTTACTTAATAAGTGGAGTTTTTAAGTATATTTTCCATGTATTTTAGTGAATCTCTTATTTAACTTAGGTTATACTTTATTGTCAAAGAATTTAGGTTACACTTAGGTAAGATAAGTACGTATTTTTATATTAAACTGGGATGATTAATTTTTTAAAACTATGCCAAAACAACGGACACGCTTCAGCTGATAATAATTTAAATCCGCTATTATTAATCAGTTACGCCTTTTTATAGAACAACTCTGCCACTCTATCTCTTCTCTCTATCTCTCAAAAGATCTCCGGCGACACGACGGTGAAAAGATGCGGAGGTTAACGGCTATTAATTCACTACTGAAACGGAACAATTCTCTTCTCCAGCGTCATGGATTCTCACAGACAGTAGCTCAGAGAACTACCTCCGTTTGCGAGACCGAAACAAAAATTCCGAAAATGCCCCCGTTCAGTTATTCTCCGCCGCCTTACGACGGTCCATCCACAGCAGAGATCATCGCAAAGCGGCGAGAGTTCCTCAGCCCCGCTATGTTCCATTTCTACAACACACCCGTAAAACGACTCCGCCTATTCATTTCCCCTCTTTGAAACGACACTGCTTTTGTTTTCTATTGTAGTACGACGACGTTTACTTACTCTGTTTTCTTTCTTACTGTTGATGACGACAACAGTTAAACATTGTGGAGGGAAAGAGGCAGTATTTGTTTGACGAGAATGGACGGCGATATTTAGATGCCTTCGGAGGAATAGCTACGGTTTCGTGCGGCCATAGCCACCCGGAAGTAGTTAACTCCGTCATCAAACAGTTAAAGCTTATTCAACACTCCACCACACTTTACCTTAACCACACCATCTCCGATTTCGCTGAAGCTCTCGTCTCCACTCTTCCCGGAGATCTCAAGGTAAAACAAACAATTTATATATCTTCTTTTTGAATTGTGTAATAAAGGTATTTTTTTGTATTAGGGTTATTTGATGACTTGACCGGCAAGTCAAATGTCCTTGTGTTTATTATGTAGGTGGTGTTTTTCACGAATTCGGGTACGGAGGCGAATGAGCTTGCTATGATGATGGCTAGACTGTATACAGGATGTAACGACATCGTTTCGCTTAGGAACTCTTATCATGGAAACGCAGCTGCTACTATGGGAGCCACTGCTCAGTCCAACTGGAAATTTAACGTCGTTCAGGTTCTCTTCCCTTTCAATCCACATGATCTGATATAGCATAATTGATTAATTTTTTTAACATCAAAATAGATGAGTAAAACAGTTAAGTTGTGTTGACCAACCAAAATTAAAATGGTTATAATGGAATCAAAGTTCAATAGAACGTTTGAATCTATTAGATTTATAATTGGATTAAAGGGTTTGATAAGGCATCAACTTTGTAACAGAGTGGAGTTCATCACGCCATAAATCCAGATCCATACAGAGGAATATTTGGATCCGACGGTGGAAAGTACGCGAGTGATGTACATGACCTTATCCAATTCGGAACTTCCGGTCAAGTCGCAGGTTTCATCGGCGAATCAATCCAGGCGAGATTAATTCGTATTTTTTTTCCAAAATGTGTATGATTATGATAATGGATATGTATGTAATGTAGTCTATATGCTGTAACAGGGAGTTGGAGGAATAGTAGAGCTTGCTCCGGGGTACTTACCGGCGGTGTATAACATCGTGAGGAAAGCCGGAGGAGTTTGCATCGCCGATGAAGTCCAATCCGGTTTTGCTCGTACCGGTACCCATTTCTGGGGGTTTCGATCCCATGGTGTTATCCCTGACATCGTCACCATGGCCAAGGTTCATCATTGTCATTCATTATCATGATTTATGCATCATTATCACCATCAATTCTAAACTGAGTTTACAGGGGATCGGTAACGGTATACCACTTGGAGCGGTTGTCACAACACCGGAGATCGCCAGAGTTTTAAGCCGCCGGAGTTACTTTAATACTTTCGGCGGGAACCCAATGTGCACGGCCGCAGGACATGCAGTACTTAGAGTCATTAACGAAGAGAAGCTCCAAGAGAATGCTAACCTCGTTGGCTCACATCTCAAACGTAGACTTACACTACTCAAAAACAAACACGAACGTGAGTTCACTTTGTCCAAATTAAACACAATATTTTTTTTTAAATGAATATCTTATCTTTTTCCTAATGTGTTAAGTCATTGGAGACGTGAGAGGAAGAGGATTGATGCTAGGAGTTGAGTTTGTCAAAGACCGTGACTTAAAAACTCCTGCTAAAACAGAGACCCTTCATTTAATGGATCAAATGAAAGGTTAGTCGTGTTCAATCCTAGACCTAACCGATCCGACTCCAAACCAAAAAGTCCGAGCCAAAAATAGAAATAATAAGTCTTAATCTGGTTACCAAACTTTATATATTTCTTCAAATTTAAACATTATAAACCAACTAAAGGCTAAAGCCATAGTAGATTAGGTTACTATTTCTCTAAACCCAAAAAAAACTGAGAAAAATGATCACTCATCCTATACGTTGATACTTATGGATATAAGATAGTGTTTAATACGAATCTTTTGGTATCAAGAAATGGGAGTGTTGGTGGGGAAAGGTGGATTCTATGGGAACGTCTTCAGAATCACTCCTCCTCTCTGCTTCACCCTGACCGACGCTGGTTAGCTCTTTTAGTTAACAACTTAACATATTGGTTTCTTTTTTTGTCATTCTGTTTTTATATATCCATGATTTATGTTCTTTCAAATCTTGTATTTTGTAGATTTCCTCGTGGATGTGATGGAACACGCCATGTCCAAGATGTAATTTACTATCATTACCCGATCTCTCATGATCATCCACCCTTGTACGTGTACATAAATAAGACGATACAAAAAGTAAAATTACAATCTTTCAATTGGTGTTTACGGTTTACCCAAATATATCATAGAAGCAAGTTATGCAACTAAGTGTACAGTGTATACTACACTTGATAGAACCTATAAATAAAAAAAGTCGCTGCTAACTATCCTGAATGATAATTGCACAAATATATACATATAACAATCCGAAGTTTGAGTTTTGAGTACAATTTCAATGATAAACCTGTGGGGCAAAGCGGTTGGTTATCAACGGCGTGGTGATGGTAGTTGCGTCGGAGTAGGAAGGCGACGTCCGGAGAGCTGTCGTGATCGCGGAGACTAGACTCGTCAGCACGAATATAAGTTCTTCAAGTATGCTCAGTGTCTTTCTCATCATCGAATCTTCGTGTTTTCTCGATTCGAGATTCCGAAGTCAGAGAGAGAAAGAGAGGTGTGATCTTTTTCTGCTGACTTTAGATCTGGCCTTTGATAATGTTATTCAGACAAACAAACTGTTGGCTTGATGTGTGTGTCCATAATTGATTATATAATGGAATAATTGCAAAACTGAACCTGAAGTTTTGATTAACATGGAATTTAAACCCAATCTTTTGTTAGCGGTTTTAGAAGACCAAACATCGCAATTTAAGAGTGAAAAACCGTTGGAGTTTAGATTACACTAATTTAAACGTTGTAGTACAAAACTGATTAAAACATAAATATTTATGATTAATGAGGGAAATTCGAATGGACAAATAGATTTATGAAGCGTGTGCCATGATGATCTCTTCATGTACCCGTTGTACGGAATCCTAGATGTGATTCGAAGAATTTATGGTAACTCACGTAACACAGAGGTTACGAAAATACAATTGTCTCGTTAAAAAAAAATTAAACTCGTTTTCTCGTAATTACAATCACAATAAGAGACCATGAGAGAGGGATTGATAGATGACAAAAAAAAAAGAGAGGGATTGATAGATAAAATTTGATTTCTAGAGTTTTTTTTCCTTTAATAAATATTTTTAAAATTGGGATTTATATCGTGTTAGAACAAAAAATTAGTTTTAAGTTGCATTTTAATCAAAGAATCAGATTGAATTTGCAATTATCTCCTCAGTTAATTAGTCGATCCGTTGATGGTGGTGTTTTTTGAAATTATTCTCAATGATGCATACAAAATTTCAATTTCCACATTTAAACATTAATTTGAAATTTTAGATTGAGCATACCTTAATCTTATACTAGTATTTAATGACAATGCATTAAAGTTAGTAATTAATTAGAGTGGATTTTTCATCTGAAGAGGGTAAAACTAAAAACGGAAAGGAGAAAAAGAATGAAAGAGAAGTGGAAAGAAAGAGAACGCAAATGCATTGAAGACTTTCCCTTTGTCTCTCTCTTTGACAAAATCCCAATTTTCGCATCCTCACTTTCTCCTTTGCCTTCTTTTCTCTTCTGCCGCCACCACCACCTCCACCACTGTTAATTCGCCGCCGCTTCCTCATCAATCGCCGTCGTAGCCATCATCATCGTTCGTCATCCTCCTCTTCTCCTGATTCTTAGGGTTTCCGCTGCCGCTTCTCTGTCTCATCTGGGAGGGTTTTTCGAGCTGGATTCTGCGCTCTTGCGCCGCTGGTGCAGCGGCTTTGTTGATTGATCTGGATTTCTCCGTCTTCGCTTCCATTTTATTTTCGTTCCTCGCCCAATCCAAACAAAAAAGCTAGGGCTGAGGATTTGATTTGCGTGATTTCGGGGAGGTGTTAATTCGGGGTGTGTTCTCCGATTTGGATGGCATTAGGAGACTTAATGGTGTCTCGGTTCTCGCAATCTTCTGTTTCTTTGGTCTCCAATCACCGTTACGACGAAGACTGTGTCTCTAGTCACGATGACGGTGATTCACGGAGGAAGGATTCTGAGGCTAAGAGCAGTAGTAGCTACGGGAATGCTTCAACGGAGGGAGCCGCCACCGCCACCAGCATGGCTTACTTGCCTCAGACTATTGTGCTCTGCGAGCTTAGACACGACGCATCCGAGGCTTCTGCGCCCTTGGGGACTTCTGAGATCGCATTGGTCCCCAAATGGCGGCTTAAAGAACGAGTAAGTTTTCAATCCAACATTGCTGTTAGCTGCAAGTATGTTAAGACTAGCTTGTTTAGTGCAACTGACGATGAAAGAGGCGCATAGAACAACTACATTATTTAGAATTCATTATACAATCTGCTATTGTTCCCTAATATGCTGGGTGATGTTGGTTATGTTAACGTTTTTATTGTGGAGACGAACCTTAAAGATACATGTTTTCGTTTCATTTCAATCTCAGTATCTCTTCAGAAACAATTCTATTTCTCGTCGGAAGCTAAATCAGACATTTATTGGATCTGATTGCTAGGGGAATTCTTGCGAGTCTCATATTCTTTGTTGACTTTTATTCTTCTTCTTTGCAGATGAAAACAGGATGTGTAGCTTTAGTTCTGTGTTTGAATATTACTGTTGATCCGCCGGATGTTATAAAGATATCCCCATGTGCTAGAATCGAGGCATGGATAGGTTGAACCTTTGGCCTACTCAATCCTTTTACACTCTTTCTTTTGTGTGTTTATCCCTTTTCTTTGTTGCGACAGTCAATGATATATATATATTTTTTCTGATGGCAGATCCATTTTCCATGGCACCGCCTAAAGCTCTTGAGACAATTGGAAAAAATTTGAGTACTCAGTATGAGAGATGGCAACCAAGGGTGACACTTTATTTCCCTGCACCCTTTCATTGTTGTTTTGTTAAGTTACGCTTTTCTTATTGATTTTATGATTTTTCTCAGGCCCGCTATAAGGTTCAGCTAGATCCGACAGTAGATGAGGTGAGGAAGCTGTGCTTGACTTGTCGGAAATATGCAAAGACCGAGAGAGTTCTATTCCATTATAATGGGCATGGTGTGCCAAAGCCTACAGCTAATGGTGAAATTTGGGTATTCAACAAGGTATGTTTTTTACAAGCGTTTTTTCTACCATGTTCTTGTTCCTTCTCGTCTGTTAACACGTGCTGATTGATCCTGTGTTTGAGCAGAGTTATACACAGTACATTCCCTTGCCAATCAGTGAGCTTGATTCCTGGCTGAAGACACCCTCCATCTATGTTTTCGACTGCTCTGCTGCTAGGATGATTCTTAATGCCTTTGCTGAGGTAAAGGAAACAACCACTTCACTCATATAACACATCTTCCTGTCGAGTTTAGGACTTGAGTCTGCAATTGTCGTTCCATAAGTTGATACAATTCATTTACTCTTTACGCCAGCTTCATGATTGGGGTTCTTCTGGTTCCTCTGGATCCTTAAGGGACTGCATTCTACTTGCTGCTTGTGATGTACATGAGACACTTCCTCAGAGCGTTGAGTTTCCAGCTGATGTTTTTACGTCTTGCCTCACAACGCCCATTAAATGGCGTTGAAATGGTAAATCCTCTTTCCATCTCTGGCTTTTCTTTTGCGTACTCAGATGTCATGTTTCTTCCTACAAAATGTAGTTTAAGTTCAGTCTAGCTAAGTTTATAAAATCTTAGCTAGTATGTTCTCGCTTCATCAGGAGGCAAGATCAAAACTTTTTGGCACGTCTTTCTGATGAGACCAAAGATGGATCATAGTGTTTTAGTTAGAAGACCTTATGCATAAGTTTTAGTTTTGTGGGGTGGTAAAACAGCATATCATGAGAGTTGTGAGATATTCAGGACTGATAATTACCTTTAGCTGCCAAGTTACTTTGCATATGAAAGTTTGCTGATGTATGGTTTGCAATAATTCTTTCTGTCCTGGCTAAGTATTTCTTGTGATACCAAAAGATCATCCTGATTGATAGCCTTCTACTTTGTGATATTTATTCTATAACTCATTGCTACTGAGTCTGTGCAGTTTCAACTCTGGACTTCTTTTTAACCTTTTTCCATTAAACATATCACTATTTTATGTTGAATGCGGTTGATTAGAATTATGCAGTTCAGTTTAGCTTGCTTTTTCACAAGAGGATTTCCATTGCAGGTTCTGCAGGCGTTCGCTTCTGAAAGAAATCATCGATGAATCACTTATTGACGGATTCCAGGCCGGCAAAATGACCGTAAGACATTGTTAGGGGAGTTGAACTGGATTTTTACAGCAGTGACGGATACAATTGCATGGAATGTGCTTCCTCATGGTATTTCTCCAAACTTTCTGCCAAACATCTTTAAGTTGACTTCTTTTCTGTGTTCCTCATGAATGTTAGTTTTACCCTGCAGAACTTTTCCAGAGATTATTCAGACAGGACTTGTTGGTCGCTAGCCTTTTCCGGAATTTCTTACTTGCTGAGAGAATAATGCGGTCCGCAAACTGTAATCCAATATCTCACCCTATGCTGCCTCCTACGCATCAACATCATATGTGGTATTCAACAAGAACCCTATGCTTCTGTTATAAAATGTTATGTGTCTAGATTTTGACTCAGCTAGCGTTGCATGCTTTTCAGGGATGCATGGGACATGGCTGCTGAAATCTGTCTTTCTCACCTTCCCCAACTTGTTCTGGACCCAACCGCAGAATTCCAGGTTTGTTTTGTTTTGTTGTGTATAGTTTCCTGCAATTTTATAAGACGGGCGCTTGTCTTGCTAATAATACTTGTTCCTATCCTTTTTCTAGCCAAGTCCGTTTTTCACTGAGCAATTGACAGCTTTTGAGGTGTGGCTTGATCATGGATCTGAGCATAAGAAGCCACCGGAGCAGTTACCCATTGTTCTTCAGGTGCCTAGATTTCTGTACTCATTTCCCTTTTTGCTGAGAGAGGAGAGAGAGATTCATATTCATTTGTCATTTTCCCTCACTCTTGGTTTTGTGTGATTGGCTTAGGAACATTCTTTGGCTTCCTTCAGGACGTTCTATCTAGATTGTTTGCATATTGCCATTTTAGCGTATTTATAGAATCTTGTTTTGTTTCAGGTGTTACTTAGCCAGTGCCATCGGTTTCGTGCTCTTGTACTTCTTGGAGATTTCTTGATATGGGTCATGGGCTGTGGATCTGGTATACTTCTTTAAATTTGGATTTCTCTCTCCCTTGGCTTACACATAGTTTCTCCTTGTTATCATGTGTATGTCTTTACACGTAAAGTGAACATTCTTCTAGGCCTTGTCTGTTTGGAATATTCCCATATGTGCTGAAGCTTCTGCAAACAACAACGAATGAGCTAAGACAGATTCTGGTTTTCATATGGACAAAGATTCTTGCACTTGATAAGGTAAATATCTGATGTTCCATGAGCTATTTTTGGGAGGAAGATGGTGGTTTGTCATGCCTCTGTTTCTTATTCTAAACATTTGTGCTATTTCTTTCTGTGGCTATCGTCTTTGTGTGCATCTGTTGTTTATTGAGTGTGGACCTTGATGGAAAAACAATTTGTGTATTTTCCTGACATGAATTCTGAATGGCATATATTTACCACCTAATATTTCTCTGCATTTTTAATATCATATCCTTGGACATCGGATTAAGTTGCTTACCTACGGCCGTCACACTTTCAAGATGCATAAGTGTTCTCGTTTCATTCTAGGATTTATTCCAACATTGACTGGTCTCTTTTGTTTTCAGTCATGTCAAATTGATCTTGTGAAGGATGGGGGGCATACATATTTCATACGATTTCTAGATAGCTCGGGTGCATTTCCAGAACAACGAGCTATGGCTGCTTTTGTTCTGGCTGTCATTGTGGATGGACATCGACGAGGCCAGGAAGCATGTCTTGAAGCTAATTTAATTGGTGTTTGTCTGGGACACCTTGAAGCATCCAGACCAAGTGATCCACAGCCTGAACCATTGTTTCTACAATGGCTTTGTCTTTGTCTTGGAAAGTTATGGGAAGATTTTATGGAGGCCCAAATAATGGGCAGGGAGGCTAATGCTTTTGAAAAGTTGGCACCTCTGCTTTCCGAGCCCCAACCTGAGGTGAAGCTCAGATTTCTGTATAATGTCCTTCATGTAGCAGTGTAATTTCTGACCGTAACATTCTCTTGCAGGTAAGGGCTGCTGCTGTTTTTGCCCTGGGTACCTTGCTTGATATTGGGTTTGACTCTAATAAAAGTGTGGTGGAGGATGAATTTGATGATGATGAAAAGATTAGAGCCGAAGACGCTATCATTAAAAGTCTCTTAGATGTAGTTTCAGATGGGAGTCCACTTGTCCGAGCAGAGGTTGCCGTAGGTACGCAAAGCATGCAACTCTTGAAAATTCATGATCGTGGAACTATGGGTTCCTAATTAGCATCAGAGTCATTTAACATCAAAAGTAAAAAATTTCTAACCTAATGAGATTATTTTTAAGTAGATCATCTCTACATTCTATTTCTTGATTTATCACTTACCCAATTTTATGATTCCAGTTTACTTAGAAATTCAGATTTATTTGATGCGTGTTTTAGAGAATGGCATTTTAACTCAATACAATCTTGAAATCATATTGTTCCTCGTTTAGAGAGTTTATATAGAGTTTTTTGCATTTCCAAATGTTTGTCTTTGTTCATTCTGCATATACATCTTGAAGCGTAGCTTGCATACTTTTAATTTTTCCTTTTTGATCCCCAAGTCACTCTGTTGTTCGTGTCTTTACAGCTCTTGCACGTTTTGCCTTTGGCCACAAACAGCACCTTAAGTTAGCCGCAGCTTCATATTGGAAGCCTCAGTCAAGTTCTTTGCTTACTTCTCTCCCTTCAATAGCTAAATTCCATGATCCTGGGAGTGCAACAATTGTTTCTTTACACATGAGTCCTCTGACTAGAGCTAGCACGGATAGCCAACCAGTGGCTCGTGAGGCTAGGATCTCAAGCAGCCCTCTTGGCTCCTCTGGGCTGATGCAAGGATCTCCATTATCTGATGATTCTTCGTTACATTCTGATTCTGGAATGATGCATGACAGTGTCAGCAATGGAGCGGTCCATCAGCCAAGACTGTTGGACAACGCTGTTTATTCGCAGTGCGTTCGAGCTATGTTTGCATTAGCTAAAGATCCATCTCCACGTATTGCAAGTCTCGGACGGCGTGTGCTTTCTATTATTGGAATCGAACAGGTTGTTGCGAAACCCTCGAAGCCCACTGGCCGACCAGGGGAAGCTGCAACGACATCTCACACTCCACTTGCTGGCCTAGCTCGTTCATCCTCATGGTTTGATATGCATGCAGGTAGCTGTTTATGGAGTGTTTTATGATCATCACTTGATGCGGAATTTTTCAAAGTTTTGCATAATTTGAGAATGCTGTTCACTATTGAAATGTTAGTGACTGTTAATCTTACACTGTTGTTGACGACAGGTAATCTGCCCTTAAGTTTTAGGACTCCCCCGGTCAGCCCCCCTAGAACAAACTATCTAAGTGGACTGAGGAGAGTTTGTTCATTAGAGTTCAGGCCTCATCTATTGAGTTCGCCCGACTCAGGGTTGGCTGATCCGCTTTTAGGCGTCAGTGGATCTGAACGGAGTTTGCTTCCACTATCAACTATCTACAGCTGGAGTTGTGGCCACTTTTCTAAACCGCTTCTTGGTGGTGCGGATGCTAGTCAAGAAATTGCAGCCAAAAGAGAAGAGAAAGAAAAATTCGCACTTGAGCATATTGCAAAATGCCAGCACTCCTGTAAATAGTTTTGTCTGTTATCTCTGGTTTGTTCTATACCTATACTAGTCACCTGAATTGACTTCCTACATTTTACCTTGACCAGCTATTAGCAAGCTCAACAATAATCCTATTGCCAACTGGGATACGAGGTTTGAAACGGGAACAAAGACAGCACTCCTTCACCCATTCTCTCCTATTGTAGTTGCTGCAGACGAGAATGAACGGATCAGGTATGCGAGTTTTATCAAAGCATCTAAAAAATTGAGTGTTAGATCAACTTCTTGCATTCAGGTTAACCCTCTGTTAGGAAAAATACAGGCTAGTTCCCAATCTATTGGATTAGGTCTCTCTGTTTAGTTTAGTCATTTAGAAAAAGCTTCCCTTTGAAACTTCTCTTAAACTCTGCTGTTCTATCTTGTGACCTTTTTTTATTGAGAAGCCTTAACTGCACTAAGTATTTCACTTTATTTTGCTCTCAGAGTGTGGAACTATGAGGAAGCAACTCTTCTCAATGGCTTTGACAATCATGATTTTCCTGACAAAGGAATTTCAAAGCTCTGCCTCGTCAATGAACTTGACGACTCTCAGCTACTTGTTGCGTCATGTAATGTTCACAACTCTTGCCACCAAGTCTTCAAATGTTTGCAAGTTAATTGTATATGGGTGTTTAGTAATGATATTTATGTCTTACACATGCTTTTTGAATTTGGGTAGGCGATGGGTCGGTCCGGATATGGAAAAACTATGCAACTAAGGGTAAACAAAAGCTTGTTACTGGGTTTTCTTCAATCCAGGGTCACAAGCCCGGTGCACGTGACTTGAACGCTGTCGTGGACTGGCAACAACAGTCCGGTTACCTGGTTTGTGATTTCTTCAATCATGCTATGATTTTTCTTCTTTGTTTTAAACTTGGTTTATGTTATTTACGGATTACTGGTATTTAACAGTATGCTTCTGGGGAGGTGTCAACAGTCACACTTTGGGACCTGGAGAAAGAACAGCTTGTCAGATCTATTCCCTCTGAATCAGAGTGTGGAGTTACAGCACTTGTAAGTCTGCACGAACAACCTTCTGCTTAACAACATAGAAATGGTCTAGGATGTCATGATTTGCTACCAATCTAATATGATCTATTAAATGGGTCTGATGAATCGAAGAAATAATATACATAAGCTATCGTCTTATAGTTCTTTTTGTTGTATTGTAAGTTCATGGTTATAATGCTTTTCCTTGATCAAAACATTTTTGAAATACAAAACATGTGAATTTTGCTTACTTTATGTTATCTTTGTAGTCCGCTTCTCAAGTACACGGAGGTCAACTTGCTGCTGGTTTTGCCGATGGATCTTTGAGACTCTATGATGTTCGGTCACCTGAACCGTAAGTTGGTTTATTGTTCATTCTTGAACAGAACTCCTCAAAATAATCTAAAATGACAACCCCAAAATATTTTTGAATACATCACTTAATATCATTTCTTCTATTGAAGGCTTGTCTGCGCGACTCGGCCTCATCAGAAAGTTGAAAGGGTGGTTGGACTCAGTTTTCAACCTGGACTTGATCCCGCAAAGGTTGCAAACCAAAACTGATCCATGAACTGTCAGCTTTCATACCTTTTTTACTAGGCTTGGGCATTCTGTCTTTCAATATTATTCGCTCGCTTTTGGATAAAAAAGTAACTGAAACACAATTTTAGCATATATCGGTTCGGGTTTGAATAATTTCGTCTTGGTTTGGTTTTTAATTCTTAAGAGTTTCTCAATTCTTTGTCACTTTCCTGGGGCCAATATCTATTCTTATTTTTCTTCAGGTGGTGAGTGCATCGCAGGCCGGTGACATACAGTTTCTTGACCTTAGAACAACAAGGGACACATACCTGACGATTGATGCACACAGGGGTTCACTCACGGCTTTAGCTGTTCACAGACACGCTCCAATAATCGCGAGCGGATCTGCAAAACAGCTCATTAAAGTGTTCAGCCTTCAAGGGGAACAACTAGGGATAATCCGCTACTACCCGTCCTTCATGGCACAAAAGATTGGTTCAGTGAGTTGCCTCACATTTCATCCGTACCAGGTTCTGCTAGCAGCTGGAGCTGCTGACTCATTCGTCTCCATATACACCCACGACAACTCGCAAGCAAGATGAGTGGCAACTGTAAGTGGATATGTTGCATTTAGCATTGCTCTTGTGATAAAAAGAAAAGCAAAAATCAGTGCAGGTCGGGTCGGTTTTGGGCCGGGGTAAAGTGGGTGTGGTTTATATAGTATTCGTTAGCCTCCGTCCAAGTTAGAAAGAAGATCTAAGTTAACACTAAAGGAGGCTTCACCAAATAAGTTTTATCTCTACCTATGCAACAACGCACGTAAATGGTGTCTGTAAATAGTTTCCCTGTTTTGCTTTTCATTTTCTCATCTCTTGGGTGTGTGATTTCCCTTTTTATTAATCTTTTAAGTCTTTCCGTTTCCTAATTTGTTTCATGTGTAAAAAAAATGGTAAAAGTAATGGTGGAAAAAAATTTGCATTTTCGTGATTCATATTTATTACAAGAAAAGTTGTGTGTTGTTTGTTCAAGTTGGGATCCGTTGGAAATAGGTATGCAAATTTTCATGCTACGTATCTCTATGATTGGTCAAATGCCAGTTTTTATCAGAATCCAAGTAAATATCGATAAATCTAATCACTCTCTATGATTTCTTTGATCGATAAAGAGATAAACAATCATAATGTATGACGATCATTATCATTTGGGTCAATCACAAAAATTTACGAACAAATCTCGATAGGACTTTTTTTACTGACACGTGCAAAGCAAAGCTCTCCCGCGTGCAACTACCGAATGCTTTTTGTTTCGATAGCTGTTGACTGTTGTTCTGACTGACGGATAAAAAAAAGAATTCCTCAAGGAGGTGTAAAGATTATTGTACGGAGAATTCAATTAAGCGTCCTTTGGAGATGGCGTCCATGGCGACCGGTGTCAGTTTTTCGATGACTAGCGGAATAGGAGGAGGAAGAGACGATGTTGAACGAGTAGCGACGGCCGTACGGACGACGCTGAAGCTGAATCAGAAGAACTCACTGAGCGAGAGTACATGCAGTTTTTCGGTGATGAACAAGTATCGGGGATCCGGAGCTATACGAACCGTATCGAAGGCCGTCGTTGAGGGAGATGAGATGAGTAAGAATCTAAAAGTGGGACTCATTTGCGGAGGTCCGTCAGCGGAGCGCGGGATTTCTCTCAACTCTGCTAGATCAGTTCTCGATCATATTCAGGTTCGTTTCCTTTTCCCTATGATCAATTGAGCTTGGATTTGTATATTTTCTGGCTTCATTTAGTCCGTTTGGTTTGAAATTGCGTTTCGATTGTGATGTGATGGATGATTTTTCATCAGGGTGATGGTATAAGCGTGAGCTGCTATTATATAGATCCTGATCTCAAAGCCTTTGCAATTTCCTCCGCTCAGGTTTGTTGCGTTGTATTAGGCATTTTGATAAATTCTGCTGTATGTATCTCTTATCCCTTCTTTCTTTCTTTTTTTGTTTGTGAAAAATTTCAGGTGTACTCGAATACTCCTGCAGATTTCGATTTCAAGCTGGAGAGGTGAGGTATATGATACCAAGGGTTTGAAAACGTGGTTATGGGATAACAATAGTGACCAAATTAGCTGAGTGGCTATACTGTAGTCTTGCACAGGGATTCTCTTCATTATCCGAATTTGCCGAGCATCTTGTTTCTGCTGTGGACATTGTTTTTCCAGTAATTCATGGTCGATTTGGTGAAGATGGGGGCATTCAGGTTTTTGTTTTGAAAAGTCCTTATATTATATATTTATTTCTGTTGGAAGTATACGATATTTGATTAATGCTATGTAGGAGCTGTTGGAAAGTCACAACATTCCATTTGTGGGGACTGGATCTCGTGAATGCATTCGAGCATTTGACAAGGTAATAATAAGAGTCTGGATGAACGGGTTAATTAGATATTCATTACATCTTAATTAGTTAGCTCTCATTGTGTTGTTAGATATTCATCTTCATCTGTTTTAGTATAGTTCCTCTGATCATTTTTAGTGATCTAATTCCAGTATGAAGCCTCTTTAGAGCTCAAGGAACTTGGTTTCATGACAGTACCAAACTACTTGGTGCAGGTAGTGTATTGTCATGTCTCTTTATCTGCATTCAATATCTTCTTCATTTTGTATCTTAAAATCTTATCTATACGTGCACTCAAATTTCGAGCTAGTGATATATTTCCTATAAAAAAAACCTTGCTCAGGGAACTGGAGTAGACAAAAGTGAAATAGCACAGTGGTTTACAGATAACCGGCTGGATCTCGAGATGGGAAAAGTCGTGGTAAGCATCTGCCTATATCACAGCCTGGTCGTAGAAATGTTTCTTAGAGATCCCATTTCTTCGTTTGTTTCACTTTTTTTTGCTCTTCACATCTGTCTATTTCAGGTAAAACCAGCTAAAGCAGGTTCAAGCATCGGTGTCAAGGTTGCTTTTGGCGTAAATGATTCAATTAAAAAGGCTATTGAACTTATTGTAGAGGTATACTTTGTTTTGAGCCTTGGTTAATATAAGTAGGCATTGGGAAGTAAGGAATGGAGATCTCTATTTCTTGAATCTAGAAAATCTATTTTTTTGGAGGATTGCAAACTATTTATTTACTGGCAATTAGTTTGTTTTCCTTCTCTTTTTGGATAGGGAATTGATGATAGAGTTGTTGTGGAGGTGTTTATTGAAGATGCATATGAGTTCACTGCCATCGTCCTTGATGTGGGTTCTGGTTCTGTTTGCCATCCTGTTGTTTTGATGCCTACTGAGGTAATTACATTTTTCAGTTACTTTCTGCGTTTCACAGGAGCTTGTGCCAGAGTCCTTTTTTGTTCTGAGGTTCTGACTTAACTGATATATGAACCACTTTTACATGAACTATTTTAATCTTGGACTAGTGAAACTTGGGCCTCAGTTACTTTTACACTAAATAGGAAGCAGATGTCAGGATGAACAGTTTTTTAATATACTGAATTCCATTGTTTGTGACTAACTTATTTGTGCATTGAGGTCAGATAGTTTCATGAGAAATCCATTTGAAGTAATATGTATATGGACTAGATCTTTCCCTCATATAATGTTTTTCCTTACTAATACATATATTTATACGGTCAGGTGCAACTTCAGTTTCATGGCAGTGGTGATCTACAAGAAAACGCAATCTTCGACTATCGGAGGAAGTATCTGCCGACACAACAGGTACTGAAATAAACATGTTTCTTACAATTTCCGTAATCAGTAATGAAAGGTGTGTCTGGAACACATTGATTTCACTAATGCCCTTAACTCTGTCTTTCAAAAAGGTAAACATGCCTTTCTTTTTATTTTTCAGAGGTTATTTTCTTGGTTTCTCAGCATATTGAGTTCCAAAATTGTAGTAACTTTATTTCTCCTGACAATGAGTTCATTTAAAATAAACAGGTCACCTATCACACTCCTCCCCGTTTCCCTATCCATGTTATCAAAAGTATTCGTGAAGAGGCATCTCTTATATTTAAAAAGCTTGGTTTACGTGACTTTGCTCGCATTGATGGATGGTATTTGGCTCCCAATTCAAATTTATCATCTGCAAGTGAAAAGCTTGGAGGACCCGAGTCAGGAGATATCATATTCACAGACATCAACCTGGTTAGCCTTGTGCAATTTTACCGGCCTTCAAATTTACCAGGAGCTGCTATTATGCCTTGCATTGTTCTTAGAAGTAACACTTGGATGCATATCTCAACTGCTTTTACAGATAAGTGGCATGGAGCAAACTAGCTTTCTCTTCCAGCAGGCTTCTAAGGTAATTAAAGATATTGTAACATTGATGGTATGTTGAAGATGTGCATCATGCTGTTTCTACTCTGAAAATCTTTTATTCTCGTATTTGTGAAATAATTGTGCATATACCCTAATTTTTCCATACTATAGTCGATGTGTTACAAATGACATGATTTTATAAGCATTCACGTTTTTTTTTTTCTCTCTTCCCAAAATTTTAATTGACAGCAATGAATCTTCTCATTGATAGTTTGCAAGCAAATGGTAACGCCATAGTGAAAGTTTAAGCTGCGATGTATTGTTCATTTATGTCTATATCTCATTCATGCCTAGTCCATTCAAACATCAAGGTTAGATGTTCATATTACCATACATGATTTAGATCATTAATTCTTACATTCAGGTTGGATTTTCTCATTCAAACATTCTGCGAACAGTTGTCCACCGTGCTTGCTCGAGGTTTCCCCATCTTACTTGGTATAATTATGGGTATAGTCTATTACTCCAAGGTTCAACAACCCAGGAAGTCTCTGAGGACGTCCAGAAAGTGTTTGTCATATTTGGAGGAGATACTTCAGAGCGGCAAGTGTCCGTCATGAGTGGAACAAATGTCTGGATCAATTTGCAAAGATTTGTAGATGTAAGTTGAAAAGAACGCAGCATTATATCATTTGAGGCGTAATCATGCATCTTATGAAATCATTAATTACAGTGTGTATTGTCATTAAGCTATAATAGCTAAATTGTGGGTGCAATAGGATTGCCCTGACTCTGATGATCTTGTTGTTTACAGCTCAATGTAACTCCCTGTTTGCTTTCCCCCTCACTTAGAAACTCATCTGGCGCATCTTCGAACTTGGACAACAGAGAAGTCTGGGTTTTGCCGTAAGTATATTCTCAGACATATGTTGAAATACTATATACAGTCTGTACACATAGATACAAATGTTGACCTCCCAGACGATAGAGGGGAAACACCAGTAAAACATTTTACATGGATGTATGAAATTATTTTAGCTATTCTCATTTGTAATGCTATATCGGTCAACATCACTAATGAGTTTCTTTATTCTCAGCTACTCGGTTGTGCTAAGGCACACTGCTGAGGAAGTTCTTGCAGCGTGCTTAGAAGCAGTCGAGCCTGATCGGGCTTTATTTACATCTCTCCTGCAGAAGCAAGTGATGGAGGATCTTATGGATGGTTTGAAGAATCAAAGCTGGTTTGCAGGGTTTGATATAACAGACGAGCTGCCCAGAAATTTCTCATTGAAAGAGTGGATCAAGCATGCCAGGGAAGCTCAAGCAACTGTCTTCATTGCAGGTTAGTCTTATAACCGATAGACTGCAATGTTTCCTTTTTTGTATGAACATGAGCAAATTTAAGATTATGAGAAAAAGCTATCAACAAACAAAATCAGAAAACCTAGTTGCAAGATAAAAAAAAAAAAGGCGGGGATATCGATACATTTTTGGTTTAATATTGTTTGCAATGTTGATACTCTTCCTGACACACTTTTTTTTGGTAAAATAGTGCTTCAGTTCTGCATGCAACACACCCTCAGTCGCTATATCTTTAGTATGCAGTGTTTTTATGATTTTATTTTTCAAATGCTAACTGGCAGTGCATGGAGGAATTGGGGAAGATGGTACACTGCAGGCCTTGCTGGAGGATGAAGGAGTTTCTTATACAGGTTAGTTGCTACTTACGATGTAGCATTTTATGTCCACACGATTGTTTAATTTTCCTTTTCCGTTCTTAAATAAAGGTCCAGGCGTACTAGCATCAAGGACTTGCATGGACAAGGTTATGACATCTCAGGCTCTTAGTCATGTATGGAAACCAGTCGATATACTCTTCAAGTCGATATATTAAAACCATGAGTACTATTGTAACAATTTTCTTTTTTGTTGTGTGTTTCTTGTAATCAATAGCTTTCAGAGTTTGGAATTCATACCATAAGCAAAGATGTGAGGAGAACAGAGGATATAATGCATGAGACCATCCCAAATGTTTGGGATGAATTGATCAGTAAGTTTCAGTGTCTCACACTATGTGTTAAACCAGCAAAGGATGGATGTTCCACTGGCGTTGCAAGATTATGGTAATTGTATTTAAAAGTCTTTTCCAATCGTTACCACTAAGTTTTATTTTTGGGTGTGACTAAACCTTTGGGTTTTCCTGCAGTTCCTCTGAAGACCTAGCTGTATATGTACAAGCTTTGAAAGATTGTCTACTAAGGATTCCTCCAAATACTCTTTCCAAGGTTAACAAACAAATGATTTTGTTAGTACCGTGAAGCATTCATTGATAAATTAGGATTATCCAAATCCCTATCTTCACTTGTGTATGTAGACACATGGAACGATTGAGATGCCAAATCCTACTCCAGAGTTCTTGATTTTTGAACCATTTGTTGAAACCGATGAAATCATAGTTTCATCCAAAGCCAAGCAGCAGCTCTCTTGGAAAGGTAGGAGGCGGTGGGTAGAGATGACTGTGGGTGTAATCGGAAAGTGTGGGTCAATGCATTCGCTGAGTCCTAGTCTTACTGTCAAGGAAAGTGGGGATATATTGTCTCTCGAGGAGAAGTTCCAAGGTAGTCTCACTTGTCTTTCTTTGCAACTTCATGTCTTCTTTTGACTTTTTATGAGAGAATTAGTTAGTCTTTATGGCATATGAAATTATATCTTGAATAGGCGGCACTGGCATAAATCTTACTCCACCTCCACCAACAATCATGAGGTTTGTCTAAAGCTTCTTTTGGGATATTATTAATACATGTAGTAGAATAAAACATATGAAACAGAGCATTATACTTTGTAGGAAAAGGGGCTATTTAAGCTCTTTTAAAAGCTATGCTTGTCACGGTTAGCAAATTCAGGTTTTGGTTTTCAGGTTTCTCGGTCTAAGGAAACTATAAACTAATTTGAAACTTAATGTGTTGTCAGCTTCAAAAAAGTGAGTTTCGTTTTAGTTTTGGGGTATAAAAAATCCTAAAACTAAATTAAGATATTAACCAGTTTCTTGGGTTTGGTGCGGTTTAGATCATTTTGGTTTAATCGAAAGAACAGAGAGAGTAAAGTATAAAGAATCTGATGACTAAAGTTGTGAGATTTCAGTAAGGAAGCTTTGGAGAGATGCAAACAAGGCATTGAGCTGATTGCAGAAACTCTCGGGTTAGAAGGGTTTTCACGGATCGATGCTTTTGTGCACGTTGAAACCGGAGAGGTACAATAGGGACCGAGAGAATTACTTTACATTCTACTAATGCATACTCTCATCTTACATTCCAAAATCAATTTCTGGGTTCTCACAAGGTCGTTGTGCAGGTGCTGGTTATAGAGGTAAACACAGTTCCTGGAATGACTCCTTCCACTGTTTTAATCCAACAGGTGACTTTTGCGTTCCTATTTGTCCAACAGAAGTGTTGTTTAAAATTTCAATCTAATCTTTTTACTGTTTTAGCATAAACACCTAATCGAAAGATTTGTACTTGGAACTCTCCTCATGACATTGACAATAACACGTTCTTTGTTTTGTTTTGGGATATTGGAAACCTTAAGGCATTAGCAGAGCAGCCGCCAATGTACCCTCCTCAATTCTTTCGCACTCTGCTCCATCTTGCTACACAGAGAGTCATGTAAGTTTATATTTGTCTTTCGTAGTTACACTATTCCCAAGTTTAATTTGAATTATTTTTGGTTTGTAAATTCCATGTCTTCGTCATATGATCAAAGGGAAATAAAGTGGATCCCATATTTATGAGCTATGGTTTGAATTTCATTTCGGTATCTTTTTATAAATTGTAAATTTGCAATAGCATGCTTTTGAATAATGCTAAATTAGCAATTTTTTTTATGAGATTGTGATTCAAAGTGGAACTAAGCAATGCGAGAAAAATGAGATAATACAATTTTAACGATTTAATTTAGATTAGTTTGATACAAAAGGATAAGATCAAATCTGATACAGGCAACATTATCCCTATTATTATTACCAAAACAAACAGACAAATAAACGAAAATATATTAAAAATTCGAATTTAAAGCGATGTCCATTTTCAAGAGAGATAATTGATAAATTGGCGGGAGGTAAAATCCTAAGGTTTTAAAAAAGCGATGAGCATCGTCACCGTCCCATCATCAACATCAAAAGTCCAGCAAATCAAAACCCTAATCTCCGTCGCATCCACCTTCAATCATCTGAAACAAGTCCACGTCTCTCTCATTCATCACCATCTCCACCACGACACCTTCCTCGTCAACCTCCTCCTCAAGCGAACTCTCTTCTTCCGCCAAACCCATTACTCCTTTCTCCTCTTCTCTCATACCCAATTCCCCAACATTTTCCTCTACAATACTCTCATCAATGGTTTCGTCAACAATCATCTCTTCCATGAAACCCTCAATCTCTTCCTCTCCATCCGCAAACACGGTCTCTACCTCCATGGTTTCACCTTCCCTTTGGTTCTCAAGGCATGCACTAGAGCCTCGAATCTTAAGCTCGGGATTAATCTTCATTCTCTTGTGGTAAAATGTGGGTTTAATCACGATGTGGCCGCTATGACGAGCCTCCTCTCTATCTACTCTGGATCCGGGCGTTTGAATGATGCCCACAAAGTGTTCGAGGAAATTCCTGACAGAAGCGTTGTAACTTGGACGGCTTTGTTTAGTGGGTATACGACTGCCGGAAAGCACAGGGAAGCCATTGGTTTGTTTAAGAAGATGGTGGAGATGGGTGTGAGACCGGATAGCTACTTTATTGTTCAGGTTTTATCTGCTTGTGTTCATGTAGGGGATCTCGACAGCGGGGAGTGGATAGTTAAGCACATGGAAGAGATGGAGATGCAGAAGAATTCCTTTGTGCGCACAACACTTGTCAATCTCTATGCCAAGTGTGGGAAGATGGAGAAAGCCCGTTCTGTTTTCGACTCGATGGTGGAGAGAGATATAGTTACTTGGAGCACTATGATTCAAGGGTATGCGTCGAACAGCTTCCCGAAAGAAGGAAGAGAGTTATTTCTTCAGATGTTGCAGGAAAATCTGAAACCGGACCAGTTTTCCATTGTCGGGTTTCTTTCTTCTTGTGCAAGCTTAGGAGCGCTTGATCTAGGTGAATGGGGAATTAGTTTAATAGATAGGCATGAGTTTTTGACCAATCTGTTTATGGCCAATGCGCTGATCGACATGTATGCGAAATGTGGGGCTATGGCTCGAGGTTTTGAAGTATTCAAAGAAATGAAGGAGAAAGATATAGTTATCATGAATGCTGCAATTTCTGGTCTGGCCAAGAATGGCCACGTTAAGCTCTCATTTGCGGTTTTTGGACAAACAGAGAAGTTAGGTATCTCACCTGATGGGTCCACGTTCCTTGGACTGCTCTGTGGTTGCGTTCACGCAGGCCTAATCCAAGACGGGCTTCGGTTTTTCAACGCCATAAGCTGTGTTTACGCTTTGAAACGCACGGTTGAGCACTATGGTTGCATGGTAGATCTTTGGGGCAGAGCAGGAATGTTAGATGACGCATACCGTTTGATCTGCGATATGCCCATGAGGCCAAATGCGATAGTCTGGGGAGCGTTACTGAGCGGATGCAGACTGGTCAAAGATACGCAGTTAGCAGAAACTGTTCTCAAAGAACTCATCGCTTTGGAGCCATGGAATGCAGGAAACTATGTTCAGTTATCCAACATATACTCTGTCAGTGGCAGATGGGACGAAGCGGCTGAAGTGAGGGACATGATGAACAGGAAAGGTATGAAGAAGATCCCGGGATATAGTTGGATCGAGTTGGAAGGGACGGTCCATGAGTTTCTAGCAGATGATAAATCGCATCCTCTTAGCGACAAGATATATGCAAAGCTAGAAGATTTGGGTAATGAAATGAGGCTTATGGGTTTTGTTCCAACGACAGAATTTGTTTTCTTTGATGTTGAAGATGAAGAAAAAGAAAGGGTCTTGGGGCATCACAGCGAGAAGCTTGCGGTTGCGTTTGGGCTGATCAGCACGGATCATGGCCAAGTGATTCGGGTGGTGAAGAATCTAAGGGTATGTGGGGATTGTCATGAAGTGATGAAGTTGATATCGAAGATCACAAGACGAGAGATCGTTGTTAGAGACAACAATAGGTTTCATTGTTTTACAAACGGCTCTTGTTCTTGCAATGACTACTGGTGAGCTCACTATGGTTAAAAAAACAGCAGAAAGTAATTTGTATTTTTTGGAAGAAAGAACATATTTTTGGAGTTCATGGTTTTTAAGAAAAGTTGGCAGAGACTGGATATAGATTTAATTCCGGTTTCTAGGAGTAGTACATAACTCAATACTATAAGAAGTAGACTTTGTGGAACTCAAGACATATATCAAACATGTATGATCAAAATCTTGCAAATATAGTAACGGCCCAAAAAGCCCAACCATTTTAACTATAAATAGTAACATTGCCGCCGGAACACAAATATATCCGCAAATCCCTAAATTATATTCTCTGGTTGATCAACGGCGATTTCATCCTCGTTAACTCCGTTAATGTCTTACCCGGAAAGAAAGAGGAAGAAGACGCGGTGGTCACCGCCGCTATCGACCCCAAACCCGTCACTTCCCGATGATTTGCTATTGAGCATCTTCGCACGCGTGTCAAGATTATACTATCCTACTCTCTCACTCGTATCCAAGAGCTTTCGATCTCTCCTAGCTTCACCAGAGCTTTACAAGGCCAGGTCACTCTCAGGAAATACCGATATTTGTCTCTATGTATGCTTACGGTGCTGTTCTGGTTATCGCTGGTTCACCCTCTGCCGTAAACCTGATCAAACTACGATGAGTCTAGTGGCCGTTGGTTCTGATATCTACAACATTTGCGGATCCATCAAGAAAGCAGCGTCCTCCTCCTCTAGCGTCTCGATTCTGGATTGCCGGTCTCACAAGTGGCGAGAGGCTCCAAGCTTGCCGGTGGAGCTATGTTCAGTTTCTGCTAGCGTCCTTGATAAAAAGATATATGTAGCAGGATGCTACAACCAAGTTCAAGGTAATGGCTATCCTGATTCCCGGAAAAACTCCTTTGAGGTGTTAGACACAAAAACACAAATTTGGGAGACTAAGCCCGTCCCTTGCTGCAGCGGGAGGATATACAATTTTTTTAACTCCAAAAGCACTTGTATTGATGGAAAGTTCTACGTGGTGACTGAAGACAGAGAAAGTGAGGTTGCTTACAATTCCAAGGAAGGTAGATGGGAGTCCAATGAACTTGGGATGGGTGGTTTTATGTTTTCAGATTCTTATTGCGAGATAGATAACGTTTTGTACTCTGTATACGATGGAGCGTTCAGATGGTATGACACTGAGGTAAGAGAGTGGAAAGATTTGAATGGTTTGCTTCAGCTACCTAAGTTCTATGCTGGTGCTTGTTTTAGATTGGCTGATTATGGTGGAAAGATGGCGGTCTTGTGGGACCAATTGCCTTATCATTATGGCTATCAAAAGGAGATTCATTGTGCGGTGGTTGAAAGGCCCACAAGATATGAAATGTGGGGGAAAAGTTGTGAAATTTGGGGGAAAGTTGAGTGGTGTGATCTTATGCTTACAGTCCCTACATCGTATGTTCTTGTTAAGGTTCTTGCTGCTACGCTTTGATGAATGCGTCACAAAGCTTGAAGAGTGACTGTTTCTCTTGTTTCACTTCTAATTATCTGATGTCACTTGTTACTTGTTAAGCTTATTTTGTGACCAAAACGTTTTTGAAGCACGTTTTGTGTTGAAATGTTGGAAGCTAAAGTGGTTGCATAAGAGATTTACCACTTCTCGTAGCTGCTAGTGTGAGTTAGTTCATGAATTGTTAAGTAAGAGTGCTTCTCTGATGGATTTGAAACTAAACGCTCAAATTGTTGGCTAAATAATCCACAGTATTTCAGTCTTATGGCAAACCACCACTCAGATATATTCTCAGATTTTTATTGATTCACTGTTATTTAAAATTGTACAAACTTGTGTATATTGATAAGGTCACAACAAAATATCGACCATATTCATATCCCCATCTGATTTTATGGTTCTTTTTTTCTCTTAAAAGCTGTAAATTGGTTACTAGCATTGGCCTTTTGATGCAGTTTTGCAAAATTTTGTCTCAATGAGTAAGCTACAAAGGTAGTAACACTCAAAATCTTCTTCCAAGTCTGATTTGCCATTTGCTGGTTATGCGGGAACACACGAATCTATGTTCGGCAGCATCCCATGTCAACCCTCTTAGTCCTTAAGCCACAATTAGCAGCTCTTTTAAAGCCATGACGAGTTTTCTCTGCAGACTCATTAATGTGAAGAATATCTCACAGTACAGTTACTAGAGATCTTAGGTTCTTGAAACAAGAGAAAGGTGAACTTCTCTTTCCTTACACAGATAGGCCACTGGATGCTTGGGACCATGACGCTGTTTTCTGTAACTAATGTCTTCAAACAGACACTCTATGCCTATTGAAACCCGCAATGTGAACACAACAGCCCTCGGGGTCATGTACGTTACTGCAGTAAACATGAACCTCTTCTCTCTCCCATCTCCATTGTAGAGGTTTGGATCCAAGTACACAAACTGGCAAGTTTCATCGCTTCTAGATATTCTCAGCCACAAACAGGTATCTCTTGGCACATTAAGCAGCATGATCTCACACGGTATAGCCACCGGGAGACCAGGCACAAAGGAAATCGGACTGTAAGGACCATTACCAGGAATCTCTAGCTCTGCGCTGACACACTGCAGATTACCAGAAAGCGTAAACTGTTCCGGAGAGAAGCAATTGAATATCTTGATGAGATGAAGCAGTCTACAGCTATTTATATCATCAGAGCTCCCAATCTCTTTCAATGACTTCTTAGTTTCGGTTAAAAATTCTGATGGTTTGGTGCATTGTTGTTCATGGTGGAGCTCTAATTGAGATATTGTTGAAGATAGCTTCTCCGTGCAGCTAAGGCGGCAGCAAATCTCAAATTTATATAGCCTTAACAAGCAACCAAAAATTACTAACTCTATTACTAATGACTCCTCCGTAGACAGGCCTGTGAATCTACACCTTATCTCCATTAGTTTTATCTCTATCTCTTTCATCAGTAGTTCCAGTTCTACAGATCTACACGTGCTGATGTGTCTTGCGTATTCAAAATGAGGCCATACTTGAGCGAGAAGTTCTATTACGTGAACATACTGACAGATAAATTCTAATGTACCGTTGGAGATTGAAGAATCGGCTGTCAAAGTTGCTAACTCCTGTTTGCAAGCCCTGCACAAGATGACAAGAAGCACTTTAGTTAGAGTACACATGAAAAAGTAATACAGAGGCTGGAAAATTAATAGATTGTAAGCTATAAAACCTCAATGCTCGGAGTGCTTCTTTCGAGCACCCTGATTGTGATAACAACCAGGCAGCCTTTATTTTCAACAGTATATGGTTAAGAAACTTAAGTGCTTGATTTCCAATTTCCAGTTCTGCTTTGGAAGCCATGTATTTGCTCTCAGCAGGTATATCTTTGCTGGGTAATAGGACGGGGTTTCCGGAAAGATTTGCATTACTGTCCCTATATGCCTGAAAAAATATATCTCCTTTGTTGAATTCTGTCCCCGAAGAAGACGAAAGAATAGCGCAATGAGTCAAGTAAGCCAGAAGCATATACTGGTCCATCATATCATGAAGTCCACTAGAGAATTTCCCCAGCATTGCAAGTGAATATGAAAATGCCAGAGGTGGTATCGAAGTGATGCTTTGTTTGTTTGAGAGAGGGGCTGAGATTATCAGCATCAGAGAAGCAGATAACTGTCGGCTATTGAATTCCAGTTTATTTCCGGAAGCTGTCCCTAACTGAAGAGCATGCAAGAGTAAGCGAAGAAATGATTAGTATGCCTATAGTTGACGAACCCTGAAAAAGAGTGAAAAAAAATGCTCGCTTACCTTTTCACTAAATCTCTTGACCATACTGACTAAGAAATTTGGGTGTTTTTGTCCGAAATGGAACAGAGCAGACAAGATAGCAGGTTCGTCCTAGGATGAAACAGCAAGAAATTTGAGGTTCACAAAAAGAAAAAGGAAGAAATGATGAAATCAGAAGCTAATTGAACTGTATAGGTAAGTGTGCCAACCTGTGGATACATCTCTAAACTTTTTAGGACACCATCAACACAATTGTTGACCAGCTTCAGATCAGGCAGCTTTGCCAATTTAAGAATGTTTCTAGCCTCAACTCTAATGTTTTCAGAAGTATCAACAATAGCATCCAAAAACTGCAAAGTCAAGTAGCAGCTCTTTATTACAACTCATAGGAAAGAAATAGCCAAATAGAACAAGGTGACAATCATGAAGTCCACAGCAGCGAGGTTAATTTAGTAGCAAATCACTTAATGTCCTATTAAGCATTAGGCCCTAGAGAGCAACCAATTCTGAAGCTACTTCAGTGGGCCTAAACCAATAGGAGGTGATATGCATAAAATCTGAATTACTCGAGACAAGACACCAAACTTATAAAGTATAGCATCTTCATTCTCATTAGCTTTTTACTTAACCAGTACTATAGCAAGAAAAAAGGGTAAAAGAATATGGTAACTTACGGCGGGCATATAAGTTTCCTGTATCTTCAGGTTCCCCAAGTCTGCTATATGATGCAATGCCTCTAAAGCTTTCAACCTGACAACCATATAATCATCGTATAGCATATCCATCAATAGATACACAGCTTCATCTGGGAATTTGATAGAATTTACTGAGAGGGAGTGGAAGGAGTTAACAGCAGCTTCCCGTACCTTCAAAATGATGCATGCAAATGCTGTATATATAAGTCCAGAAACAATAAAAAACTCAACTAAACTTTTTTCTACAACACCTACTTAAAAGGTTTGCATATAAAGGAATCATGCTGCACAGACAAAATGAGAAAAGGAAACTTATCATAAGAGTACCTCGTAGAATTCATCTTCAAAACCATGGATGAAAACTCCAGCTGCAGCACTGACATCAGCTGATCCATTAGAAAGATGACTCTGCGGTTTCTTCCCTTTTCCGGCTCCCAATACTTTTTTAGAAAGTGTTTGCAGTATAATGCTTTCTGATGCAGTTCCTATTATCCCAAATGCCTTGAAGACCTCAACCCTCACGTCTACACTCATATCTCTCACAACAGAACAAAGCTGAAAGCAAGTTTATAAGAAAACGTCAGACATTTGGTTATTTAAGTTCCAAACACGAAATTGGTAATCGCTAATTACCTGGAGAAAAACAGCATCTGTACAATCTCTTCTACTTATCTCTTCTTCCTTGGATGCTATCATCACTTTGCCCCACACACTGACCTGAACATTCAAAAAGTTGCCAACCCCAATTAGATATGATCGGATCTTTTTAGCTTATAACAATTCTTCTAACCGCAATTTCACAAATCAGGAAAAAAAAACTTACGGCACGAACTGCAGAAGATCTGACGCTATCTTCAGCATCGCCTAGAAGCTCAACAGCACGAGTATAGCAACCTTCTACGGCGTGAGCGTGATTAAAGTCACCAGCGTTACATATATTAATCAATCCATCCAGAGCTACTTTTCTGATATATGGATACGGATCCTTGGTAAACCCTAAAAACAAGGTGAAAAGTACAGACGACGGGACATTGAACCTCTCCGCGTTCCTAAGTAGCCACAGCCGAGAAGATATAGGTGCTCCGAGGCATATTGACGCAAATACCTCGCCGTCGATTTTCGCGGCGGCGATGCTAGGATTTCTTTCGGATAACGACGCAAGCACAGCAAGCGATTCCACGGCGGCGCGTCCGTGGCTCACCTCGGCGGCGGCGTTTTGAAGGCGGAGTAAGTTGGACAGGATTGAATCGAAGATTTGTGGTGCTAATTCCTTTCGCCGGAAAGCTAGGTCGGAGATTAGCTTGAGGACATGGTGAAGAATCGCCGAGTCCCCTCGACTGAGAAGACCAGTAAGGAAATCGAACACCGAGGAAATCACCGAGTCGGAAGTGTCGGCGTTGAGAATGAGTGATCTAATAGAAGCTAGAGTCTCGAGAGAGATTGATTCAGCAGAGATCGAGACGTCTTCCTCCATTGATGAAGCCATGAAGAAGAAGAAGAAGTGAGAATCTCTCAACTGTTATTATTTGGTGACAAAAGATTAAATAGTTTGATATTTATTTAAAAAAATTTGGTGTTCTTTATCAAAGTCAACATTAAATATTGAGACAAAAAAATAAAGTCAACATTTTTGAAATCTCTAATTTGGAAAAAAGTGTGGATTTTACATACTACCGGCTCGTCCTGAAGTGGGTTTCTTGAACTTGGAGAGCTCAACAAGATCACCAAACAACTTGTCTTCTGGTTTCTTATTCATAGGCTTCATCATTGGTGGAGGCTGATGAGAAGAAACTTGGTAGGGATTAGTGTTGTTGTTTCCATTCTCTTGAAGAGACATTCCGTACATTTGTTGTTCTACAAGGTACTGTTGTGGTGGCTGAGCTTGTCCTCTATGGCCTCCATACATGGCGGGATTATAATTGTTGTTTGTGACGTTTGGGTTGTGGCCAAAGGGTGGCATGTGGCCTCCTGTCATGGGAGGGAGGAACATTCCGAACAAGTTATTGTTGTTGTTGTTGGTAGCATGAGGAGAACCACCTTGAGGGTTGTAACCGAGGGGTTGATGAGTGTGTGTGGTGATGACCACTTGAGTCACTTGCATTGGATGAGTTGGAGAGTATTGAGGGCTAGAGCTTGGAGACTGAGCTTCCCATGGTGGTGGAGGTAATGCTAGAACATTGTTGTTTTGTCCACCTTACAGAACATAAGACAACAATTCAAAGAGAAAACAAGTTAGGATTAGTTTTGAGTTTTCTTTAGGTACTGATATCAGGCTAGGTTTCAAGTCCAAAATGAATACCATAGTGAGGAGAGGCAGGCGGGCTAAAGTTAGGGGAAAAAGGTTGGTTTCCATAGGCAGGAGACGATGGTTGTTGGTGTTGTTGAGTAATTTGGAGATTCCAAACAGGACCAGATGACCCCTGTCCATAAAAAGATTGCTCTTGATGGCCAGGTCCAAATCCATTCGAGTAATGTTGTTGCACCATCTGATGATTTGCGTGTGGATTCGAAGTTGGAGTAGAGCTTTCACAGTTGTTATCTGACAACATATCGATTAAGACGATGGAATTATCTGGCTTTGCTACGGGACTACTTGGTTGTGGAGGTCCGAGAGGAACAAGAGCTAATGAGTTGTCTGCATTCGGAGTCTCGAAGTCATCACCACTTAGAAGGTCTATTTTTGGACCATTGGTTGTAGAAGCCACAACACTAGCATTTTTGGTCTCACTGCAAACGAAGTTCAAAAACAATTTAGAGTGTAAAAAGCCAATCTTTTAAGTCTTTAAACCTTCAATCCTAAACCACTAGACCAAAATGCCTATAGTTACTAAATCTTCAACCAACTTATATAACACACAATACAACAAAAGATTAATTCTTTAGTTTTTACACAATTTAATCAAGAACTCAAAGATCTTTCCTTTTATATATGTTTCCTTGGAAAAACAAAACGTTTAATAACTAGAACTGTTTCTTACCTTGAACCAACATCTATGATCTGAGTTGTGTCCTTGGGAACTTCTTTTTTAGAGTTTTCTTCCTTTTTTATCATACTGTTTCCAGAGGCGATGGCTTCGTGCTTTGCAAGTAATCGCTGCAAATCGTCATTTAAGGCTAGGCCTTGGCAAAGCATAGATTCATCTCTGACACATGAACCAAAAGTGTAGAAAATCATATATTCGTCAAAATTGCTGGAGTTTCAAAACAAAATCTTGCAGGTAAAAGTTTTAGATCTTTACGATGTCGAGTTTACAAGGTGTACTACTCTTTGTTTATAGGTGCGACATTGGCTAACAAGATCTACAACAACCTCTTGTTTAAGTCCCTGCAAATGTGAAAAATATATATTCATATGGTAGATCCAATTAATGTTACGAAAATGTTATATGAACCTTCTTTTCAGAATCTGGGTGTCAAAGATATACCTCTTTGTTGTTTCCATCTATTGCGTTCATCATTTCAGCTAAGACATCCATAATTCCTCTTGCATTTTGAATTTCTGTCAAACTTCAACCAAAAAATGCTATTTTATCAATCTTATATTATCAATATTCCTAGAGAATACTGTAATGGGCAATAATTAAGATAAACACCTCAAAGTTGGAAATTCTGACTCTGTTGAAGTATCAATAGCTTCTTGTCTAGCGTTACGAGAATTCTGAGGATACGTTGTCGAAGGACCAGTTTGTCCTGAACTGTGTGTGGTTTGAGGTCTTTGAGGGAACACAATTCCTGCACGCTGAAAATAGATAATACTAACTAACATTCAAATCATATCTCGATCGGTCCGATTTAAATGGACGACATGTTACAGCAAAAATGAAACATACCAACAATTCTTGGTATGCTGCGTAATATTGTGGATGTCTTCCTTGTGGACCTGAAAAGCTCTCTTGCCAAGTATCTATAAGTATCAATATCTTCTCCTTCACTTGGATGTTAGGCTATAAGTTTAACAAACAACATGATAAGTTAGGTGTCACACAAAAATGTTATAGATAAAACATTAGTTAAAAAGAAGGGATCATAGCCTGACCTTCCTTTTGGCCATTTTCACCATCTTATGAAGTATATCCTTCTCTGCAACTTGCATATGAATAAGTTCCCCACAATTGTTTATTATTGTCTCTAGTAACTACAATAGTAACAATCCCAAAAATATGTTAATCTTCCATAAATAAATTTAAAAAAGGAAGAAAATAAAAGTAAATATCTAAATACTATTGGTTGTGTACATATCAAACTGAAGTGAAGTTTGGTTTTAATTATGTAAGAATGTCTCATTATATGCAAAACCGAAACTGAATTAAAAATCAAACCAAACAGAAACATGAATGTCGAGTCCCCGTAATCGAACTTACTGTAAGAGCCAAAAGCTGGACCTTGGAAGTCCTACTAGTAAGCCTCTTCTTTATGCCACTCACTACCTCTCTCGTTTGTCTACAAACACACACTCACATATCATTAGAAAAACGGTATAGAACCAAAAAAATACATCAAAACCAAATGTGAACCATCCAAAACTTCAATGATCAACAGAAATGTGGTATAACCGAGATCAACACAATTACCATTGATTCTCTTTAGGAGATCACAAGTTCAACTATTACCATTTTCCTTTAGAACATTGATTCGGATTGATCACATATATAGAGCATTGGATCGAGGATTTTCAGTCATTGAAAAACATTTTAGTGAAAAAAGGTCGTACCCAGGCTCATGATTAAGCATGTCACATATCTCGAGGTTCATGGCCCAATCAGGACCAATGAGCATATCGCTTGTGGCTCTATCAACCAAAGGATGCACCATCTTCTTGGATTTTCCTCTGTCCTTCAAAACTCTGAACTAAGAAGTGTTGTTTTCTTCCTTGTAATATGTAAAAAAGATATTTGTTCTCTTCTTAATTTGCAACTAAGAAACAACATGGCGACACTTGTAAACACAGTTGCTACATCAAAGCAGAAGATTAAGGAACTAATTGACCTTTCATATTTCCTTTTAAATGTTTTTCTGTTTGATTGGGCTTTAGGTGAATAACAACGGGCTTCGAGTGTGAATATTTATGCCCGTTTTCTTTCATAATAAACGACACGCTAACCACTCGTTGAAACACGAAACGCCACGTCGTCTTAATGTTCTGATTCAGTTTTTATTTACAAGAGGAGATTTCAGTGACGTCACATCGTTTCCCTTTTTGTGTTCTTCTCGTCGCCATGGACGATCTCTCTCTAGAGAAAATCGAGATTTCGGGTCCAACATTGGCGTCACTGATTCAACGAGCTTCCTCTTCTCCTAGTGACGTCGATGGCTTGATCTTCGGCCAAATCCACCGCATCGTCTCTTCTAATCTATCCGACGATTCTCCGGCGGATTTCGCCTCGAGTTCCTCATCTGATCAAATTGTCGCCACCGTTACAAGCTTTATCTGCTCTGGTAAGACTGTCTCCTTCTATGATCCGCTTGGAAGAGTTGACTCGCGTCGAATCGATTCCCTCCGAGTCGACTCACCGGACCACCTAATTGGCTGGTTCTCCGCCCGCAGGAAAACCGCTAACCGTCCATCAATGAGAGAGCTCGCCGTCACGTCGTCTCTCTCGTCTCAATTTCACTTACCGATCGAGGATTCGCAAAACCCTAAATCGACGAACATGGCTTCCTCCGTGTTCTTTCTTCTTACTACGCCATCGACGAGTCAGTGCATTCACACGCACGAGTACCGTGCGTACCAGTTCCGATCCTCGAAACAACGGCTCGAACCGAGATCCGTTGCTATAGTCAACATTGGACCAGCGTTTCGAGGCCATTACGGTTCGTTTAGTACAAAATCGAGATTTCCACCGTTGATCTGCGAGTTGAGTAGCTCAGCCATGAGCGTGGATTGCGACGAGAGTTCCTTAAGTGCGAAGAAACAATCAGCAAAAGATCAGAAGGAGATTGATGCGTTAGCAGAGGGGTTACAAGTTGGAGACTTGAAACGTTTGGTTGGAGCTGAAGCTGCGAATTACACTGGCGGGATTGAAGAAATGTATGAGAGAATGTTGGCGAAGATCGAAAGCTTGGCTTCGGATGTTGAGAAGAGCTCAGCTAGGGTATTTGAACAGGTACAAAACCACCTTCAATATTCGTTGTTTTCGAGTAGTTCAAGCTGCACTAAAAGTTGTCTAAAAGCCAAGAATTCAAGTGGTTTTGTTGTTCCTGTTATTGATTTTTGTTTAGCAAAATGTGCCACTAAATTGTACTAATATAACATCTTCCTTGGTTCTTCCAGGAGAAGCATAATAGGAAGTTGAGAAACCGGGTGGCCAGAATCGGGCGATGAAGCTTCTCTTGAATATCTGTTTTTGTGGCGCCAGGTGTTAAGTTGTTTCTCCTTCTGCATTCAACTAGCTCAGCTTGTTTAAAGGTTTTCTTCTATCACTATACTTGGAATTTTACCTTAAAGGTACCATACCTCCCTGAGAACACTGGCTAGCGTAATTGGAGCTATATGCGGGAAACCATTTGTATTATAGTGTAGCTATTTCCTAGTCAAACCTTTCCTGGCTAGATTGCTTTGTCACAAGAGATCCCTTTTCCTTGTATGGCTAGTTTTTGTTGAGGAGAACAATCAAGAATTGGGATTGATTCATGTCAAGAGTTCTATAAATGGGCTTATATATATGTTTATGAAGTTTAATACTAAGCTAATTAGTTGCATACATATTGATACCAAATGGTAGATAAGTAAGGGTTTAGCAGAGTCTTGTTAGTTAAAATAGTAATCTGTCCATGCCAAACCGGCTTAACTATAAATATTGAAAGACCATCTATGTATATAGTAGGGTGACATTTATTCAATTGATCTCAAATTTTGATCGACGTACTTTTTGCTTCAAGCAGTAGAAGTTGGAATCAAACCGAATAAATGTTTCTTATGAATCAGGCTTTTGGTTAAGGATCGGCTTAAGTAACCGAACAAAATTGGGACCACGGCTCAAATTACTTGATGGAAACCAACCAAAACTATTTTCTTAACGATCAATTCACACCACAGCTAATAGTACTCGAAGATGCTCCTTCATATTTGTGCTATCTTTACTACTTCTAACAACAAAACGTACCAACCACATACTTAACTAATTTCTTTATCTAGAGTTTGAATGCACTGGGAGCTGCAATTCAACTCAATATCCATCGCCTAAGAATTGTCGTTATTTTCGATTTGTCGTCGTTAATATTGAGTTACACACTTGCACCGTATCCAAAATATGTAGATGAGAACTGAAATCTTTTTATTTGTCAAAAGCAGTTCTAAATCTTTGTATTTTATAAACATGCAATAAATCATACACTAAGTTTTTTTTTTTTTTTAACATAACATAATACGTATTAAACATCATTTCAAACCAGTAAGAAATCACATACTATATATTAAATATTCGAGTACTTCCAAATATTTCGATGTTGATCGAATTAAATTCTTATGTTAACGACATTTTTTTTTGTTAAACTATTAGAATCACATATTCGTGCTAATTTTTGGGGGATGGATTGGTGACGTAATAATATTTTTTATATACAATCCGTCTTCGTTTTCATAATTATACTGTAGTAGCTATTTAACTTCTCATTATAGTCTTTTTTGATAAATCTTCTCAATTCTCATTGTAGTTGGTATCAGCATTTAATTTAGTAGGCCTTTTTAATTGATTAAGATAGGAATTCGGATAGTTAAAAACGAAACAAGGTATAGTAATAGTAAGAAACAATGTATAGTAAGAAAACTTTAGTTAGATACAATGCAGTTGAATCGGGAGGGTTGGATCTTAATTGGCTGAAGGGTAAACATTAAATTCATCCACAACTAACACTAACACTCGCGTCCTAGCAATCACTCTTCCTCAACTACCAATCTCAAACTCTTTCCATCTATAAATAACCTCTCAATTCTCTAACCCTAACCACAACAACAAACACACCAACAAAAAAAAAACAGAAAGTAACATGAGATCTCTCTTACTAGCCGTGTGCCTGGTTCTTGCTTTGCACTTTGGTGAAGCAGCCGTGTCTTGCAACACGGTGATTGCGGATCTTTACCCTTGCCTCTCCTACGTGACTCAGGGCGGACCGGTCCCAAGCCTCTGCTGCAACGGTCTCACAACACTCAACAGTCAGGCTCAAACTACTGCGGACCGTCAGGGCGTCTGTCGTTGCATCAAATCTGCTATTGGAGGACTCACTCTCTCTCCTAGCACAATCAACAATGCTTTGGCTTTGCCTTCTAAATGTGGTATTAACCTCCCTTACAAGTTCAGCCCTGACACCAACTGCGAGAGGTAAAGAACACATCTCACTCTCTCTCTATGTGATTACTGATCTTGTAGCAAAAATTTAAACCACTAATTCTTTCTTTTCTTTTCTCTTTTTTTACAGTATTAAGTGAGACAAGCAGAAAATCTTAAAGGAAGCTACTACTACTACAAGAACTATAATAACCTAATAATAAATGAGGGCATTAATTGGTTTGCTAGTTGCAACGTTGATCAGTGATGTATTGCCATTTCGAATGTTCTAATATAATATCAGCGCAGGCTCTTATCTCTGAAACATTCTCCATGCTTCCACCCTACACACATATACAATTATCAAAATGGTGTTAGTTAGCACTCAAAATCTCGATCAACTGTGAAAATATATATATTCATTTATGTTTCATTACTAACCAAGAATTCCACTGCAAACTACGAAACTGAACTAGCTTCCATTAATGCAACTATATATGTATAATGAATCAGAACATGAAGTAAACCTATACAGCCTAATATTATATGTTTCTGTTAAGTATAGCAATTCCAATATATATCGAAAACCCCAAAACCTGATATCAGAATAATCCCGCGAGTCCTACTTTCAGAAAAGCTAAAAAAGAAAGCAAAATAAAGTGGTGGTATAATGGTAAAAGAAAACTTCTAAATTTGGTTAATTCGATTAAATAAAACTTCTGTGCAATATGATATTTTTATCTGTTCAAATTGCTAAGTAGCAAGATTTATATATCACTTTTTAATATTTAAAACCAAATTACCTATATTGATAGTTTGTTTTGTATATCTGAAAATGGAATGGAATATTCCAAACGAACTGAAAAAAATGAAAGAAATTTAAAACAAATAACATAAATTTGGTTAACTACTGAAATCTTATCAATATAGTTAATTGTTTATGCATATGATCGAGTTTGTCACTAAAAGAGAGATACTAGTTGACATGCAGATTTTGCATTTGTAGCTTCATTCTTAGAGTTTCTTACGGCACTAACCTAACAAACACACAATCTGCATTTCCAACCTCAAACATAACTTTTCTTTTACGTCAAGAGAACGTCATGTTCTTGAAATAAAGAGTAATTTTATCCTTCAACAATTTTTTTTTAGGGATTGATGAAAATAGAGAACCCGATAGCTGAACTGGCGGAAAAAAATGGGTCGGAGTTTAGGACTTTTAATCATTATGGGCCTAATAGGTTCGGCTCATTTTTATAATTTTTGTTTGAAGTCTTCTCTTTTCATCCAATCCAACCAAATAATTTAAGATGAATGATTTTTTTCTTTTTCAAAGGTTCTTTTATATATAAAATGAAGGATTTATTTGACAGAAAATTTTTATTTTTAGTTTGGTTTCATAAAGCATAATTTGTCTTCTTATACATATGTATATATATTAATGTATGAGATAACTTAGTAAAGATAGAAAAAACCTTTACAATATTTTTTTCAAAGTTCACAATTTTTTCAAATATCACAGCATGAAATCATTACAGAGACGATAATATTTTTAAACCAAATTTGTAGAAATAGTGAATATTCATGATTTCTCACCAGTAATATAATAATTAGTCAAACGTGAAAATCATTTTTCTTTCTGTGGCTTGTTCAATAGATCATCCAAAGTAAGCCGACCCTTGTTCAAACCATAATTATATATTCCAACAAAACTCAAAAAGTCTACACATAAGGAGAAAAGTATACGGCCTATACCAGAACATTATTAAATTGCGTAATCAACAAAAACAGCAGAGAAAACGTGCATACTAGTGTTCAAAATTATTTTAAGTTGTTCAATCTTTATAGATTTTTATTTCAAATCTTTTGTAATTCACTTGCCTATAGCTATAATATAGAGAAACTATCCCATTTAAATGATAAGTAACTTTCAGATGGTAATTGGTAAATCGCTAATTAATTGTCATATTAGTTGCATATGATATGATTTGGAAAGCCGATAGCTTAGATATATTTCACTAATTATTACAAAAGCAAACGAATGTATCCACAACTAATATTTCATTGAAAAGTCTAATTACATAAAAAAAATGATGATGTAACTTTGGCTGGTCAAGCCCAAAGCAGAGTCCAACAATGCCGATAAAAAGCGGCAAAGGTCGAGAGGATGCTCCGCCAAAATAGGAAAAAAAGAAGAAGAAAGAATAAAAATACACTTTTAGGAAAGAACTATGAGCTTGAATTGAGTTAAGTCAAGTAAAAACTCAAACTCAGATAGATATTAACCTAATGTTTCTCTGTAGCATTATTTGTGAATACGTGATTAGTTCAATAAATCAAAATTTCATTACACTAACAATTTGTGAAAATTTTCATTTTATCATCAAATACTACTACTTAAGAAAAATGAAAAAAAAAACGATGATGATAGTGTAAAATTCGGGAAGTAGAGAAGAGAAGTGAAAAAGAATGGAGAGTGGTTCGAGAGGGGACCCCACGTGTCCTCTGTTGTCTGAATTTAGAGTTTAGTCGCACGCGTGCATGGCGCGTGTGCTTAACCTTTTTCTCCAATTTTTTTAACTTATTTTAAAAATCTTCCAAAGAACGATGTCAGCGGGTCCCACGTAAGCTAAGACGTGACCGAATATAAACCGTTGATAAGGGGCCAATGCGATCTAAATGAACGGCTAAGATATCGAGTCAACAACCTATCTAATTAGTCATTTTGACCCGAAAAACAAAAACCCAATTAGATTAGGATTAGTAGATAGATACGGCCTATTTTTATTGAACAAATAATTAAAAAAGGACAAAACTAGTTTTCCAAGTTTGACTGAGATGTCGCTTTTCTCGAGGCCCTCTTTACTGGAAATCTAGGCTTTCTCCTGAATTTTACAATTTTGCCTACCTTATCGTTTTTTTTATTAGTTTTAAATTGAAAATTTCATGTGAAGGTATATATATTCTCAGAATTAATAAATGATCCATGTTGTTATTTTAATTTTAGTTATAATCTATGTGGATTTAAAATCGAATCTCAAAGTTAAAATTTCTATAATAATATTATTAACGATCGATGATAACATTAATATAAATCGATAAACGACAAATACGATTGCTAAAAATAAATTAGTATCTAGTTTTAAGATTAAAAATGATAATTGATACAATATATCTAAAAACCAATTTAGAAAGAAGTGCTCATTTATGCATTTTTACATGATACTTGTGATAAATTTATCTGAAAGACACTTTTTTTTTTTACAAACAAATAAAAATCTAATAAATCTTTTTTTAAAAATCAAATAATAAAATGGTATTGGAACATGTTACACAATACATTTTGAGTTATTTTTTTTTCTCTGGAGCCGTTTCTTTATTTTATGACATTTGTATAATAGTATATTTGTGACGAGGTTATAAGAGAGAAGAAAACAAAAAGTGGAGGGCGAAAGAAGAATAAAAAGCAAAGTAAAGAAAATTCCAAACTAAGTTAGCTGAAAGAATTGAATTAAGATTGAGAGAGAGAAAGAGATAGAGAGTTTAAGTAAATATAATAAATCTTTGGATATCTGTTTTGGTTTGAACTTTGACCACTGCCTCTTATGGGTCCCACCACCCTTCTCTCTAAAATCTCTCACTTTCCTAAACAGACAGACCCCTCCCTTATGAGTTTCCTCCTTCTTCTTCTTCTTCTTCTTCTTCTTCCCAGAAATTTCCGATTTCATTTTCGCATCTCTCTTTCTCTCCCTCTCTCTCTCTAGCCGCAGTTTCAGTTTGGTCTCTCCTTAGAATTGTCTTGTCTCTTCCAGGTTTGAACTAACTTCTCTCTTATGTCTGTTTTCAATTTTCTAGATCGAATTCGTGTTTTTGTTTTTTAACCCTTTTTTTGCGTTCGGATAATGAATTTTCTCAGGAATAGATTTTGATTAAATGACAACTCTGATTTCACCGATTAGCTCAGTTCAAATAGTGAAATTTGATTTTTTTTTAAATTGAAAATATCTATCTAATGATAATGCGATTTAAAAAAAAAAAAAATCTTCGATGTATTCCTGGATTTATTATTGTCTTTTGTCTTTACCGAATTTAATCTAATGGATGTCGTCATTATACAAATCGAAAACGTTTCTAACTTTACAGTTCTTTGCTGTTTCACTGTTATAGAATTAGGGTTTATGTAACTGTCCTTTGCTTGCTTCAAAACTTCTTTTTTTTTGAACCACGAGATCTGTCAAAACGAGATTTCATCCACTTCTATTGAAAATTGAGTTCAATTACTTCATTGTTTCAATGAACAATTTCTATGGCCATTGATCTAACACATGCAATAAAACGGATCTGGGTTTTCTATAACTCACCTTTTTTTTGTTATTTCTTGTTGCTAAGAGTTTTGTTTGTTTGAATCTATTTTCAGATGAAATTGTGAATTCTCCGAGTTATATGCATCCGTCAGAATCAAAAACAGCTTTTTAGAGGATTGAAAAGATGGTTTTGGGGTGTTTCCCTTTGAAAAGCAAGAAGAAACGTGGCTCTGTTTCTATGAAGCGGTTAGATCTTGAAGAAAGCAAGCCAACTGCTTTACCTGAGCCACCAAAGATTCCAAGTCGTAATTTACAATCAGCTCCTCCGAGTTTCAGAACTCGTGTGAAGCCAATTCAATCTAACAACGGTGGAACCGGGGAGATGAGTAGCCGGGCAAGAGTCATGTCTGCCCCGTCAAGCATCCACGGTGCAGCGGAACGGGATTTGCTTGCTGGAGTTTACCACGATGAGCAAGATGAACAACCAAGAGATCCACGTACTTCTACTAAAGAATCTAGCCCTCAACCGCTCCCGTTACCATCACCAAGAACTGGTTCTTCGTTGAAGAATTGGGGGAGCTTTAAGTCGTTTAACGGAAGCAGCGGTCGGTTATCCTCATCCGCAGCTGTATCTGGACCTTTACCTTTGCCACCTAGCGGGTCAGTTAGGAGCTTTTCATATGATGAAGTTATGGCTGCCTGTAACGCTTTTTCGTCTGACCGATGCGTCGTGGAAGGTCTTTCATCTGTTATGTATATGGCTTCCTTTGGTGATGAGGCTTCGACCTCAGGCTTAAAGAAGGTTGACGCAACTGTTGTGCGACTTCACGTAACTACTCAGGTATATAGACATTTTTGGTTATGTTACCTCCTAATCATTTATGTGTTTGTTTCCTTAATATTGTTATTATGATTCCACAGAGTATCAGGGAGTTCATTAATGAAGTCAACACATTGGCGTCGCTGCAACACCAGAATCTTTGTAAGCTGGCAGGCTATCATGCCCGTGACGGTTCTGACACAAGAATGTTGGTGTACGAGAGGCTTGCTCTCGGGAGCCTGGACCGGTTACTCCATGGGAGATCAGATGGGCCTCCTCTTGATTGGAACACTAGAATGAAGATTGCTCTATGCGCAGCGCAGGGCCTAACCTTCTTGCATGAAGAAGGCCCTTTTCAGGTACGCTAAAAAAAAACCCATCAACATTTGTGAATTTGGGTGGTAACAAGTTAGTGATTGAGCCCTTTTCTTCCTTTGAATGAACAGGCAATGTACAATGAATTTTCGACGGCGAATATCCAAGTCGATAAAGATTTCAGTGCCAAGCTATCAGGATACGGTTGCGCAGGCCATGCGCCTGAGACAGAGACATCTAATAGTTCAGCACTTGCGAATCTCCCGGTTGAGACGCTAGAGAGAGGGATTTTGACCCCGAAGAGCAATGTGTGGAGCTATGGAATAGTTCTTCTTGAGATGTTGACGGGGCGGAAAAACATGGACGGGTCTTACCCGAAAGAAGAGAGGAACTTAGTGAAATGGAGCAGAGCTTTTCTAGCAGACGATTGCAGGCTCTCGCTTATAATGGATCCTCAGCTTAAAGGTCGGTTTCCGGCAAAAGCGGCAAGGAGCATAGCAGATATAGCACAGAAATGTCTGCAGGTGGAGCCATCAGAGCGTCCAACCATGAGAAACATCGTGGATCAACTTAAGATCATACAGGACATGAAGTACTCGTGTAGGTTCCCTTTAAGAGAACCCGCACCAGTCACGGCAAGGAAACATATGGGAAGATCAAGCAGTCTGAACACGATTATTTGGACCCCGTCATCAGTGCCACCAAGGTCGAGTTTTTCACCGTCGCCTCCACCACGACGACCGTCCGTTTCACCCACAAGGGGACGGCCGCTTGTGTTTCCGCCAGTGTTTCCACCGCGAGCGTGTTCATCTTTGGAGGAAATGGCTCGGGAAGAGGTTAGGAGATCGTCTTCAGCCAGTGGTAGGAGAACTAGCCTCGAAGGGTTTTGATTTGTTCATATCTCTCTTCTTTCTTCTTTTCCTATTTGTTTTTAATTTTTGGCGTTGATTTGTTTTTTGGATTCCAAATATAAAAAGTTTGTTTTTTTCTTTTTCTTTTGTTATTTATGAATCCGGACGTCGATAGAGAGGGTTTGTGATGTTGTACATAATAATCAACATTTCTTCTTCCAGATTAAAAAGAGATTCGAAGTATTGTTGTGTACTTAACTGAGAAACAAAAAAGAAAGCTTCCTTATTCAAGTTTCAATCTCTCTTAACTCTCTTAAAATCTTTTCACAGTGAGCGTCCATGGCTTCCTCAAAAGTGTTTGTTGTTACCTTCACTGCCATTTGAGTTGATCGAACAAATACTTTACAAGATTCCCGCCGAATCCTTGATCCGATTCAATTAGAATCAGTATTCCATATAATGCTAAAACTAAGCATCATTATCCGAAGACCTCATCAACATTGTACAATGAACAAATCTAACTTTTTTCCCTCTAATGGCATTTGTTTTGATTGGAATTTAATTGGTAGTTGGTACTCTGCTCTGGAAAAATCTGATAAAAGCGTATGAAAACCGGATAATTGAATTGAACCGAATTACGGTTCGGTTTAGTTGTTGGTGTGATAAAGGTTCGATTGAGCCGTAAAACCTTCCGTCATCTTCGAGTCCTTTCCATTAGGACCTTATCCACACAGAGCGACTCCATTTTCTCGCCGGCGTAAGAACAAAATGGCCGGAAGAGCGCTTTTCTCTGTATCTTCATGTCCTCCTTCCTTGTGCATCCCTTATTCAACTGCTTCATTTTCATCGGTGAATCGATTGGCGCTCCCCGCCGTCCGGATTTCTCCCCGAACCAACAGATTTCCCAGTTAAGTTCTCTCCTCTTCTCTAAATTCGTGGCACTAATGAAGGCACTGATTTTGAACTTTATATTCCGACAACGTTGATTTTTTGCAGGGATTCACTGCTCTTTGTCTGCTAACGACATCAAAGCCGGAACCAATATCGAAGTCGATGGTGCTCCTTGGCGTGTACTTGGTATTCTTCGTACTCAATTCCTCTTAATTTAGGTTATTTGCTATGTTATGTTACTTGGGATGTTTTTGGAATTGGTAGATACTAGTTCATGACAATTTAAGCTTTGTTTTAGCTTTAATGCTTCTACTTACTCGGAGATGTTTAGGTTTTCAGAATTAATTACTAGTCTATTGAGTTCTTTTCTCGCTTTTTTTGGGGCAGAGTTTCTTCATGTAAAACCAGGAAAAGGTGCGGCATTTGTGAGGACTAAGATCAGGAACTATGTAAATGGTAGCACTGTGGAGAGAACATTTCGTGCTGGAATTTCTGTAAAAATCCTCTCTTTTTCTCTTGTATCTTAATCTGATGAATGATTGTTTAGTTGCACCATCTTGAATATGATCATTCTATGTTACAGGTTGAGGAAGCTAATATATACAAAGAAACCAAACAGTTCACATACAAAGATGGGTCTCAGTTTGTTTTCATGGATTTGGTATGTCACAATGGATCCTTATTTGCTAATGTGGCATGGAGTAGCTTAAAGTTTGTCTACTAATGATATCGTTTTCTCTTGGTTATCAAATGTTTTTTATATAGACCACATACGAAGAAACACGTCTTAACGAATCTGATATGGGTGAGAAGACGAAATGGTTGAAAGAAGGAATGGAATGCATTTTGCTGTATTGGAAAGACAAGGTACCCTCACTTTCAGCTTCTCTGTCAATAGTTCACAGAATTAAGTGGTGATGCTAACTTTGTTTCTGTCTGGATTTTGGCAAGGTTATCGATTTCGATCTACCGATTACAGTTAAGCTAAAAGTGGTTGACGTTGATCCTGGCCTTCGCGGTGATACTGTGCAAGGTAATAATGTTGCACCAATCTCTTGGTGAGAGATCCGTTCTCATGTTTTGGTTTAAACAAGCGTAAACCAAGTGGTGTGATGAATTTTGTAGGTGGATCAAAACCGGCGACAATGGAAACGGGTGCAATAGTTGCTGTACCACTCTTTATTAACGTTGGTGAAGAGATATTCGTGGATACTAGAACTGGTGCATACATGAACCGGGCGTGATCCGGGTCTACTACACCTAGTTAAGTGGTTCCTTAACAACGAGGCAATGATACATCTTTTTTTGTATATGAGAATGTTCGAATCCGGGGACATATGTTTGTTTTTTTGAACACCGAGAGACATAATTTCGATTAAATAAAAATTTATATAACTCTATATAAGTTTGATGGAAAACACCATTCATACAAGAACTAACATAATTTGGTCAATTCTAATGCTTTTCGTTTAACTATTATTAAGGCAATAAGAATAAATGAGGTTCATCAAGCTAGAGAGATTCGATGGAATAAGAGATTTGAGCTCTGAATACGCAAAATTCTCTTTCACTCTCAGAACTTGATGTCTTTGATGAATCTAATGGCGATTGACAAAAAAAAAAAGATGAATCTAATGGCTTGTAAAATTCCTCATTGTGGATTTCAAATCCACATAATCCGGGAAGAAAAAGATACGATCCAAAAAAAAAAAAACAATCAGGACGTTTTCTAATGGGCTTGATGAGAAGTGGCCCACTAAAATAAAGAAAGAATTAGTGGACAAAAAAACCTCCGCCGCATATATAACAACTGGTCAACGTTCTCCCAATAAGATACAGCCACGTGTCTGAATCCCTGGATCTGCGATGCTTCTCTTAAATTCTCCTCTTGTCCTCATTTCCATTTTCGTCTCCTTCCTCAGCCATCCCCTCTGGTAATCGATCCTCCCTCTATCTATCTTTGTTTGAATTCTCTCTCGCATAGTTTAGATTTTTGTATTCTGGATCCATCGAAATTATCAAAATTCATGAATTGTTTCTAATACACGAAACGTTTTAAGTTTAGGTCATAGTTTTTCTGTAGATCTCGATTTACTTGAAATTTTGCTTACTAATAGATCTGAATTATCGAAATTAAAGTTCCTTCTCCTCGAGGGTTTCGTTCGTCCTGTGGAATTTGTAGTCTTTGTACAGATTCTGAATCCGGAAATTGTAGGTATTTGGGTTTTATTCAAGATTTTTTATCGCCGTGAAAGTTTTCCTTTTTTTTTTATCTGGGTTCGAGAAGTTTTCTTAAAATCTCAATTAGAAAAAAGGATCAGTGGACTTGCTTGTATTAATGCTACATCAGATTTGGTCAATCCTGTATCTCAGATCTTATTTGTTCATGTGGTAGCCTCTGAATCTGTGAACTTTCTATGTACTTGCAGAGCTTATAAAACCTTCATGGCATTTGCGCACTTCTGCAGCATCCACTGTTTCCTTAAAATCGGGAAACAACAAGAGCTTCTTCTCCTTGTTATTGGATTGCCTTTTGCCAACATTTTCCAGATCAGCACTTGTTTTAGTCAGTTTTCTCCTCATTAACTTCTGTCGGTACAGAATCCCTCACCAGGCTGGTGAATTCTTGAAGCTTTCTCAGTGATTCTGTATCGATTTTTCGGTGTAAATTATGGTTTCCTCTCACCGTCCTGTCCCCAACAAAATCCAGAAACAGCAATATCTATCCATCAGCCCTTCAAACTCTTTCTTGAAAGATGATGTTGAACTTGAATTCTCTGATGTGTTTGGTCCACTCCCTGAAGAGGCCAATGATATTGCTTACGATGAGCCTGCTGTTGTCTACAGTCGATCCCACTCCTTGGTTGGCCCGTCTTCGCTGGACAGTCATTCTTTGAAGCTGACCAAGCTCACCTTACGAGAGACTGAGGACTCAATTGACTTGGTGGAATGTCTTGAAGGTGAATCGTTAAAAGAAAATGATGAATTCTCTGGTAATGACGACAGTGACAATGAGAAAGCTTTAGAGGGAGATCTGGTGAAAGTCTCAGGTGTAGTAGGCATAGATGATTTTGAGGTTATGAAGGTTGTTGGGAAAGGTGCGTTTGGGAAAGTCTACCAGGTGAGGAAAAAGGAGACCTCTGAGATATACGCGATGAAAGTCATGAGGAAAGATCACATTATGGAGAAGAACCATGCTGAATACATGAAAGCTGAGCGCGATATTCTTACAAAAATTGATCACCCATTCATTGTTCAACTTAAATACTCTTTTCAGGTAAAATCCAACTTCTCTCTGTTTGCATAATATTGATTTTACTTAAAGTACTTCCTAACTTAGAGCGTTATACATTCATCTTGCAGACCAAGTACAGGTTGTATCTTGTGCTGGACTTTATAAACGGAGGTCATCTTTTCTTCCAGCTCTATCACCAAGGGCTTTTCAGGTTTGTTGTAATTCCTTTTTTGAACAATTTTTGTAGTTTCGCCAGAATTCTGCGAAGTTTAATTGGTTCTATTTGTTACTCTTTCACAGAGAGGACTTGGCTCGTGTGTACACTGCAGAAATCGTTTCTGCAGTTTCCCATCTCCATGAGAAAGGCATAATGCACAGAGATCTGAAACCCGAAAACATACTCATGGACACAGATGGCCACGTGATGCTTACTGATTTTGGTTTAGCAAAGGAATTTGAAGAAAACACAAGATCAAACTCCATGTGCGGAACTACTGAGTATATGGCACCTGAAATTGTTCGAGGAAAAGGACATGATAAAGCTGCTGACTGGTGGAGCGTAGGGATTCTTCTGTATGAGATGCTCACAGGAAAGGTAAAAGCTGCGTTTCTTTTTGTTGTAATTCACATGAAGCGTCGTGTCTGGTATTTGTTAAGGTGATGTGTTTTGTGACGCCTTTTTTTTCCTTCTGCAGCCGCCGTTTCTCGGGAGCAAAGGAAAGATACAGCAAAAAATCGTGAAGGACAAGATCAAGTTTCCACAGTTTCTATCTAATGAAGCTCATGCGATGCTGAAAGGGGTAAGTAAACATGAAAATCTTTGTGTAGTAAGAATTATGAAGAAATGAATTTAGAGCAGGTCTAATTCTGACTTTGTAATGAATATACAGCTGCTGCAAAAAGAGCCAGAAAGGCGACTTGGGAGTGGACCGAGCGGAGCAGAGGAGATAAAACAGCACAAATGGTTCAAGGGAATAAACTGGAAGAAGCTGGAGGCTAGAGAAGTGATGCCAAGTTTCAAGCCTGAAGTATCAGGAAGGCAATGCATAGCAAATTTTGACAAGTGTTGGACTGAAATGTCTGTTTTGGATTCTCCGGCGAGCAGTCCCAGTTCGGATCCAAAGGCCAACCCTTTTACCAATTTCACATACGTCAGGCCTCCTCATTCATTCCTTCAACAGTCCACAACGACTTTGTAGATTTACTATATTATGTTATTCCTGTTTCTTTTGTTGTTGTTTGGTTTCTTTCCGAAACTTATGAACATTAAAGAAAACTACTGTTACTTAAGAAACTTAATTTATAGTTCATTTTATGAGATGTTAGTGAAGGACTTCTTGTGATTGACAACTAATTATTGAATTGGAACAAGTGAGCAACTGACAAATGATCTTTGACCCTCGTGACAAAAAACGATGAAAACGTGTGTATATTAAAGATGATAACGATTCTGCTTTTGGACCAGACTATTGTCTCTCTGAACGTCTTGTAATGGGCTTAAAGAATACCGGCCCACTAAAACAGAGAAGAAGTTCGGTTTTCCAATAAAACACGAACACGTGTCCTGACCCCATGATCCACGATGCTTCTAAAGACATAAAAATGGAGCCACGCGCCTTCTGAAATCCTATTCCTTGTGGGTTTGGCATTACCTTTTCCTTCTTTAAGTTGCTTCTCTCCTTCTCGTCTCCTTCCTCAAGCATATTCTCTGGTAAATCCTCTATCTTTGACTTTTCTCTCGCAGAGTTTATTAGATTCCTTTTGTTTTCTGGATATATAAATTATTGAAGTTCATATATTGTTTCCACGACACGAAACCTTCTAGGTCCAGGTCATAGTTTTACTCTATATCTGGGTTTGTTTAAAAATTGCTTGTGTTTTGCGGCAGCTTTTTCCCTAACATACAGACTAGATCTTATTTACAGATATTAGAGTTCGTTTTCCACGAGGGTTTCTTTCGACCTCGTGTCCTGGAAGCTGCTATAGGTTTATTTACCGATTCTGAATCCGGCAATTCTAAGGCTTTGGGGTTTTATTTGGTTGGGATTATCATCTAAAAAGGATATTTGGTCGGTGCCATGTTTTCTTAATCTCAATAATGTTGACTATTGCTTTGGTAATTCAAAAAGAATCTTTTCACTTGCTTATTTTAATTCCTATTCGTCTCTTCATTACTTTGTCAATCATTTACTTGAGATTTTGTATGATCATCATGTTTTAGCCTCTGAACTTTTGTGAACTTTTATAACCTGCAGAGCTTAGAGCAGCACGTTGATGGCATTGGGACACTTGTGCAGCATCCACTGTTTCCTTAAAATAGGGAAACAAGAAGAGCTTCTTCTCCTTGGTTTTGGTTTGCCTATTCCCAGTTTCTTCCTCATTAACTTTATTGGTAGGAGAGCCTCACCAATCTGGTGAACTGAAGCTTTCTCTGTAATTCTTTTGGCGATTGGTTAGAAATATGGTGTCTTCTCAGTGTCCTGTTGCAAACAAAAACCAGACTGGGAAGTCGTTTCAGAAACAGCTATATTTATCCATCAGCCCTCCAAAATCTGTCTTGAATGATAACCTTGAACTTGAATTCTCTGATGTGTTTGGTCCAATACCTGAAGCTAACTCTGAAGAGGCCAGTGATGTTGCTTACGACGAGCCTGCTGTTGTCTACAGTCGATCCCACTCGTTGGTTGGCCCGTCTTTGGTTGTTAGCCATTCTTTGAAGTTGAACAAGCTCACTTTACGAGAGACTGAGGACTCAGTTGACTTGGTGGAGTGTGTTGAAGGTGAATCTATTAAAGAAAACGATGAATTCTCTGGTATTGATGACACTGACAGTGATAAAGCTCCAGAGGGAGATCTAGGGGAGGTCTCAGATGTAGTAGGCATTGAGGACTTTGAGGTATTGAAAGTTGTGGGACAAGGTGCATTTGGGAAAGTGTACCAGGTGAGGAAAAAAGACACTTCTGAGATATACGCGATGAAGGTTATGAGAAAAGATAAGATTGTTGAGAAGAATCATGCTGAATACATGAAAGCCGAGCGCGATATTCTAACCAAAATCGATCATCCTTTCATTGTCCAACTTAAATACTCTTTTCAGGTAAAATCCAACTTCTCTCTGTTTGCATCCTATTGATTTTACTTAAAGTACTTCCTAACTTAGAGCGTTATATGTACATTCTCTTGCAGACCAAGTACAGGTTGTATCTTGTGCTCGACTTTATAAATGGAGGTCATCTTTTCTTCCAGCTCTATCACCAAGGCCTTTTCAGGTTTGGTTTAAATTCTTTTGAACTAGTTTTGGAGTAATTTTGCCAGGCTTGACTAAATTTTATGTTATTTTTGTCACAGAGAGGACTTGGCTCGTGTGTACACTGCTGAAATCGTCTCTGCAGTTTCCCATCTCCATGAGAAAGGCATAATGCATAGAGATCTGAAACCCGAAAACATACTCATGGACGAAGATGGCCATGTGATGTTAACTGATTTTGGTTTAGCAAAGGAATTTGAAGAAAACACTAGATCAAACTCCATGTGTGGGACTACAGAGTATATGGCTCCTGAAATTGTTCGCGGAAAAGGACATGATAAGGCTGCCGACTGGTGGAGCGTAGGGATCCTTCTATATGAGATGCTCACTGGGAAGGTAAAATGTCTAATGTAGTTTTGCCTAATGTCTTGGTATATATGTCTAAGGTGATCGTTGAAAATGTGTTGTGATATCATTTTTTTTTCCTTGTGCAGCCGCCATTTCTCGGGAGCAAAGGAAAGATACAGCAGAAAATCGTAAAGGACAAGATCAAGCTTCCACAGTTTCTGTCTAATGAAGCTCATGCCTTGCTGAAAGGGGTAAGTAAACAAACAAGAGAACACATTATCATTGGATTTTAGACCAACTCTGATTCTGAGTTCTGACTTTGTAATGAATGTATAGCTGCTGCAAAAAGAGCCAGAAAGGCGACTGGGAAGTGGACCGACCGGAGCAGAGGAGATAAAACAGCACAAATGGTTCAAGGCAATAAACTGGAAGAAGCTGGAGGCTAGAGAAGTACAACCAAGTTTCAAGCCGGCGGTTTCGGGAAGACAATGCATAGCAAATTTTGACAAGTGTTGGACTGAAATGTCTGTGTTGGATTCTCCAGCAAGCAGTCCAAATTCTGATCCTAAGGCCAACCCTTTTTCTAACTTCACATACGTCAGGCCTCCTCCCTCATTCCTTCACCGAACCACATCCAACTTGTAGATGAACTATAATATATTACTCTTGCTTCTGCTGTTGTTTTTTTCCGAAAGTTTGACTACGAAACTTATTTCTATTTAATTATGATATCTTATTAAACTTGGTGAAGGAATTGTTTTGATAGAGAACAAATTGTATATTATTGAACCAGAGCAGCTAATATTGACCGTTGACCCTCTTAAACGAAATAAAAACTTTGAAAACGTAAGTAAGATGATAAAGATGTTTCTTTGGACCAGACTAGTTGCATCTACTAACCAATTCGTTTTATTGTTTCGAGTTTCATTGATAGTAAAGTTCAAGTCAAAGTCAAAGTGAAAGTGAAAGTGGTTCTTTTGAATCTTTTAACTTACAAATACAATTTATAAATTGTGAAGACTTGAATAAACGACAAACTTATCTAAAATCCTTTTCTTCTTGGCAATTTATCTATTGCAGAAAGCTCTCTTTATGTGAGGATTGACACACACTCTCGCAGTTTTATTTTGTAGAAGAGTCATTAGTATTATTTTAGCTTCCATTCGGACTAATTACAGAATAACAAGAAAACTAACTAATTCAAGAAGACTAACTTAAAGATGGCCAATGTATGTTGTACTTTTGGTCTCTATACACTATAGTCATGTAATGTTAAGGTTCTATCTGGTTTAGGAACGGTCCAAGGCTTATCCCTAACCACAAGGTGACTTCAAGCCCGATCTCTGCTTGAGAGATTTGTGAAAGTATAGAAAAGGAGAAATCAATGGTGGACAAACGAAATTCGAGATGATTGGATGATTGTTGTTCCTCACTAGTAGATGTATGATACTAAAGAAGAAAAGAAAACAGAGAGAGCCTTATTGCTTGCACATTTAGATTGAGACGAGTCAATAATATATTGAGTAATGAGAATGAAAAAGATGCATATTATATAAAACAGGATGATCTAACTCAATTGTTTTTGTGACGTTTTTAACTTTTTTTGCATTTTACAACCATTGATCACCGCGAAAAAGAAGACCTCAGAACACAAGGCTGGGAAAGTCAAGAAGACCGTTGAGGACTTTCAGGCACAGAATCAATGATAGAAGTAACCTTCTTCTGTAGCTCCGGTTTGTTTGCTCCAACAAGCTTGCCTATTTGTTGTCCATTCTTTAGGAAGAAGAAGGTTGGGGTTGCCTTTATGTCCCATGATGAGCTAAAATCCTGCACATACACATTTAAGATTTTGTAAGATATGAAAAGAGAAAAGGGAAACTATCTATATATATGGGGATAGAGTATGTATACTTACGCTGAGTTCATCAACATCTACAAGAAGGAACATAAGAGAAGGGTGTTTCTCTGAGAGCTCGATGAAATATGGTGCCACAATCTTACACGGACCGCACCATGTCGCACTGAAGTTTGCAACCACCTGTTTAAAGAAAAGAGAAGATATATGAGCATGAGATTGAGAAACAAACATACACTCCATGGACCATGAGAGAGAAAAATCAAAAGGGAAAAATTACGATTTTGCCATCACGACCAGCTTCAGCTAATTTCTCATCCCAACTCTCTTTTGTTGTAATTAGATGAACATTGCCACCGGAAAACTCGACGTTATGGACGGAATCATCGTCTCCTTTGCCCTATGTAGCAAGACAAGAAGGTTTTTTTTTTTTTTTTAATTTTATCATCATGGCACAGACAACAATTTCACGCGACAAAACCAAACAAAGGGTTTCGTTTTTCAATACTGTACCTTAGAGACGCAGCTACCCATTTGAATGTTCTGGAAATTCGAATTTGCCTGAAAATTGAAAATCGTTTTTTTTTTTTGAAATTCCCTGGAATTACAAAAAGGAAAACAAAAAAAAATATTCAGTTCATCGAATTGCGAAGAAGATTCAATAACGAAAAAATGAAAAAGAGTTAGGCGATTCCATAAGCACAGAGAACAAAAGAAGGGAGGGTTAAGAGAATTTGAAACGGCAAAAAAACGGACCCTTGAGATCGGATACGATCAGAAGCTAAACATGAAAATTTTAGAGCGGAGAAGGAAGAGAATCGTGTGATTTACCTAAAATTTGTGTTTGTGTTCTTCTGGTGTTGTTGTTAGAGATGGGGAAGAAATGAAAGAAAACGCCGTCGTGTTTGAGGGAAGAGACCAAATTAGAAGAGTCGTTGATTGGAGAAGAAGCTCCCTCCCATTATGACCGCGTCAGACCCAATTTTCCCCTGTTACTAAATTTACAACTCTACCCTCCTCCTATCCTCTCTGTCCATTCCACCTTTTTTTTTCTTTTTTCTTTTTCAACATTCACTTTATTAGCTATCAATTCGAGTCAATTATTAAAAATTTATTTTATTATTATTAACCGTACTAGATTGCTCTGTACTTTTCTCTTCTTTTTTTTTTGTCGGCAACTCAAAAACGAAGAAACTAGCTAGACAAAAGTATCTTAATGGACTTTGTTTAAACCATTGTTTGTTTAAACCGTATACACTTGCCACAGTTTAGTCGATGCTCAAAACAATACTAAAGAGGATCAAGATTTAAAACGATTCTAAAGAATTTTTGATAACATTTTGAAATTAATAAATTACGAGCTTGTTGCTATAGCAGTTTCCTGCACAACCAAAGTGTGAGGATTGGAAATTTAAAATGAAACCCCAAAAATAAGAATATGATCAGAGCACTGAAGACAAGTAAAAAAGAGCAGCTAAAAATATCTTTCGATTATCACATCATAACCATTGCTAAAACTAACCAAAAAAAAAAGCAACTGTTTTTTCTTCAGTTTTCTATTTCCATTGCCAAGTAAGACATCCTTTCCTTGTCTAGACCAGCTTTCTCTTATCATCCCATTGCGTACTTCTGTGTCCAGCTTTGCGCCACTGACTCGTACTTGGATTTATTTTCCTTGTAGAGATGAGCTATCTCCGGAACAAGAGGATCATTTGGGTTCGGGTCAGTCAGCAGCGAGCAAATCGACAACAAAACCTATAATTCCACAGCATCAATCAGTCGCATTATCGCACAAAGTTCGCTGAAATAGTAGTTTTTACAGAACATAACGGTGGTAAAATACTAGTAGAGAGACAAAACTCAAACCTTGGATATAGTAAGAGCAGGACTCCATTGCTCTTTCAAAATATCAAGGCAAATACTTCCATTGCTATTGATGTTTGGATGGTACACCTTAGTCTTAAAAGACACCTGCAAAATCGTATACAAATCGCTAATAAGCCTGATGATCATAAATTTTCATTCCATATCAGATGATTAATTAGTGTGAAAAAACACAACACCTTTGGTGGCTTGAAAGGGTAATCCAAAGGGAAATGAATGTTGACCAAAAATACGCCTCCGGAAAACGGACTGTCATGGGGTCCCATGATAGTTGCTTGCCAATGGTACATGTCCTTCTCAGCCACAGGACCTATAAGAAAGACGTTAGGTACAATAAGACCCATTTATTCATCAACTCAGACAACAAAACCCACATGATCAAGTGCCTCTCTGGGTATTCTTAATTGTATCAAGAAAAGGTTTAACGAGTATTTTTGAATAGAGAACAAAAAAAAAAAAGGTTCATGCAGAGTAGATATTGTAACAGCAAACAGAGAGGAGCCTAACAAATCAAAGCATTACTACCAAAACAAAACTCAGAAGCATAATGTTGATGAAATAAAAGTGTGACGTATATCAAACCCTAGATTGAATAATTAAGGAATCAAGTTCAAAAGTGGTTTTGTGTGTGAATCAATCAGTTACAATCAGCCAAGCAAAGGGAGATTACCTGCGCTACAGTTTGCAGGAGGATCCCTCTGAAGGTCCCTGAGTTCCCTTGAAATCCGATTCAAAACCGACATGCTTTCAAACACGAAAACCTGCGGACGAGATAAGCAACCATAATGAATATTAAGGAATTCAACTAACACCACAACAGATCATAGAGGAAGACGAAGAAAAAACACGTAAAGTAAGTGATCATAAACCCTAACAAGTAGATTGAAAGAAACATACCACAACCGGAGATTGATTCTTTCTTTCAAGGCCACACTACTAAAGAGAGAAGAGATTCGTGAAAATCCTAAAACCCTCTGCTTCTCCTTTATAGTCGTCAGGAATCTAAACAAGTCAGTCTCGAAGCTTCTGATTCTGTCGGCAAGTACCGCCTGACCTATTATTAGTAGGATCCATGCCGGACAATATTGGAAAATTGCAATAAATTATATGTTTACTTTCTAAAACACTGGTTATTGGTTTGATATGTGTTTTGGTATTTTCTAAAATCGCCATCATAAAAAATATGTATACTTTCTTAAATGTTATATTTAAAATTAGGTATTTTTTGAATAATACTGAAAATTTTCAAAATTATCATTATCACCCTAAATATACCAGTTTGGATGTAAAAGTTAATAGAAGTTTGGGAACGAGTTTTGTATTTGGGATCTCCGTAGATTCCTAACTATGGAAGGCTAATAGTTAGTTTGATTCATGCGTAGATGCGAACCCCTTAGGTCATGAGTGAACCAAACAGTCCAAACATTGCGTTTGGGGTGATTGGAATTGCAGTTTCCTGGAACCAAGTGAGGAGAGGCAAAACAAGAGAGCAAAAGTAGACCCAAAAATCGAAATAAATAGTTTATAGCGATCAGAACAGAAGAGGATTAAGCAACTAAGTTGTTCATACATAATAACGTTTGCTAAACCAAACAAGTGCATTTTTTGTTTAATTTTATTCCCATGCGCAACAACATATCCTTTGCTTGTCGAGACCATATTTGTCTTATCATCAACCCATTGCGTACTTCTGTGTCCAGCTTCTCGCAGTTGACTCGTACTTGGATCTATCTGTCTTGTACATATGAGCTATCTCCGGCACAAGAGGATCATCTGGGTTTGGGTCAGTCAGCAGCGAGCAGATCGACAACAGAACCTAATTTCCACAGCATCAATCGCTCGCGTTATTACACAGAATTGGGTAACATAATTGTGTTAGATGGTACTAGTAGAGATACACAAAATCGAACCTTGGATATAGTAAGAGCAGGACTCCATTGCTCTTTCAAAATATCAAGGCAAATGCTTCCATTGCTGTTGATGTTTGGATGGTACACCTTAGTCTTAAAAGACACCTGCAAGAGCGATCGGATACACATCACAAGATCAATGATAAAACCGATGATCAGAAAGAGTCTCATTCCACAACACATTACCTTTGGTGGCTTGAAAGGATAATCCGGAGGGAAATGAATAGAAACCAAAAACACTCCTCCGGCGTACGGACTTTCAGGAGGTCCCATGATAGTTGCTTGCCAGTGGAACATGTCCTCAGCCACAGGACCTATAAGAACGTGAAAACAGAATTACATCAATAATTGACATAAACTCAAAACCATGCTGAGCTCTAGATACTTGTCAAATACAGGACAAAAAAAGTGCATATAAAAACAACAAAATCTATGAAACCAGCGCATGAAACTAGCAAATAAAAGCTTTAGCAAAAAAAACTCAGAAGCATAATATGGACTGAGGAAATAAAAGTATGATACTTAATACACTAACATACACCAATAATCTAATCAAGTGAGAGTAAGGAACCTAGTTCAGAGTCATTAGTGCCAAGTGATTAATTGGTTATATAAAAATCAGATTAGAGAAGAGAGATTACCAGCGCTGCAGTTTGAAGGAGGATCCTTCTGGAGATCCTTTAGCTCCTTCAAAATCCTCTTAGAAGCCATGCGTCAGACACCAAAACCTGTGGAAATCCCCCAACAAGACAAGAATATTATTGAACAGAGGACAAAACTAAAGGCAATCAACTTTTATAACATAACAGATCACAGAGGAAGACCAAGAGACCGAACAAAACAACAGAAAACGTAAGTGATCGGAAACCCTATAAGTGGTGGAAACTAATCGCGCAAAATAAAACAGAGGAAGATTCGGGGGAGAGAAAGAAATTAGGGTTTTAACCAAATAGAAATGGTGGAATTGGGACCTGGAAGAAGGACGGACACCACAAAGCGAGAGCTTGTTTAACGGGAGAGGAGAGAATCGAGAATAAAAAAGGAGTGCAAAGAGAAAACGAAACTTGTTAAAGCTTCTCTCCTACTTGCCTTTCTTTATAGTCAGAGAATCTAAACAAAGTCAGTCTCGAAGCTTCTGATTCTATCAGCAAGTACCGCCTCACCTATATTTCACTTTTTCTAATTATTTAATTCTCGTCGCAAAAGGTTTTTTTTTTATTTCACCCAATTAGGACCCATGCAGTCGAAAAAAACAGAGCAATGAATTTTTGCTTTTTTTATTCATGGTATTTAATTATTTATCTTTTTGAGACAATAAATTCCACATATGTGTAATTTTAGTGGATATACAGAATTTTTTAATTTGTTTGTGACTTGAAACATTGAATAATAACAAATTTACAATGGTTCTATAATTTTTTCGTTTTTGTTTTTCTTGGCTTTTTAAGAAAATCACTTTGTTAGATTTTCAAACAACCAAAGACTTGTGATTCAGAAAATGGTTTTGAACGAATCCTACAACAAAAAATGAAAAATTGAAAACTAGCCATACTTAAAACCAATCTAAGAATTACAACCATTCATGGTGAGGATTTCAATTACACTACTTTTCCAGATGTTTGGAAAAAATTATGCAGTCAGACATATAACTAGGAAACGGTTTATTATATGAAGAAGAAGAAGGAAAAGCAAAATAAATAATTTGAGAAAGAGAAGAAGAGAATAAAAAAACAATCTAAACCGGGCTATCAGAGCTTCTGATCATTTCGGGCGAGGAGGCTCTGTTACCAGACCCTGAAGGTCGTATCTCCTCCATCATGTTTACCACTTCCTCCATGGTAGGCCTAGAATCTGGATGCTTAGACACACATGCCATTGCTATCTGCAACATCTGCACCATCTCTTCCTCTACGTTGTGTTGCTGCTTGATCAGCTCTACGTCAAACACTTCTCCAGTCCACTCCTCTCTCACCACTGACTGCACCCACTTTGGCAGATCCACCACTTCTTCATGCCCTGTCGTCTTCCCGGCTGCTTTCCCTGTCAGCATTTCTAGCAACAGTACACCAAAGCTGTAGACGTCGGATTTCTGAGTATGTTTACGGGTTTCTATTGCCTCGGGTGCTCTGTAACCTAAGCTTCTTGATGGGATCAAGGTGTGATGGCTCATCAATGGAGCTATACCGAAATCAGAGACACAGACTTGGAGCTCTTGGGTTAAGAGGACATTTGGTGATTTGATGTTTCCGTGTAGGAGTTTAGCACCAGATGCAGAATGGATGTGAGAAATTCCCCTTGCAGCTTCCAGACAGATCCTTAACCTTGTTTCCCAGTCTAACGCTGCTCTTCCTCCCTCGTTGTTTCCTGCATAGAATTTATCTAAAATGTTACTTTAAAGCCACGTTTTATAATCTTGAATAACATGTGAAACATCATATTACCATGAAGCAGCATGGAGAAATTTCCCCCTTGGTAGTAATCATACACGAGTAATTTTTCATCTTTCGAGAAGTAATAAGCACGGAGAGGAGCTACATTCACGTGTGGACTGATCCTTCCCACGGCTTCCATCTGCTGTTCGAACTCCCGTTTCCCAGCTGCTACTTCTTTCAGCCTCTTCACCACCACTGTGGTTCCTTCCTCTAAGATGGCCTTATACGTTGTGCCGTAGCTTCCTTTCCCTAAAACTTCAGCCGAGGCTCTGAGTAAGTCCTCAAGATCAAAGTTATATGAACTTCCTTCAAAGAAGACCAGCTTGTTCTTCTCTGCCTCTTGCACCCCACTCCCAAACTCCTCGGCCTTGTTGTCACTCCTCCCGGGTTTAGCTTTTGGCACTGCGGTGCTGTCTTGCCCGCCATCTCTTTTCTTGGCACAGCAAAGGGTTATGATGGCAAGAATGATAAACAACAGAATCGAACCTCCAACTGCAATGCCCACAATAGCACCAGTGGAGAGAACTTTTTTGGCGGTACCACGACCTATATTGGTTGTACCAGGACCTTCTGTTGGTGTTGTCGGTGAAGGAGATGGTGCAGTGTTGTTCTCTGAGCATGGAGTTAGAGGAGCACCGCACAAAAGGCTATTGCCTTGAAATGAGGATGCTGGGAAGGACTTGATAGAAGATGGAACTGACCCGGTAAGATTATTGAAGCTCAAGTTCAAGTATTTAAGGCGAGGAGGGAGGTTAGGAATTGGCCCACTAAGAGAATTGTTTTGCAGGCTTAGATCAGTGAGCTGGGTAAGGTTTTGTAAACTCGTGGGAATGTTTCCAGAGAGGGAGTTGGCGGAGAGATCAAGATTAACAAGGCGAGGAGAAAGAACGGGAGGGATAGTACCAGAAAAGTTGTTGTCGTGAAAATAGAGTGATCGGATAAAAGGAAGAGAAAGAATGACAGATGGAATGTTCCCTTGAAGGTTGTTGGATCTAAGGCTAATAATCCTGAGGGCATCAAGCTTCTCAAATGTTTTCTCTGGTAAAGGTCCATAAAGTCCAGATCCAGGCAAACGAAGTGCGGTTACACGGGCGTTGTTCTTGGAGCAGGTAATACCAGTCCAAGTACCACAGATTGGAGTAGTGGAGTTCCAGTTGAGTTTGCGACTGTGAGGAACAAGAGATGCAAACTCAAGCAGTGCTTGCTTGTCTGAGTCTATGTCTGCAGAGAAACAACGGGAAACAAAAGGCGTGACCAAGAAGAAGAGGAACGCCGCAATAATCTTCATCATCAGTCCTTTGTTAGTTACACTCTCAGGCTCACTCACATCAAAGCTTTCTCATTCAACAGCAACTGCAGCAGAACACAAAACAGATCATGTAAGAGCCACATAACAGTTAACTTTAAAAAATGAGAATTGTATCTATGAATAAGTAGTAGCCAAGAATGACACCAGACACATCACAGGTATCAGGAGTAAAAAGATCAAACACAATGGAAAGCTTCCTTAATAATGACAATCATCGGTGGTAAGAAAAAGTAGAAAAAAATCAACTTGTCCATTAATTAAAAGCAAAAGCTTTTGAGCGAGATGTCTCAAGAACCAAAGTGGGAAATGTGAATGATGATAAATCGAATATAGCAATCAAAATTGGCTGAAGAATTTTCGAGTTCAAATAATGGTAATACGAAAATCTTCAAAAACCCCAATTACGAAAGATACTAATTTTAGAAACGATTAGTATGAAAAATGTGTGCCCATGTACTTGTTAACCCAGATCTGCAATCTACAAATGAAAATTAGACACTAGGGTTTATCCAGCTAGCTAAACGGAGTAATTGAAATTGAGAAAGAAGAAATCTTTTAAGGAAAACATAACGAAGCTAAACCCAAAAAACAAAGATCGAAAGTGAGTGAGAAGGAGAGAGAGAGACCTTTAGAGGTTGGTTCAGAGGAGAATGGTGAGGGACATTGGTGAGCTAATCGTAGAAGAAGACTTGAGTGAGAGAGTGGAGAATAAATGCCAAAGGAAAGGGGATAGTGGAGTAATCACTTTTTAAGCAACGGCATTTCGTGAAGAAGAAGCTTGAGGAGCTAAAGGCAAAAGCGGAAAAGAGTGAGGAATCTGGAATCGCCATTGATGCAGATTCAGTGACACAACCCCAAGTGATTCAAGAGTCAGAAGAGAGAGAGAGTGGAGATTTTTGAGAAAACGTTGGGGGTTTCTGGCTGAAAAAAGTATGGAAGCTTCGGCGTGACGCCAACGGAGAAACGTAAATCTCGATGTTTCAGTTTCAGATTCCAATCTCTCTTCTCTCTTCTCTCTTCTCTCTTCACTTCTTCTCTCTCTCTCTTCTTCTCTCTGTACTCCGATTTGCTTTTGCTCTTTGGCTTTAAGCCCCCCTTTGACTCTTTTTAGATTTTTTTTACTTGCTAATCTAAATTAAAAATTTGTCCTTTTGTTAATTTCTCTTTGTTTTTATTCTAAACGAATTATTTATACCTTATAGCTTTTAATAAATTCCCAACATTTAATTTTCTTATTCTTTTAAAATCATCGTAATTTTCGTATTGAATGGGTCACCAGTTGATTAAATGAATATATGACTTCTTTTGAGAAGTTTTGAACTTTTTTTAATAACTTATGTGAAATTATGCAACTTATAAATCAGATGGATAATTGTGAAATTCTTTAAACAATAAGAAAATAAAAGTATTTCAAGAACAAAATGGGTAAGGAAAACAACTAGAGTAGGGAATATTCAACAAATTATGTTGCAAATTGAGCTTATTTTATTTGATATTTAATTCGGGTAAGAGGGTATCTTTCTTAAAAATGGACCCCTGAAGAGAAGGAGTTTGGTATGTGACATTAATGAGGGTATTTATTAATTAGGGGTAACATAAAAAGAAAATAAAAACTAAATTGAAATCTTCTTAAATCTCAAATATGACATTAATGAAAGTCAATTTCTGGAATTAATTTTTTTCTTTTTTCAGAACACTGGCGTTTGTTGGTTGTGTGCTTCGCTGTCACCCATTATTAACTTAGCTCTGTCACTGATTCACGTTAGGCGCGTGAACCTCTCTTTCCTCTTTTCACATTCTAATTGTTTCGTTCATGATCAATTCCAACAAGAGTCAGTGACCTTGAGGTACAACATTACGTTACCATATCCTCAAATTTTATAAAACTAGTAACTACAAAGTTACAAACCTCACTCAATAGCCATGAATCAAGAATCAATAACCGAAGAACCACTTAGAGCCTTTTTCCACCATTGACAAACAAGCAAACAAATTATGTAAGATAAATAAAAAAGAGAGAAGTGGTTTTAGAAAGAAAAAAAGTTGTTTACTTCTGGTGTGTGTGTGTGTGTGTGTGTTATAGTGGGGCAAAGGGCTCGGGAAGTAGCTCAAAGCCTCCATTGTCAAATATGAGTCCGTGATCAGACGACCGGTCATCGATGCTATGTAACCAGTTCGTGTTTTTGACGTCCTCTTTCAGCAACAATGCATCATACCTTGAGCTCTCATACATGTCCATGTCGCACAGCTTCCCCATAAGTCTTCTACCCTCATTTACTTCATTCCCGTTCTCTGTGCCGTTGCTGCTGATAGAATCCGAATGATTATTCCCAGAACGGATTGGCTGGATCTTGGATGAGGCTGGTCTGATGCTCTGAGGGAATAGCGTTGTGGTTGATAGTGCGCAACCATTAGTCTTCCCGTTTCTTATGTCCTACACGCACCATAAAAAATGTTGAGATATTCATAGCATGGTAAAAGGCTACTTGCTCTTAGTGAGAAGAGATATGTGTACCATGTGTCTAATGGCCATATCGAGTGAGCTTTTTGAGAATGACCTCCCAAGTCCGTTATTATTGTCCGTGACAGTTGTCGAGGTCTTCACGGTTCTCCGTGAAGTTATATCAGAAACGTTTGAAATCCTCCGGGGCTCTGGTGCATCTGTGAGGTGCTGTCCATTACCACCAAAACGGCCTTTTCCTTGGGTCTCAGCAAGTCTTCCTCTCGTCACGATAGGAGATGAATTCCTTCTTGTGATGGGACCTTTGGGTTCTGGACTTGTCTTTGCCATGCTGCTACCAGCGACTGGCCTGGACCTGCCAGCTGATATTGGTCTGTCTTGGAGAGATGTTCTGAGATTAGGTGGTGTATTAAGAGGGAAGTCTGCTAGCACAATTGGCTGTTGCTGGGTGGTTCTAACTCTAGGTCCAGGAGAGCTTGGCCTAGACAATGAAGGTGCAGTACGACCATTTGATCCAGCACGTCCACCTGAAATATTGGATCCTGATGTTGCAGACACTGAGGTGGATGGGCTTCGACGGGTAGGGGTTGAAGGACGAGAATTTGGTCTAGAAGAAATTATATTTGGGGAGTTTGCTGAGATCTGTGGTCTAGAAGTTGGAGTCGATGGTCTTGAGCTCAGGGACGGTCTGGTCTTGTCCACGGATGAACTAGATGACCCTGGACGGATTCTCGACGGGGTTGAGGAGCGTGATACCGAAGAAGTACGGGTGGGAGTGGAAGGTCTAGCTGAAGATGACGAACGGGAACTCGGGGATGATGGTCTGATGTAGGATGAGACTGAAGCTGAACTAGTGTTGAGGACGGAAGATGGTGAACGGCCTGAAGTAAAGGAGCTGTATTGTGAGGTGGAGATGGATGGGCGAGTCACAGAGCTACTTCTAGCCGGACGGGAGGAATGGTAACTGCTCTCTGACTGCGAAACTGAAAGCTGTAAAGGGGACAAAAACAGCATTCGTATATGAATAAGGTAATGCCGTTGCATGACTTAGAAAGTTATGGAGACAAAAACAGCAACTTTTTGAAGTTGTTGATTGTCATCAAGAATCAGATGTTGGAAAAAAGGGAAAACTCAAAGAAGAAAAGCCGTTAGTACCCTTGAAGCCTTTGAAGCAGAACTGGCTCTAGCGGAGGATGCAATCTTTGGAGCTGCCAAAGATGAATGAGAGTCGGTTCCAAGAGGTGTTCCAGGAGGTGTAAGAAGCCTAGAGAAAACATAAATGTGCCAAGAGATAAACAAGCGTCACTTCCTATACATAAATTTATCCTTCCCAAAGGCAAAAAAACAACAGAGAATTCAACACTCCCAAGTGCAGGTAACCAAAAGATGAGCAATTTAGATAACAAGAGTGGCCAAAAGATGAATAACACTCTTTGTAAATGAGCCACTGTTCAATTGGAAGCACAATGATATACAAAGAGAGAGTAAATCAGTGACCAGAGATTCGCCAGAAACTTACCAATCATAGTCATTTTTTCCTCCTTCACCTGAAGACAATAGATCATCACCTTTACCTTTGGGAGCTATTTTGGATCCAACAGAGAGTCTCCCGAGTTTTGCAGAAACTATAGGAAGACAAAAGAAAAACATAGGATGCAGAGATTTAGTTAAGAAAGGAATCAAACTGATGAAGTAGAACAAGATCCAGCAAATTCTTTATTGGTCCCCATTTTTTGAGATGACGTTGTCTCTCATCAAATCACTGTAATTGAAAAAGCAAAAAGATCGAATCTAGGAGACGAAGACAGTTCGAACAAAAATTAGGGCAGCGACCACAGAACCAATAAATTGAGTAGAGAGTGAACATCGTTTTCGTCTCCGAATCTGACAACTGTGTCTCGTAGCAGCAAATTCGAAGATCCCCAGATATATAATTAGAAATTATATTCATCGAAGCAAGCACAAGTAATCGATTTCCACAAAAGGTAAATAAAAGTGAATCTGAAACGAACCGTCGGGTAATTCGTCGGAGGAAGCCAATGGGAATGAGCGACGGATCTTAGAGAAGAGATCTAGATTCTCATCGGAATCTCTAGAGAAGCCATTTTGAGAGATATTGTTGTTATTGCCTCTGCGAAACTGAGAGATCGCCGGAATATTCCTCCCACCGGCAAGAGATTCTCTGAGATTCCTATTCATTGTCGGAGGAGAGAGAGGGAGAGAAGCAAACGAACGAAAGCAAAAGGCTAGAATCGAGGCACTATGTGGGAAGAGTTAGCTTACAATTTACGGCATTAGAGAACAAAGAGAGAGAGAGAGAGATTCAGATCTACAAGTAGTAGCTAGTAATGTATAATTTGTGTCACTTCCAAGTTGGTGAGGATATTGTACCATCTAATGTTATCACGATGCATGTTCATCTTTCATCAATCATACTCCTTTTTTTATTTCTTTTTAGATATAAATTATTTATGAGGCGGAGAAGTGAAGGTAGTTTCCTAATTTCTTGGTAATATTATAGTATGCTATAAGAAGTTGAATTATGAATGTGTATGAGTTAGACAACACGTGGTCTTCTCTTTCTATATTAGTAAATTTTAGAAGTTGAGATTTAACCAAATCTTTTAATAATTTTGTTATTACAGATGACGTACTATTTCCGGAAACTTATAAGAAAAACAAAATTTACACTAAATAACCGTAACAACGAACAACACATAAACATTTTTACTGTAATAAATCTTTTTTAGACGAAAGAAAAATATACTTTTATAAAAAAAATTCTTATCGGGATAATTATGAACAAAGACGGCTCGGACCCGACCCCATTTATTCCCATGTTTTCCTTGTTTTTATAGGCTGAAAACGAGACCTTCTTGTTCTTTAATGGGCCTACTTCACACTCCTTCCGGCCCATTATACCTCCCGCTACACATGACTTGTCTCCGTTTAGATAGCAACCCCTTAAACGGTGACGTTTTATCTACCTCTTCTACTACTTGTTTTTCTTTCCGATAACGACCTTGATTTCCGGTTAACCTTTTGCCGGTTTTCTCCACCGAAGATCGCAATCCTTCCAATTCCTTTGGATAGTGACGTCAAGAAGGTTCCACCATTATTACCAGATTTCTCCATCATCTCATGTTTCATCAAATTATGTTCTTTCTCTAACTCACTCACTCTCACTCTCATCCTCGATATCTCCAGCTTCAGCTCTCTGTTTTCTCTCCTCAACGATGCATACGTGTCTCTTGGCGAAACCGCTCGGCTTCGTACTCCAGACGAAAAAACCCACGACCCTTCTTCCGAATCTCCTGACAGAGCTTTCTTCAGTCGCAACTGTTCTGTGTAAAGCACTCGAACCACCATTTGTACAGGAAGCCGATCGTTTTGTGCCACGTGGTTGCTTGCTTCTTGTGAAAGTTTCTTACAGTCAATGAATTTGCATAGCTTCTTGCATTCTTCTTCTGTCAATAATGGATGAGCCTAATATAAATCCATATTTGATTGTTAGTTTCAGATGTTTTCAAAACATAAAAGAAGACTTTTTTCAATTGTTTTAGTTTACCTTGAGATACATATCAATGGCTCTGTAGATCCCATCGTCTATGATACGTGAGTGTTCGGGTAATGTCTCTATAATGGCCGTGAACTTGAGTAGACTCAGGTATGGATCCGGTGCGATCTCTGCCAAGTAAGCATCCATGATCCGTCCCACTTTCAGCAATGAACTGTGCTGTCCCGTGGCATCCGAATCGTAACCACATTCTTCATCTTCCTCCTCAATCCTCTCAAGAAAGCATGTGAGTATCCTGTGGACAGTATTCACATCGTACATTGAATCTTCGTTTTGGACAGAAGGTATTAGCAGATCGTCGAGAGATACAGTCTCTAACTGGTGCCCGATTCTGCGTTCGAGCTCCAGCCTGCAAGAGATCTCTATATCTATTATAGTTCCGACCTTAAGCATTCCGAAGAGGAAACTGAGAGGAATAATTGGTAAAGAATAAGATCCTTTTTCGTCATTCGGCAAAAGGGTAACCATGGTTTCAATGATTTTCCTCTGCTCCTGACAGTTTGGATTGATGATACCCTTTAATGATGTTTTAGCGTAATGCACCAGAGAAGCGACGATACTCTCTGAACGCACGCCTAATCTCGCCATCTCAAATACAACTCGGGAGTAGTAATCAATCCCGAGAGCAGAGAGCTCTTCAGTCCACAACTCAAGACAATCTCTCCCCTTGAGCTCCTCTGACAAACATGATACTAACTGCTTTCTGCAAGCATTCATAGCAATGGCCTCCACGCACCGGTCAGGAACTTCATATGTTTCAGCAATCTCTTGCGTCTGGCAGGAGCAAAGTACTAGGACAGATTCATGGAAACTGCGAAAAACGATCTGGTCGAGGTAATTCTCGGCTCGAAAGATCAAGTTCTTTTCTTTATAGTCCTCAGTCATCTCGAGATAACCAGCAGCGCAACGAAGAGCGACCACGTTGGAGGCTGTGATCTCGAAATTAATGCCGTAGCAAAATTTCATGGTGAGTTCAAACGTCGGAGGTCCACCTGGGAAATCTCTGAGCTCAATCATAGATGAAGAGTCCTTAAGATCTCTCACCATCTTCCTCATCTTTCCACTCCTAGCTACTAACGGAAACTGCAATGTTTAAATATTCTCTGATGCGTTTGATCTAAAAACAGTAAAGAAAAAGGAATTTCATCGAACAAGTTGTGTGGACTAACCTTGTGAAGTAGAAATGATTCTCCATCGACAACAACAATGATATCACCCGCAACATCAGAGAATATGCTGCAATTTTCATAGAATCAAAACTCAAATCATTACATTCGTATTAACAAGTGAATACAGATAAGCTAAACAGATATTATTACAAAACTGGAGAGAAAGAAGACAGACCGAGTGGAGAAAGTGGAGCGACTGTTGCAAGGAGGAGAGGAAGAAGAAAGAGACAGAGGGCTGTCTGACATACTAGTACCCATCGTGAATCTCTATCTAACTCACCAGATCGCCGGGAGAATCGATAGTACAGAGAATAGAGTTTTGGGGGATTTACAAACCTGTCTCTCTGCTTTTGCTTTGTGTGCAGACAAAGACGCTAACGCATTCTTGAGAAGAAAGAAAGTAACGGAGGATAAAGATTCTCGAGTGCTCAGGAGGAGAAGCTTTATTTAAAAAGCATTACGGCGGTAATAGTTTTTGTTTTATTTTTGTCATCTTTGGATTTGAAAACTATTTACTTTCCTAAATCGGATGTAAAAATAAACTAATTGATTCAATTCTCTAATGAACCGATAAAAACTATTATTCTTTTAAGGAAACGTGAATATCTCTATGTTACTTTATTCATTGTCAATTACTCAATTAGTTGGAGAATCGTAAAAAATTCACAAATCTCTAATCACTCTATAAATAACCCTATCGAATTTCTAGCTATAAATCTAAATTTTTCGTTTGTTCTCAAACTTTTCAAAAACTTTTTTATTTGTTCATGTGTTACAAATTTTTGGAGCGAGTTCATTCCTGGCCGGAACTCTTTTAAACCGGCAGGCCAATTTCAAGCTACATATTGGTCGGACACTCGGACTTTTTGGAATAAGTGCTCAGCCAGACCGGACCGTCCCGTTTCACATGCTAGTGATCTTAAGGCATTTTCAACTACGTCCGAAATCATGACACATATGATTAAGGGCACGTGAAAAAAGAAAAGAGGATGTGGCACGGAATTCCATAAAGACTCCACTATTCTTGCATCTTGGGAACGTACACATTCCCTTCACTGCATCTCCATTTATATCACAACAATCTTTTTTTTTTTTCTTTTTTTAAAGCAACAATCTTAAAGCAACAACACGTTAAAACCATTAATATATAATAATAAAACACTATACATACTTAATACTTTGGTGGAAGTTTGTCCAAACTTGTTCAAGCAAGACTTATACCCATTTTTAGTTAAAATAAAATGGATTGAGAACTGAGAAATGAAGTCGATGTCATATCAAAACCCACCAAATTAAAGAGGAACAAACAAATTGCAAAAGGACAAAGCTAAAGGATATTCTTTGCGCATAGCTAGCTGTGTTTGTTTTGGTATGTTCTTATTGTAGCTTCTCTTGCTTTTCATTCATATACATGTTCATTAGCCAAGGTTGATGTGTAGTTTTCTGTACCACAAAATTATAATATTATACAAAGAGTATAGTAAGTCATTTATAAAAGTTATCTGGACATAGGATCGGTGCCACATATCGCACGCGTTGGTATAACCATCGCTATAGCTTCTAATTGATATTTCTTGATCAATTTGGGGGTATGCTTTATGTATTTATCTCTATTGTTTTCTTATAAATTGATGTGTTTTGACCAAAAAAAGAAGAAGCATTGTTGATGTGTCTAAAGATATTGTGTGTTTAGTTCAGCATATTGGATTTTTAATCACAACAGCCAACAAATATTTCAAACTCATAATATCAACTAATGTATACACAACATGTAATTCTTGCAGCTTGAGTGTCGAACTGTCGACTACCTGCATCCATCTAATGAAAAAAATCAGCCACACTTCTCATCCACTCCAAAGTTTCCAATAAGCCAGCTTTTGTTAAGAAGATAAATAAAATTCTCTTTTTCTGTATTAAACTGTTTTATTTTTTCTTGGACATCTATTAGATTGTATTTATAACATAAATAATTACAAAAAAAATAGACAGTAGACGTGAACCCACGATGAACTTATCCCAATGTGTCCTAAATCACTGATACGGTGCCATGAATCTAAGTATCTAACATTATGGACGTCAATTTCATAATTTCACCTAAATCTGACTTTTTTGGGGGAGATTAGCAAACTCGAGGGTCTTTATCACAAATATTTTAGTAGTGAGCTTTTAGGAGTATTTTATTATTTTTTAAATGTAAAAATAAATGTGAGGGATATTCCTTTGATAAAATTTGGCTTCCGTGATTTATCCCAAAGTCTCCTAAACGAGAAGGGATCCGGTCGTCGCATTAGGGTTCTTTTTTTTTTTGTTTCCTTTTCAAAATTTGTCATCACATCTTCTAAAATTCTTCTTCATTCGCCTGGAATTTTGTTCATGTACATCCGATCCAACATTTTTCGTGCTCCGATTATTACTGGTAAGTTCTGCGATCCCGTTTTTGTTCTAGCATTAATCTAGCTTCGTGGTTGACTATATGGATTGGATGGTCTAAATTGTGTAGAATGGTAGATCAATTCGTAAATTTTTGAAATTGAGTTCGCAAATTGTAACCTGGTAATCGAATTGCTAGAAATCAGAGATTTTTTTTTGGGTCCATTGAGAGAAGAATGGAACGATTATGTTATAACTATGGGTGATATTTGTGAAGATTTTTGCTTTGTAGTTATGGGTTTCCTTATGTTTCGTTTGGGTGATGAAATTATTGTTTTTTCTCTGCAAATTGTTTTAATGCGTTTATAAAGTTATTTGGATCAATCTACTGCTCAGGTAACATAATCCTGTACGCTTTTGTCTATTAACATCGATGAGTTTGAATTTCTGTTGTTGTGATCTGTTAAACTGGTAATGCGCTAACAAGTGCACTTTGAAAATTTCTTATTTACAGTTTGCTGAGTTGAAATTTGTTCTTGTGATCTGTTAAACAGGAAACAGTTACCTCCTCTTGATGCAGTTTTGATTCTACGAAGCCTCAGAAGTTATTTGGTTTTCTTTAAATTAGTTAGTGCTTTCTCTAATCTCTTGTAAGGAGAAAACTTGCTTGAAGATCGTTCAGCATCAAAATGATGCATTCAGGCTGCAAACGACTTCTGCTGCTTCTATTCTTATTTGTCGTTGTATTCACTGGGAACACCGACGCAAATTCTCAGTGGGAGATTTCACATAAAGTAAGAGCATCTCCCCATGAAAATATGGGACGGAATGTTATTGACGGAAGTGGTGTAGAGAAAACCTTACATGACATTGGAATGGGTGAAAAGAGAGGCAGTCACAACAAAGTTTCAGTCTCAACAGTTGCATTGTTCACCTTGGCTATGGCTGCTGCCACTGGGTTAGGTGCTGTGCCCTTCTTCTTTGTTGAGCTTGATCCTCAATGGGCTGGAATATGCAACGGCATGGCTGCTGGTGTGATGTTGGCTGCTAGCTTTGATCTTGTAAAGGAAGGGCAGGAGCATGGCTCTGGAAACTGGGTTGTTATTGGGATCCTAGCCGGTGCTTTGTTCATATGGCTATGTAAGCAGGTAAGCAACTGAATGTTCGGCTGTCAGTAACCTAGTTACTTATTTGCATAGTATTTTGAATTTAAATCTCATGTGTTGACAGTTGACAGAAACCTACTTTTATGTTGTATACTCTTATCATCTGCAGAGTTGTAGAATATCATAGTTTTTAGACACAGCATGCCGAGAAAATCTTGCCTTTTCACTAGTTTTAGAGTTGCATGAAATTTTAGAACTGAAAACTCACTTATTAATTAACCCTGTATTTTGGACAGATTCTTGAACAATATGGTGAAGTTAGTATGCTGGATATTAAAGGTGCAGATGCAACTAAAGTTGTTCTCGTCATAGGAATTATGACACTTCATTCTTTCGGGGAAGGATCAGGGGTTGGTGTATCGTTCGCTGGTTCAAAGGGTTTTAGTCAAGGGCTTCTGGTCACTTTGGCCATAGCTGTTCATAACATTCCAGAAGGGTTGGCTGTTAGCATGGTGCTGGCATCAAGGGGTGTCTCTCCACAAAATGCCATGCTCTGGAGTATAATAACATCCTTACCTCAGGTAATCATATGATGTTCTGTGATCAGATTTCTTTGTTTGCATAACACGATACTGATTCTTTTTTTTTTTTTGCATTTTTACCAGCCTCTTGTCGCTGTGCCTGCTTTTTTATGCGCTGATGCGTTCAGCAAGTTTTTGCCTTTTTGCACTGGATTCGCTGCCGGATGCATGATTTGGATGGTTATTGCTGAAGTGCTTCCTGATGCATTTAAGGTAAATTGCTTGTGGTGGTTTATGAAATCAATGTTAAATGTTCATATTGGAGAAAGATGCGGATTTCACTTAGTATACGGAATTAAATTCTTTTCATTGTAACCACAACAGGAAGCGTCTCCGTCGCAAGTGGCATCTGCAGCCACAATATCAGTAGCATCCATGGAAGCTCTTAGCACTCTTTTCGAGAGTTTCACACATGATTACAAGTAAGACTACGGAGTTCTAGGAAAAGTTATAAGCTGCTCCATTTATTGGTTCTTAAATTTAACTAAGGCTTCATTTTCTCCAATCTGCAGCTCAGAGGATGCTTCTGGCTTCTTCGTTTCACTCCTCTTTGGTCTGGGTCCATTGCTTGGGGGAGTATTTCTGGTTGCATCGGCAGTGACCTTCCGTCTCCAGCACGCCCTTCTCATGGGAGTAGCCTCAGGCATTGCTTTTGTCCTTGGTCTCTGGCGCCCGCTTCAACTGCTGCTATCCGCAAAAATGGGATTTATCCCTCTGGTTAGTCTACTTGCAGTTGGAGCCGGGCTGAGCTATTTCACTAGCTCGACAATCCTGAATGTAACTTGTCGGAAAAAGTCCCGGGCTGGCAGTTTAATAAACCCAGTAACCAATTTTCCAACGAGTGTGATAACACTCCAATCATTATTAGCGTGTGGAGCGGTTGGGTTCCATGCACTAGCGGAGGGGCTTGCTCTTGGGGTGGCTGCTCCAAATGCTTATGGACTTGGCCGACACATGGTACTCCCGGTTTCCCTACACGGGCTCCCAAGAGGGACAGCGGTTGCAAGCTGTGTCTTCGGGGCCACTGACAGTTGGCACGCAGCTCTTGCAGCAGCAGCTTTGATAGGATTTGTGGGACCCATATCGGCGATAGGATCCATATTAGCCGGGATAGATTACAGCGGACTGGACCACGTGATGGTTGTGGCGTGCGGTGGATTACTACCCAGCTTCTGGCAGGTAATTAAGAGAGCGGTGAGGTTAGAGAGAAGGAAAGGCAGTGTGGGGATGGTGCTGGGACTAGCGTGTGCTGTTGTGTGTCTGACTTTCACGAGACTCGTGTGCTTGCACACACCCTACTGCAATTCTGCACCTGAGGCTGTTAGATGATGACTCCTTGTGAACTTACACACACTCTCTTATTCCATGTTGTAAGATATGTATACTTCATACCCTGACTTAACTCGTGTCTATACAAACTTGTCGGATGATTGGGTGAATGGAAAAGAGGATGCCTTGTACTCTTAATTTGGATATATGTTTGGGTACTGATCAAGTAGATGGGGCTTTTTCTAGCTCGAATCTACTCGAATCTTAAAACAAAACAACACTTTTTGACAAGAGGTTACTTATTTTGTTTTTTAAGTTATTGTGGTATATCTTGCAAAAGTTAATCTGTTTGCATATAGTTTCGTTTTCTTGACACCCATCAGCCATCACCATCTGTCCCATTAGACAATAAACCCAGTATTAATTAGCACCTACATAATGATAGACGCATCATTAGTTACGTAATCCATTAAAACTGATCCATTCTTGTGTTTATTTTGACCTGTAATTTGTCTACCAACAACCACAAGCACCACAAGCACCACCAACATCATTTGCTTCTATCAGTTTTTTAATAAACAATAAACAGAGAGCTTTCTCTTACTGTCTTACATAACAGAATGAAGTCTTTATTTGTATTTTATAACCTTTTTATTGAGTTTATATTCATAGTAGAAAAAGGAAACAGTAAAACTTGGCCTAACAATGACATCCAAATATTAGGATCGACCTAAGAAGGGATTCATCTTATTTATTCCAACACAAATGGTTTCAACTCAAGAAGCCTATGAACTGGCGAAAGCACACGGGAACAAAAACCTTGAAAGACTAAGATGAGATTCAATCATCCTTCTCTTTCTCTGAAATCTCTGACATCTCTGTCTTCTCCTCAACCGACTGTGATCCTGTCAGCCTCGCCAACATAACAAACGACATTCCTCCCGCAACATTATTCGCACACCTCAAAACTACTACACCGGTCTTAAACACCAAAGGCGGTAACACCTTTGCCAGCAAGAACTCAATCCCATTCAACGTTTGGTACCTCACATTCGCGCTCACTCCCATATGCGTAGCCCAAGTTAAGGAATTAAGCACAGTCGGTGGCGGTTTGTTTGGCGTTTCAAAGTCCGGGTCCATCTTCTTCCTCAGCATGATCAACCCATTAGAGATGGCAGTACCTACAAGACCTGCAGCTAATCCTACACTGGCAAAAACCATTCCTTTGTACACAAGAGTCCCAAAACGATTCATAACCGTGAAGCTACCCTGTTCAAACATATGGCTTGATGGACAGTTTCTAAAGATTCCAGGCAACGTCTGAGAGGTGCCAAGAGTTGCTGCAGTAGGAGCTAACATGTACATGAGTACAAAATTGAGAATCGAACCTACAACGAGTGTGGAGAAGACGAAATCGAGCTCGTTCAATCCGAAATTCGGGCGTGAAGCCATGTCACCGAGAACACAAGCGCTAAGTCCTACAATCTCTTCCATTAGTACCTTAAAAGGGAATTGAGGATCAGCTGCAACTCGTGATCTCCATCCTTGGATGAATAACCCTATTGGTCCCCATGGAGATGATTCTTCACCGGCTTCACCGCCTGAACCTCCAAAACCACCACCTCCCCCTCCTCCGCTTCCACCGCCGTGATTACCGATGCTTCCACCACCACCACCTCCGGCGCAAGGTTTTGGGAGATGTGGAGAAGAGAAATTGGTGTGGAGGGAACAAACTGATCCATTTCGCGGAAACGAGATTCTAGTCGTTGGATCGCGTGAGAGATTGATCACTCTCGGTAATCGTACACTGCTTTGATCCGATTTCGCCGATAATTGAAGCTTCGCCGCCATCGCCGCCATCTTTATCGACACGTACTACCGTGAATGGACGAAAGATCTGCGATCCCCTCCGAAAAATCGAAAATGGCTTACTTTAGAATCGGTAGAACGGAAGACAACAGTGTTTGTCTTTGGTGAAATTGGTGGAACCTGATCTACGCTTTAAAACCCTAGTTTTTTACAACAATCAAAATCAATCGGCCCATTTCCCACGTGCGAAACTTAAGCTGTTTTTGAGCCCCCACGTGCCATTAACACTCAACTACTTCACCAAGACACCAACTAAACATATTGAGCTGACCCACCACCATTGTTGATTTTTCTTACTTATATAGGATAGGATTCACTTACTTTTAATTTCGGACAAAAGCATTGAACTTTCAATTTTTTTTTTGGATGGAAAGACACAACTTTGTTCGCCAAATTGGACGCTTTCTACATGTATATATACAAGTTCAACACATGAATAAATCCAAATAATGTATCTTAATGGTTTGCAATGCATCAACCATCTACGACCACTATTTTTTCTTCTTTTTTATGAAGATTTTTCTGTTATGACCGCTATTTTACATTCTTTCTTTTGTATTTAACATTATCCTCTTTTTCCCTGTGTGAGAAACTGATAAGCTTTTCTTGGTGCTTAGCTTAACTAGTGTGGATCAGAGGCCAAGAAGAAGAAGCAAGAGCAGACGTCACCAACACTACTAGGTCAGTTATGCACACATACTTTTATCGGTAATTCGGTATGTCATTACAGCTTGGCCCCGGACTGTTTTCTCTCAAGTTTAGCAAAGCGAGCTCTCGCAACTGCTGCCTCTTATGTGATTCTGTGAATCAGCCCGCCAAAAGAATACTAAGCAATTTAATGTTCTGCAAGCGACTTAGCCTGCCATCGAGCTCTATCTGTTCATGCCTTCTGATGAAGCTTGTTGACTCATGGGATGTTCTGATTACTTCTTCTCCCATTGCTTTTTAATTTCTTCTTTGTTCTTATCTTCGACTCCTAGTTGCTTTTGCAGTTTTAGATAGTCATAAATGGATACTTTGTCAGAATAAAGTTTACATGTCCTATAAGTAAATCATTCAATCTTCATTTTAATAACTTGTTATTGAATTTATTTGATTGGTTATGTTGATACAGAAAACAACAAATTTGGCTCTACCGATGACATAAAAGTATTAGGATGGGACACACACACCAGAACAAATGTCTTTTGCTTTTGTAAGAACGTGTAAAAGGTTTCAACTCAAGAAGTGATGCCTCTTGTGCCTTCTACCTATGAACAACAGAAACAACATAGGAACAAAAAAACTCTAAAAGATATTCAATCCTCTTTCTCCTTCTCTGATATCTCTGACATCTCTATCTTCTTCTTCTCCTCCTCCACCGACTGTGATCCAGTCATCCTCGCCAATATAACAAACGACATTCCTCCCAAAACATTGTTCACAACCCTCAAAACTATCACACTTGTCTTAAACACCAATGGCGGCAACGACTTTTCCAGCAAAAACTCAGCCCCATTCAACGTTTGGTACCTCACATTGGCGCTCACTCCCATATGTGTAGCCCAAGTTAAAGAATTCAGCAGCGTAGGTGGCGGTTTGTTTGGCGTTTCGAAGCTCGGATCCATCTTCTTCCTCAGCATGATCAACCCGTTCGAGATAGCGGTTCCAACAAGACCTGCAGCTAATCCCACGGTCGCAAAAACCATTCCTTTGTATACAAGAGTCCCAAAACGGTTCATAACAGTGAAGCTACCCTGTTCAAACATATGGCTCGAAGGACAGCTTCTAAAGATTCCAGGCAATAAATTGGAGGATCCATGAGATACTGCAGAGGGAGCTAAGAGGTACATGAGTGTGAAATTGAGAATCGAACCTACAACGAGTGTGGAGAAGACGAAATCTAGCTCGTTCAATCCGAAATTAGGGCGTGAGGCCATGTCTCCAAGTACATTGGCGCTAACGCCAACAAGCTCTTCCATTAGTACCTTGAAAGGGAATTGAGGATCTGCTGCAACTCGTGATCTCCATCCTTGTATGAATATTCCTATTGGTCCCCATGAAGAAGATTCTTCCTCTTCTGAACCTCCATAACCACCACCTCCTCCTCCGCTTCCACCGCCGTGATTACCGATGCTTCCACCACCATCACCGCCTCCGGCGCATGGAACCCCGAGATGTGGAGAAGAGAAGTTTGTGTGGAGTGAAGAAACTGATCCATGTCGTGGAAACGAGACTCTAGTGGTTGGATCACGCGAGAGGTTGATCACTCTCGGCAATCGCACATTGCTTTGATCTGATTTCGCCGATAAATGAAGCTTCGCCACCATAGCCGCCATCTTGGTACCCTATGATCTGTGAAGAATGAGAGATCTGAAATCTGAGATCTGAGAGATATTTTAGACGGAAATGGAATCAATCACAGAGCCGCTGGTAAAAAGTTGGGAACCTCGTCCAAATTTTAAAAGGAACCCTTTTTTGGTTTTCTTACAAAACAAACAATAAAAAATCAATCGGGCCCATTTCCCACCTGTGAAACCTAAAGCTATGTCTGAGCCCCACGTGTCACCACAGTCAACTACTTCACCAACCACCTCGGCCCATCATTCATAACACAATTTGCTGCCTAAAACCGGAAAATTACAATTTAGTTTTTGCTTGTGAAATTATGATGTCAACGGAAGCAAAATCATAAACTCCATTGGTGTATCTATCCCCATATACACGTAACTAGATCTTTATTCCAAAGTCAAGAATACAACTACTTCAACACATGAATAAATCCAAATTATCTATCTTTAATGGTTTACAAATGTATCAAACCCCTGTTAAGGAGGAAAACATGAGAAACTGTTGGGCTTCTCTTGGTGCTTTGTGTTTAGGCATCAGTGTGTGGATCAGAGGGTAAGCAGAAGAACCAAGAGCAGACGCAACCAACACCATTAGGCCAGTTATACACATATACACATACTTTTTTTTTTTTTTAATCTAGGATCTCTCATGCTCTTAGCGCCCTGTTTTTGGGCGTTTCATTGCATTTGAATTGAAAGGAGAGACACTACCGCTCGGCCCTGGACTGTTTTCTCTCAAGTTTGAATTCAGTAACGCGAGCTCTCGCAACTGCTGCCTCTTGATGTAATCATGTGACTCATCCTGCGAAAAAGAATACAAAGCTTATTATGTGGGTAACATTAAGTTACCTGATAGTTCAGGAGAAAAGTCTCTTAACTCTCGACCAATGCCCAAACCAAGATCCTAAATCAATCCAGAATTCCCAAATGAATTCTCCTAGTTCTCCTTTGAAACGTTCAGCTCTCAACCAACTGGCCTAAGGTCTGTTACCACTAAAGCACTAACCACCAGCTGCCTTGTTACTACAGACTAACCCAAAACTGAGACTCCTATACTACGGAACCCCCACCTTGCCTAACTAAGACTTAAAACATGCATTTACAAAAAGAAAACATTGATGAACTTGTTGCCAAATTTCAAAGCAATGTGACTCTCAGAAATAAAATGAGAAGAAGTATGTTAAAAACACGCACCACGGGCTTGACCAACTCCTCAATAATTTCTTGGGCCTGCCGCAGCTTTATATCCACAATATCAATAGGAAGATCAGCCTCAATGAGGATATGCAGCTGCTCATTGAGATGCTCATAGCCAGGCTTCCCTTTCAGTTTCTCTTCCTAGCAACAAACATATCAAAGCAAAATATGAACAAACTTTAGTAAAAAGATGGTTGGGAAACAGAATAAAATGTAGGTATGCCTTACTTTGTCAGGATCCTTAATTGATCCTTTCCCTCTAATATACACACGGCAACCTGTAGTTGCTTCCACACGCTTCAACGAATTCCCTCTAGGACCCAGAAGCCTTCCAACAAAATTGAACTAACAACCAAAAGCAGAAGAATGGTTAATTCACCTGAATTTCATTGTCTCAAAGAAAACAATACAGCAAAACTTACATCCGGATAGGTATCAACTGGAAGATCTAAACGCAAGATACGCTTCACTGGGTATGAACTTGGGCTAGCAGGCGCACCTTGCCACTCCATTGCCATTCCATGAGGACCACCTATTCTCTACAAGAAATAAAAAAGGTTACATTTTTATTACAGTTCTGAAAAAAGTAAATGTAATTGAAACATCATCCCTAGATTAAGGGTTTACAGGGTCTCTCTACAAGAGATAAAAAATGGTTCTAGTTGGAGCTCCAGAGGGATTTTCTATGAAGAATAACCTAGACAGTCGAGACTAACTATTACGTATCAGGCATACAAAGACCGAAACTTCTAACTCTTGAACGTGCAACAATCTATAGGCTACAGATGGCACCACATAGTCAAAGAAGCTACAGATGGCACCACATATTCAAAGAAGGAGATGGAGAGCTAACTCATACCTTATATTCCTTGCAGTAGGAATATTAGGCTGCTCCAACAATAGAATACATGAGCCATCCATACATATTTCATGTTGCAAGTGGATTTCAACCACAATATTCTGTTAAGAAACTTTCTATGTTCTATTAAGATATCCAGGGATGAAAAGGACGCTTCTTCAACAAACACATAAAGAAAAGCTCTAACAAAACACCGTTTGTAAGAAAGTTAAGAAGAAAAATGGCTACCTCTGGTGGAAGACCATTCCAACCACCTAATCCAGCACCGGGAGCATTAGACATAAGATTTGGTGAAGCCATTGGACTAGGACTTCGATGCCGCAACCTGTCAAAATCGGTAAACCCTTGGTTTGGCATCATTCCGGTGATCCGGAAAATTTCTGCACAACAAAAAGAAAACAAAGAAGAGAATGTCATGATATCAATCAATAAAGAGTTGGAAAGACAGAAGAACATATACTTCAGGATTTACAAAATTAATTAAAGTATTAAACAGAGATCATATGATCAATTGGGACTGTATCTATGTAGCAGTCAGCTTGATTTTCCTGAAATACATATTCAGCCATGGTTCTTAAATTTGATCTTTAACTTTTACATTACACTTGAATCTAGTTAACAAATCTGGAAGCTTTACCACTAAAACAATATAAGCTATCAAAGCAAAGCCACAAAAAACCCCCAACCAATCTTCATTAACTGAGCTAACAAGACTCGAAAGCATTAAGAGCATGAACAATCAAGAGCTGATAAAGTAGTGTGAGATTAAATATGACTAATACGAGCAAAGATCCAATTATGTGATTCAGACAAGGAGTATTAGGACAAGTAATCAAAGAGAGAAATGCTGCATAATCAAGATAAATAAACAGGAAACAAAAAAATCCAGATCTAAGAAGGAAGAAATGAGAAGAGTAAGACCTTGATTTAAGAGTCGGCTACATATAGGTAAGACTTGCATGAAAGGTCCAAGCTTTTGATGCTCTGCTAACAATTGAGATAAGTATTGACTGCAAAAGACGAGCAAAAAACAAAGAGATAAGAGATTTCACCAAAGAAGCCATAAGAGAAAGAGAGGAGAGAAGTCGAAAGATAAACACCTGTCAACATCGGAGGAAGTGGTTCTAATCTGGGGAGAAGCGGCTCTAGAAGGTGAGAAGTTATAATTATACAGACCAGACATGGTGGTTTGTGTTTTGCTGTTATCAGATATGAAAAGGAAAATAAGAAAAAGAAGAAGAAGAAGAAGAGATTTTGGCGGATAGGGACTAGTGAGGAGAAGGAAGGGTGTTGTTGTTGCCGAGGAAGAAAAGGAACAAGTAAACAGAGTCGTCACAGCAGCATTCGACTAAAAGGAGGGTTTTTTCCTGTGTGTATATAAATAAGAGAACAGGAAAAAAAATGAACATAAAAAGAGAAACTTACCGAAGACTATCGTCGGATTTTGTCAAAACATCTTTTGTGAATTATTATCTTAACCATCATTGTCATTCTATCTTATCAGTTACTGTATCATTTTATCTTATCAGTTAAAGTCTTTAGTAGAATGCTAGTATGCTATTGTGAATATGAGACTATCATTTAACCTTTTTACCCCCTTTTAATTACTTTAGTTTTTAATCCAACCCTAAAGTCTCTTTCTTTGCAACCAAAACCCTACTTTTTTTTTTGCGGTTTTAAGGCCATAACTTCCGGTGAGCAGTGTTACTTTACCATACTAAATATAAATGTAACGTTCGATATCTACAAAACGTGTCAAACAAGAAAATATATCATCAATAAACTGTCTGTAGATTTTTTTATATATATACTAATTTCTTTTTGTATATTGTGTCTTAAATATCCGTAGATTCTAGTTGCTTGCTTAGTTTGATATGTTTCATTTCATACTCGATTTAATCGCCTTTTAATCGATCGTGTTTAAGATCTTCTATAAACAAACATTACTTCCAAGTGTATACATTACTGCCTTCGTCAGCCACCTTCAGATTGTTGGAAGATAAAATGTTGTTACGAGGGAAAGCTGTAGAAGCAAACCAACCGCATTTACATGTTACATGTACTAACTTGGTGTCATAACACTACTACCAAACTTACCAAGTAGGTTATCGAGTTATTACCACCGTCCGTGACCATGTATCCTCCTATCAGAAGAAAAAAAAAAAAAAGAAAGTATCCTCCTATCCATGAAAAGAAGTATTGGGCTTTGAGATTTAAGTTTCATTAAAGAAAAAGCCCAAAAGCCCATTATCATTCAATTGAGTAGTGGTGGTCTCTGATCTCAATCTTTTAACTTGGATCTAAAACACAGAGAAGAAGCACAATCGAAAGGAAGGAGAAGACGAAGATGTCGTTGGTATGGTTGGAAGCGATGTTACCTCTCGGAATCATCGGTGGGATGCTTTGTATCATGGGCAATTCTCAGTACTACATCCACAAAGCTTATCATGGCCGTGTATGAATTTTCCCCCTTTTCTTTCATTGCGTCTCTCTCCTAGGGTTTTCTCGATTTGATCCGATTTATTGAACATTTGGTTGATGATTTGATTTGGATTTGGGATTGAGCAGCCGAAGCACATCGGCCACGATGAATGGGATGTTGCTATGGAAAGACGCGACAAGAAAGTCGTCGAGAAAGCTGGAGCTCCTTCTTCATGATCCGCTTTATCTCTTTTGTGTTCCTCAGGTCTGTTTTCATTCTCTCCTTATATGATTTGATCCGCTTTCTCTGAGCTCTTTATGAGTTTAGCCCTCTTGGATAACGATGATACTGTTTGTTTTTGCTCCCACGAGTTGAATTTCATATGCAAATCATTACACCAGTTTTGTTGTTTCATAAGCTAATTAGTGTGCCAGTAAAGGTTTAAAATGTGTGATCATAAGTGTTTTTGGTTCTTGAAAATGGATACGCTTTAAGAGCTTAATAAGAGAGGCACTGTGGATATAGCTAGTGTATCAGTAGTATTAAGAAACAATTTGCTACTCTTAGTTCTCTGTCAGTTTGAGGCTTCAGGGCTCCTGTTTGGTTGCTTTTCTGTGTAGAAAAGTCCGTCTAGGGAACTTGCTAAATTATCCTAGACACTTCTGCTTGTTTTTTTTTGCCACTTGAAGCTTCTGGATGGTGGGTTTTTGTTTTCGCCCTGTCTAGGATGTTAAGTCTGAGAGTAACATGTTGATGTGATGTAGGGGCTTAAGGTGAAGTCTTGTGGTGACAAATAAAGTGCATTCCAGAAGAAGAGGAACCTGGGGGATCTAGTACTTTCATTCCCATTTTATTTTCCTTGGACATATTAAAGCTTTCAGAATTCAGACCGTAATGACATTTGCTTTATCAACATTTCCCTGATTGTGATATTTGTATGCTTTTTAAGTTGCATGATACACTGAACTACTCTCTTGGTGTGTGAGTGAATAAATGAATGTCTGGAAAGATGGATCATCCTAGTACTTCTCATTCCTAGTTATACTTACAAAAGCATTATCAGCTTCAGGTGTTGTTGGATTTGTTGCGGGTAGGAACTAAAATTGTATAAGATGAAGGGGAGACTGTGAAGATGCATGAGAGTCCAATGAAGCCTTGTGATGATGAATCACATGGTTTATGACTCTGGTTAATAATGGAGGATGGTTGATGAATGAGAACGGTCAAAGCCTCTGTCTCTGCTTGCAGATTCACATGGGGTCCCTTCGCTATGTCTCTTTCAAGTGGGCTCATCTCTTAATTCTTCTTCAAAATGGTCCACCTTGTGACGAAACCTATCTTTTTTTATTGTTATTGCTCGAAGGAATTTTTTATTTAATGTAACTAAATCGATCTTACCAACCAACACGACTACATAGATTCACTTCTAATTTCTCGTTGAAACGACACCAGCTTCTGCCAAAAATTACAACTCCTCAGGCAGAGAGAGTTGTTGTTCTTTCCTTTAGTTTTCATGTGTTCACAAACAATCTTTTGTTTATGATAAACTAGAATAATCAAATCTGTTTTTCTTTCTTTCATATACGTAACGGGTTCTTATTACATTTTTACAGCAAGGGAAAATATGAAAGACCAATCCTGAGAGGAATCTCTTTTACTCTTTAGTGAAAAAGAAGCTTGTTTTTATTTTACCGTTGAGACCTGACTTTGATGTATAGTTCTTTAGCTTTCCCATAGAACAGATAACGGAAAAAAGAAGAAAAGAGACGAATATTCTACAACTGTAGTTTCCTTTTGGCCAAAACTGGCAATTATTTGGATGTCCTTAAAACACAATTAATACTGCATTTATACAGTTCACTTCATCTACTTTTCCAAACACCGACCTTAAGATTTTGGAATGATGAGACAACAAATCTCCTGGTATCTGCAGAAGTCAGAGAAGATATGCAATGCTAACTTAGCCATTAACGTTGTTGTCATGACATTTTACTTGATATGAGCAAGAGGCCACAAGAAGGTCCAAGCCAAGCTAAACTAGTCAACTTTTTTCCCAATTTGTTCAGAGCAAAGATTTGTAGCTGTGCACATTGTTACATACCTGAAGTGGCAAATGGTGCTTTTTCAAAATGTGAAATGCAAAATCCATATGAACAAGATGACTTTTCGTGTAAAGTAAGCAAACAAGACAATCCTAGATGTAAACATAAACGCTGTAACATTGCAAACCTTCTTCAACAGAAAGACAGAAATACTAAATTCTACATATACAATCAATCCTCTTTGATGTCTTACCTCTTTGGTTCCAAAATCAATTGGTTCATCGGTGATCTTCTCATTTAAGATGTATTTTAGGGTCAACAAGTTGCATGAAGCATATATAGCTACAACAAATGTTAAAACTAGAGTAGCACTTGAATCTCATGAACACACTAGTAGTACCTTTTGAAGAATGCTAAGCTCAAAGTAACATAGTTGAGTATGGATGATATTCATCTTCTTCAACTGTCTGCTTTCCAGACAAAAGATGTTGACATTATTACAAAAAAAGAGCAAAGCTTTACAGCAAAAGTAGTTAGAAGAAAACAAAGTGAGTGCACTCCAGAAACAATCCAACTCTTTTCATTTCCATGGAGCGACCACCAAAGTTTTGTGATTTGAGAGCACAACAAGAAAACAATATTACTTATTTCCTTATCACCAGCAGAGAAACAAGATGAATGTGGAAGTATCAACTTGCTAACCACAAAGAAAAAATAATCAGAAAAAAAAAACACTTTACCAAAAGAAGAATAATTGAAGATGAAAAAAAAGAAGAAGACAGTAACAGATGATCAAGAAGATGTGATGATGATGATGTACACAAAGTATCCTAAGCTGCGTATTCGGTTTCAAGCATTGGTTGTGTACGAGTCGTAGTAGCAGTTGGTGCTCTTGTTTCTCCGACCTGAGTCATTCTCAGAGCTTCCCCTGTCTCTCCAGCTCTCTCCATCTCCCTCATTTTCTCTTGCTTCTTGTAATTCCGACATCTCAAAACCAGAAACAGTAAAAGCCCCAACAGTATCAATCCACCTACCACCGACCCAACAATGATCCAAGTCTTGGAATTGGATTCAGAGCTCTTCTTCTTCTCCTTCCTATCCACTGGAGGAGCTGGACTCGGAGCAGAAGCCACAGATTTTACCACAACTGAGAAATGTCCCTGATGCTCAGTCTCGCATGTGTTTCCAGGCTGAATCGATTCGCTGAAACTCGCTTCACCTTTAGAATCAAATCTAACACACTTAGCACTAGACCCTTGCGGGATTCGTTCCAGATCAGAGAAATCGATTCTGATAGGATCATTAGACACCCTCAAATCAAGCTCAGGCAAATTAACCGCAGAGAGATTCTTAGCATCGTAAGCGAGAAGACCCAACACAGGAGCGACATAATCATAACCAGACAAAGGGTAATACAAGTGAGAGAAATTAGCTAGGTTTTGATAAACCAATACAAGCCTTGTCACATACGGCTTAACGATAACGCCGCTGGGAATTGAGAACTCTTTAAAAGGAGTAACTCCACGTTTTCTAAAGCTTCCGCTTCTGAGTCTCATGGCAGCGAGTTTGATCCCAGTCAAATTGGAAGGAACAGTAGAAGCTTCGTAGAGAATGCCGGTACGAGGACGAACAAAGGCTCTAAAAGAGTAATCTTGAAGAAGAGCATCGAGAGAAGAAGAAGAAGCATTGGGTTGAGATTGAGCAGAGAGCTTTTGTAGACGAAGAGATAGAAACAGAAGCAGCAACTGGAGACAACGGAGAAACCCCATTGTTGTTGGGTAAGATTTTTTTCTGTCGCCTCTGGAGCAAAAAATCCCCCAGGGCGAGTCAAAGATGTGAGACTCAGTAATAAAAAGTCGCCGTCACGTCTGAAGAAGAGTTCAAAAAGGGCAAAAACGGGAATTGGTGGTGTAGAGAAGAACAAATCGAGGAATGAGGGTAAAGGAGCAATGGAGGAAGGCGGAGGAGGAAGAGAGAGAATGAATGGTCGCCGGTGGAAAAGAGAGAGAGAGAGAGAGAGAGAGAGAGAGAAGGAGAGAGCCAAAAGGACAAAAAGGAGAAGAAGAGTGTTGTCGTCAGTCCCATTTGTTGTTCACAAAAAAAAATTTATACAGCCTGTTCATCTGATTTTTTCTCCTTTACACATTAAAAATTAATTATAATTTGTTTTTTTACTTTCCTTTTGGACCAATCATATTGATTCATTGCGGCATTCAATTTCGCCGTAACAGTTGTCCGTCTACCCCTTATTGTTGTTATCTGTATCTCTCTCTCTGTATATTTCCATATACTGTATGATTCTACTTTTGTTTTATCTTTTTCCTTATCCTTCTTGGCCCATTTATCTACTTTGACCACGTCTCATCTAGTTTCAGGCTTTTGAAAGCCCAATATATATGCACTCGAGTTTTTATCTTTGGCCCATTATAAATTGTTTTCTAGCCTTCTACCAACTTTGTGAAGGCAGTTAATATGATGATACTGAAGAACAGAAGAAATGTACTTAACCCTGAAATTCTTACATGATTTTACGGTTTCATTTCATATAGTTTTTTTTTTTTGGTTTTCACTTTGATCTGTTTTACCAAAATTAAACCATTTGTTGTTCGTGTAGTTTCAGTTTGACTTAATGAAAATCTCAAGGTTTAGTTTGGTTTCGGTTGGCTTTTAGTTAAAAGACTTAAAACATATTTTTAGTAATTATATTTTATTTTTAAAAATATATACATAAGCTTCTTTTTTTTTGTCAAAAACTAAATATTTAATTAATAATATTAATTTGGATTTATTTGGTATAGTTTGATTTAAATACACTAAAATCCGTTTCGGTTTTCCGGTATCCCAGTTGATAAAACTTACCAATTTTTGATCAAATTTTGGGTTCAATTTCCGTTTAAACAATTAAGTTGACTCTGGTTTGACTTTTTCTTTATACCACTTTCTACTTTTCTAGAACGCATGAGCCAGCACAGTACGACTATTAGAAACCGCATGATCCAGAACTCGTAACATAGCAGCTAAAACTAGAACATTCGTCTCCTTCCATTTTTTGGGGGCTTTACAATGTTTACTTGAGCCCAAAGTTAAGCCCATTAAAATGGAACCACGTCATCACCAACTTTTCTATTTTTATAAAAACCTCATATTATTGTCAGTGATAGCTCAACCTACCATACCTCACCACATCACCCGCTTCGTCTCTGCGAATCTCCATACGACTCTTTGACAAGCTTTCCTCTGTTTCTCCGCTGGTAAGCTTCCTGTTTTCTCTTTCTCGCTTCTCAGATCTGTTCCTTAAACCTTCGATTTCTCACCGACAAGTGGATCTGAATCCACAGTTATGGGTAGCTCCGGCGACGTTAACTGGAAACTTGCGGACCACCCCAAGCTTCCCAAAGGCAAAACCATCGGTTTAATTGTTCTTGATGGATGGGGTGAATCTGATCCTGATCAATACAATTGCATCCATAAAGCTCCCACTCCTGCCATGGATTCCCTTAAAAACGTATGTTTCCTTTTTTCCTTTTTTTTTTGTTTCCACATATTTTCTCGATGATTTGGCTAGATTTTGATTATGGGTTTCAACGGTTTGATTTGATTCTTCACAGGGAAGACCCGACACATGGAGGCTGATCAAAGCCCACGGTACTGCCGTTGGCCTCCCCAGCGAAGACGACATGGGAAACAGTGAAGTTGGCCACAATGCTCTCGGAGCTGGTCGAATTTACGCTCAAGGTGCTAAGCTTGTTGATCTCGCTCTTGCTTCTGGGAAAATCTATGAAGATGAAGGCTTCAAATACATCTCTCAATCTTTTGAGAAAGGCACTGTGCACCTTATTGGTCTTCTAAGCGATGGTGGAGTTCACTCTCGTCTGGATCAAGTCCAGGTACCCAATTGTCACCTCTCTACAATTCTCTTGAAACGTTGGCGTTTGTTAATTTTCTTGAATTTGGTTCTGTTTGGTGCAGTTGCTGCTTAAGGGTTTTGCAGAACGTGGTGCTAAGAGAATCCGCGTCCATATTCTTACTGATGGTCGTGATGTTTTGGATGGTTCTAGTGTCGGCTTTGTTGAAACTCTTGAAGCTGACCTCGCTGCTTTACGTTCGAAAGGTGTTGATGCTCAGGTTGCATCTGGTGGAGGTCGTATGTATGTTACAATGGACCGTTATGAGGTAGGGAATGCTTGTGAGATCTTGTATGAATGTCTTGCCTTGTCTAGTTGAGACATTGATTATTAGGCTTTGCTTTGGATTTCTGCTTTAATGGAATTATGATTTCCTTCCTTGCAGAATGATTGGAGTGTTGTTAAACGAGGTTGGGATGCACAAGTCCTTGGAGAAGCTCCCCACAAATTCAAAAGTGCTCTTGAAGCAGTTAAGACACTGAGGGCCGAACCTGGTGCCAATGACCAGTATTTGCCTCCGTTTGTTATTGTTGATGATAGTGGAAAAGCTGTGGGTCCAATTGTTGATGGTGACGCAGTTGTTACATTCAATTTCCGTGCTGATCGAATGGTCATGCATGCAAAGGCCCTTGAATATGAAGATTTCGATAAGTTTGATCGCGTACGAGTCCCTAAGATACGTTATGCAGGAATGCTCCAATATGATGGAGAGCTTAAGCTTCCTAGCCACTATCTTGTTTCCCCACCATTGATTGATAGAACTTCTGGTGAATATCTGGCACACAATGGCGTTCGTACTTTTGCTTGCAGGTTAACTTTTCGAATCTCTCAATTCTCTCTTTGCCATTTGTGTATTTTCTTCTATTGCCGTTTTCTGGTTTATACTGGAATTGGAATTAGAAATGAAATTGTCATAGAAGTAATCCAGTCTTCTTTACTTGCTCGTTAGAGGTCAATTGTATGCTTGTGGTTTGTTTGCTGATTAAAACTGGTGAAATGGCCTAGCTCACTTTTTCTTGATGAGATTATACAGCTATTGACCCATGCAAAATTTATTTCACTGAAACAGTGAGACTGTGAAGTTTGGCCATGTAACCTTCTTTTGGAATGGCAACCGCTCTGGATATTTCAATGAAAAGTTAGAAGAGTATGTTGAGATTCCAAGTGATAGTGGAATATCATTCAATGTCCAGCCAAAGATGAAAGCTCTGGAAATTGCCGAGAAGGCAAGGGATGCTATCCTTAGTGGCAAGTTTGACCAGGTAAGGTGTATTCTCTTATCACATTGTATCAATCCATTAAAAGAATTGGCTTCTGAGTTTGGTGTGAATGGATCAGGTGCGTGTCAACCTGCCAAATGGAGATATGGTGGGTCATACTGGTGATATTGAAGCAACTGTTGTTGCCTGTGAAGCTGCTGATCGTGCTGTGAGGGTATGGTTTTAATTAAATTTGTGATATGGGGATGTTAGAAATCGTTCTTAGTAGCAATGACTCACTTAGTTTTGGTGCCTGGTTTGCAGACAATCCTTGATGCCATAGAGCAGGTCGGAGGGATATACGTTGTGACTGCAGATCACGGAAATGCCGAGGACATGGTTAAAAGGGACAAATCTGGCAAGCCCGCTCTCGATAAGGAAGGGAACCTTCAGATTCTTACCTCTCACACCCTGAAACCAGTAAGTTCTAGCAATACTAAAACAATTTGTGTTATGACCATTGCAACTGAGCATAGATTAAGCATGAGAGGTTGTATTACCATAAGTACCATAAGTGGTTGGTGTGTCTTATGTGAAATTTGGACATGATGTATGTGTGCAGGTGCCAATTGCCATTGGAGGTCCTGGCTTGTCAGCAGGAGTTAGGTTCAGACAGGATATCGAGACACCTGGGCTTGCGAATGTAGCTGCGACAGTGATGAACCTCCATGGATTTGTGGCCCCGAACGACTATGAGCCAAGTCTAATTGAAGTAGTCGACATGTGATGATTCTTGTTGTTGTAGTTCCCTTGAAAATTCCCACCTTGAGCCTCTCTCTTGACTCTGATTCCCTTTTTAAGTTACTATTTTCACCGCTCTCTAATAAGGCTCGTGATTTTTGGGGAGCCATACTCGCCGGCCCTCTCACGATGTTGTTCAATGTTCACGTTATAAACTACGTTTGATTGTATCCTTTCCGTCAAAACATAACTTCATTAAAAAAAGGTTTTTAGAATTACCAAACGAATTACATATGAATTCTTTCAATGTAAAGTTAAAGGTATTATGAGACTTTGTGGACAGTGTCAAACATTCGGACACATGGGAGAATATTAGAGTAAAGTTGAAAAGAAAACTTTCACATCGAAAATAGCAAAAAATCACAAACAATATACTGTAAATAGAAAACTATCTTATGTAATTAATATCATACAAAAGAAATAGGACTTGATCAGTTTATAAATATATTTCTTATTTTGTACATTTACAAATATCATATTCATATAGAAAAAAATAAAAACGAAGTTGGAAAAATTTGGCAATCAAAATAAAAATTGAACACTTCAATTTATATCCTTTTATATAATAATAATTTTTGGTATAAGATATTTGCAAATTGATCTGGTTCGGTATGGTAGACAAAATAATTTTCCACGCTACCCTTCCAGCCGTCCATTCACTATTTGCCCTCAACGATGCCAAATGACGCTCCAGATTCCTAGCGCAAGATCTAACGGTTAGCAAGTAAAGTAGTACCATCACGAAAAAGTCAATTCTATCAAAACGTAAACATAATCGACGGTTAATAAGCCAATCAGTATAATCCAACGGATATTAAACAGCGAGGCCCATATGCTACTGTTTGTAGATTATAACTCGTCCCCACTGGCGAGTGACGACCGAGACTCTGCGACCCTATTTTTCGAGACGATAAAAGGGCAAAGAATCGCTCATTTCAAAGCTCGCCTCTTCACCACAGAGAAAACTTCGTCTCTCTTCTTTGCTTCGCCCTCTCATTTCCTGTGAGATAAAGGCGGAGTTTCTCTCCAGATATTTTGCTCATCCATCGATTCTTAGGTACGACTCGTTTCTCTCAGATCTGTCATTCTTTATAATCTCCTTTGTTCTTCAACAAATCATTGTTATTCTTGTTTCATCGATCTGTGTTTTTCTTAGATCTATAAGGTAAATGAGATGTTTCGGTTCATAGATCTGATTGTTGTATTGCTAGATGATGTTATATCTGCTTGCTTGAACTCCGATCGGAATGTTTTGAGCTCATTTTCGAATCTTTTGTGTATCGGTTTTATAGATCTGCTTCGTTTTGTGCATTTCTCTGATCTGATGATCTTCTAGTGATCGAAATCGTTTGGATCTGTTGACTTTAGTTTAAAATGTGTTGGATCTGATGTTGCGACTCCATTAATGGAAATTGTGATTGTTGTTAAACCAGATTTAAGGTTTTGTTCTGAAAATTTACACGATCTTTGCGCTATCATATGTCATGGTAGATCTTGGTTCATTGTATCAACTTGCTGCTTCGATAGTTTTTCTTTTGTATGTTGTTCAAAGAATTATAACTAGCAATCGTGTTTTCAGTCATTCAGACTTTTGAATTGTCAACTGTGATTTCCAATAATCTTGGATTGTTTGGTTGGAAAAGCATTTTCTGATTAGTCTTGGCTGGTTTGTATGATGATATTCACGTCTGGTTTCTCATCAATGGTTATGTGATTTTGCAGAGTTCAAAATGGTTGATCAAGTTCAGCACCCCACTATTGCGCAGAAAGCTGCTGGGCAGTTCATGCGTTCAAGTGTTTCCAAGGACGTCCAAGTGGGTTACCAGAGGCCTTCTATGTACCAGAGACATGCAACCTATGGAAACTACTCCAATGCTGCATTTCAATTTCCTCCCACATCATCCCGGATGCTGGCAACCACTGCTTCTCCCGTGTTTGTTCAAACTCCAGGAGAGAAAGGGTTCACTAACTTTGCCCTTGACTTTCTGATGGGTGGTGTTTCTGCTGCCGTCTCAAAGACTGCTGCTGCTCCTATTGAGCGTGTTAAGCTTTTGATTCAGAACCAGGATGAGATGATTAAAGCTGGCAGGCTTTCTGAACCCTACAAGGGTATTGGTGACTGTTTCGGCAGGACGATTAAGGATGAAGGGTTTGGTTCTCTATGGAGAGGAAACACTGCCAATGTTATCCGTTACTTCCCCACTCAGGTTGGTTGAGTTTCATACTCTTTTCTTATTATAGCTTTTGAGAAAAGATAATTTTGTGCTAACCTCCCTTTTTGTCCATTGTAGGCCTTGAACTTTGCCTTCAAAGATTACTTCAAAAGGCTTTTCAACTTTAAGAAGGACAGAGATGGTTACTGGAAGTGGTTTGCTGGTAACTTGGCATCTGGAGGAGCAGCTGGTGCCTCTTCCCTTCTGTTTGTGTATTCCCTTGACTATGCCCGTACCCGTCTAGCTAATGATGCCAAGGCTGCAAAGAAAGGAGGTGGTGGTAGACAGTTTGATGGTCTTGTGGATGTCTACAGAAAGACACTCAAGACTGATGGTATTGCTGGTCTATACCGTGGATTTAACATCTCCTGTGTTGGTATCATTGTCTACCGTGGTCTGTACTTTGGACTCTACGACTCTGTGAAGCCTGTTCTCCTCACTGGAGACTTACAGGTTCGTCTTGTTGTCTTTTTCTCTGATCTGTGTGCTCTCTTATCATTGGTAGATTTTGACTTGTTGTGGTCGTTCTCTTTGGTTATTTCAGGACAGTTTCTTCGCTAGTTTTGCTCTTGGATGGGTTATTACCAACGGTGCGGGTCTTGCATCCTACCCCATTGACACTGTCCGCAGAAGAATGATGATGACGTCTGGTGAAGCAGTCAAGTACAAGAGTTCGTTGGACGCCTTCACCCAGATCCTCAAGAACGAAGGAGCCAAGTCACTCTTCAAGGGAGCTGGTGCCAACATTCTGCGTGCTGTTGCAGGTGCTGGTGTGCTTTCCGGTTACGACAAATTGCAGCTGATTGTCTTCGGTAAGAAGTACGGATCAGGAGGTGCTTAAGCATTGCTTCTTCCTCCTTTTTCCGATTTTAATTGCGGTTTTAAGACCCGCAAGAAACTGAGATGTTGATGAAATTTTTTTTGCTTAAGACTTAGGGAGGCATGTGCCCTAAACCAAATTTTATATCCTTCTGACGCTAAACTTTTTTTTTACTTATGGAATAATTCGTGTTTGAGAGAGTTGTTAGACTCTTCGATTTAAAAGAATTTTGGATTTATTGAGTTATATTTTCCTTATTCTTATTTGACGACCATTTTAATTATAGTCTTAATCAACCTGCAATATTGATTTGGTTAGTATGGCTGTACGAGTATCTACAATCTAGTTCAGGGAATAAGTTGTAATAAAAAACGTGCGCATTAATCGTGCATCTTAGAATTCCTGTACAACTCTTCTATCTTTAAAATAACACAGATCCGCTTTCTCGACTCTTCTTTGTCTCACTTAACTTCCCTTGCTAATTCTACATAACACTCATATTGCATCCATATCAATATCAGTAAATTGGAGAGAAGTAAATGCATAAGCATAGAACAAATGAGAGTGAAAAAAGCTACTATGCAACAATTTCTTCTTCTAAATCGCCCTTAAGTATCACCCAACTCTAATTATTTTTGTGGAACATTCACAGAGAGTTTCACATCAAGTGAATCAATAGAACCTCCAATAAGTAGACACCAAACAGAGATTTGAGTTGACAAAAGGTGTTTCTGTAAGCTTTGAAATATAATAAAAATAGAGTGATGTAATAGTGATTAAGAATCTAAAGACATTCAAAAGGATCCATTGCCTATGTCCTTTTGCCATTTGTCTGCTGCTATTGGATGCATTTTGATCCGACAAGGACTTCACATCTCAAATCACCATGTCAATTGTTTGGTGAAACAAAATAGAGCAAAAGTAGTGGTGACAAAGTAGGGTTCATAGGTGGTTGGTTAGTGTAAAGAGAGATTAGATAGAAAATGGGAGTGGAGGTTGTGTAATAGAGACCTCAATTAGTAAAGTGAAACTGTGTCCCCAAGAGACTATAATTGAGTCTTTATGGAGCTCCGTGCCACACATCCCCCTCTCGGCTTTTCTCACGTGCTCTGAATCATATATCACCAAAAAAAAGCAGAGATGCTTTTTTTTTTTGGAGTCAAGATTACGAAATTGAAAGTGCATTATAAAGTCTATTAGAGGGTTTTTAAAAATCCGATTTCAAGAAAAGTAAAGTGTTCAAAGCCTATATGTTTCTGAAAGGCTCCTCCTCAAATTCATCGTCAAGGTCACAATGGGTATTATATCGGACAGTGCTCAATCTCATTCGTCTTCCTCTGCTCCTCCTCCTTCCATCTTCTCCAGCTCCTTTGCCACTCGGTCTGTTATCTATCTCTTTCGTTCTAACATGTCAAAGTTTGTTCCTTTTATGCAAAATCACATAGAGATTTATTACGATGCATAAAGGATTCGTTTTTACCATTTGAAACTGCAGCATATTCTCAGACGTTGCGGGAGACATCACAATTGTTGTTGATGGAGAGTCCTTTTTACTCCACAAGGTTAGTGATCTGTTTTTTTTTTTTAACACACACACAATGTGTTCGACGAAATTTCAATTTACGGTGTTTGATATTTTTTTGCAGTTTCCTCTGGTGGCTCGGTGTGGAAAGATTAGGAAAATGGTGGCAGAGATGAAGGAATCATCTTCAAACCTCTCGTATACAGAGCTACGAGACTTTCCAGGTGGGTCTAAGACGTTTGAACTCGCCATGAAGTTCTGCTATGGCATCAACTTCGAGATCACTATCTCCAACGTGGTTGCTATCCGTTGCGCAGCTGGTTATCTCGAGATGACAGAGGACTTTAAAGAAGAGAATTTGATCGCACGGACTGAGACTTACCTCGAGCAAGTCGCGTTTCGCAGTCTTGAGAAGTCTGTGGAAGTCCTCTGTTCTTGTGAAACGCTTCATCCTCAAGACATTGCTGAAACTGCCCGCATTCCTGAAAGATGCGTGGAGGCCATCGCTGTGAATGCTTGCAGAGAACAGTTAGTTTTGGGGCTATCGCGGCTGAACCGAGGCAACGAGTCAACGGAAGTCAACCGAGGAGATAGTCCTGAGTGGTGGATTGAAGACCTCTCTGCTCTGAGGATTGACTATTACGCACGAGTTGTCTCTGCAATGGCTAGAACAGGCTTACGGTCAGAGAGTATCATAACGTCTCTGATGCATTACGCTCAAGAATCGTTGAAAGGTATTCGAAACTGCAAGGAGCGAACCAAGCTTGATTCAGGTACAATTGAGAATGAACAGAGGAACGTCATTGAAGCCATTGTTAGTCTTTTCCCGAATGACAAAGTCCCTCTGAGTTTCCTCTTCGGAATGTTGAGGGTCGGGATTACTATAAACGTAGCCATCTCTTGCAGGCTCGAGCTCGAGCGGAGAATCGCTCAGCAGCTGGAAACAGTCTCTCTCGATGATCTACTCATACCTGTTGTCCAAGAAGGTGATTCCATGTATGATGTGGACACTGTCCATAGAATACTCGTCTGCTTTCTGAAGAAAATAAAGGAGGAAGAAGAATATGATGAAGACTGCTGTTACGATAACGAGACCGAGAATCTTATTGGTTCTACGTGCCACAGCTCATTGCTGAAAGTGGGTCGGATCATGGATGCATACTTGGCAGAGATTGCACCAGACCCGTGTCTGAGTCTCCACAAGTTCATGGCTTTGATAGAGATATTGCCTGATTACGCACGTGTCATGGATGATGGGCTATACAGAGCCATTGATATGTTTCTAAAGGTAAAGTTTTTTTTCTGTGCCTTAATAGGGAGGCTCTGTTATTGCAACATTTTGTACTGATGAGAATGTCATTGTAATGATGGTTAGGGGCATCCCTCGCTGAACGAACAAGAATGTAAGAGTCTCTGCAAATTCATAGACACTCAGAAACTCTCACAAGAAGCATGCAACCATGTGGCTCAGAATGATCGGCTACCGGTGCAGATGGTGGTTCGAGTTCTCTACTCGGAACAACTGCGGATGAAGAATGTTGTGTCCGGAGAGTCAGGGGATGGGTTATTGTTGTCGTCTCAGAAACTTAGTAGCGGGAACCCGAGCGGAGCTGTGTCTCCGAGAGACACTTATGCATCGCTGAGGCGGGAGAATAGAGAGCTGAAGCTGGAGATCTCGAGGGTGAGAGTGAGACTGACCGAGTTAGAGAAGGAGCAGATTTTGATGAAACAGGGGATGATGGAGAAGTCAGGTCATGGTGGAACATTGCTGACCTCGCTTTCCAAAGGGATTGGGAGGATTTCGATATTTGGTGGAAGACCTACAGAAGAGAAGCTACGGAAGGCTAACCGCAAATCTAGGTCGAGGTTGGAGAGAAAAACAGTTAGGAGCCGACCAGAGTCTATGTTTTAGGTAGCTTGGAACATGTAAATACCATATGCATTCGCAAGAAAATGGGGTGGTTATTGAGTATTATATATCTTATTAAAATCTTGCGAGTATTGGATTGCGATTACTCAAAAGTATTTTAGAGGAAATTGACTTTAATAGATTTTCTGTATCATTTTGTGAGCAGTTATTCTCTCTTGACAACATTTTAAAGATGATTAGATGAAAAGGATGCGACAAACTAAAAACAGTTGATCTCCTAAAAAGTGACAATCCTTTTGAAAGTGTAGCAATGCCAAAATGTGTCACTTATTGAGGCATTGGCAAAATATTGTAAACTTGGGGTGCTGGGATCATGCTCTGGAGGTTTCCGGAGCTCCAACGAGGCGCGTTCGGATCTGCAGAGATGAGAAGAAGAGTTAATTGGAGAATTTGGAATGATGAGAAAAGAAGAACATTCCTAAGCGAAAAGACTGAACCTGGGGAAGCTTCTGTCTGAAGGCGACGTCAAGGCGTGCGTCTAAAGTGTTCTCACAGACAATCTTGCCGTCTTGAGAGGCCAGCACCACCCCACCCGAGCTTCACCATTCACACACCACCATTATAAATCATATATATATTCGGTGCAAAAACCAGAGATAGAGATTGAGAAAGAAGTATACCAGTGAGGGTCGTGGGAATCAGGGAGCTTAGGATTAGGAGGTGGAGGAAGGAAGACCTTGTCGTCGATGGTGATCTTAGGAGACCCGACTTTGGCTTTTTCCGCGTACAGTCTTTTAGCATCCTCGATGACCGATTCAACAACCTTCTTGTCCATCTCTCTGCATCTCAGCAGCACTGATGGCTCTTTCAGGCGCAGCAAACTCTGCAGTAATGTGATATAACGGTAAGGACGTATGGATATTGTGGGCAGAAAGGATGACATATATACAAACCTCAATGATGAGACTCTTAAGAAGCTTCTTGTAATTGTTCTTGTCGTTGGAGACACGGAGAAGATCCTTAGCTGCTGAAGCTTTCATGGCGGTGACAACGTCGTCTTGTGCTTGAAGGTACTTAATCCTACTTGCATTCAGTTGCGTGGAGTAGTCGCTGAAGAGGAACATACAATATGGAATGAATTAAAGGGACTAGCAAAAGGAGAAGGAAATAGAGGAAGGAAGGCGTGGAAAAGGCTGACATTCGCTTGCGGATATCGACCTGCTTGAGCTTGCGGTCATAGTCTTGACGGAGCTTACGCTTGGCAGACTCGAGAAGCTGAAGTCTTTCGATGTTGAATTCCTCCTCGGCGGAGATGGAGATCTCATTTGCTTTCTCTTCTGCTTCTTGCCGGATGAACCGGACCATCTGCTGTATCTGCTTTGACACATCTGCATCGTTCATCTTTTTCTCTCTCAGACAACAATCACCATCTTACTCTGCTTTTATATATAACTTGAGGAGTCTCCGCTTTTTGGTGCCAAATCTTCGTTTATGGACCATTGACTCTTTCTTCATACCTGTTTTTGGAATCCTAGAGTAGATTGTGTCACCCTCATGACAATATGTGTAATGGTCTTTACCGGTTAGGTGCAGGTTAATTGAATTTGGATTAAATTTGAACCAATTCAATTTGAATTGATAAGTTTGGTACTACTCTCCCACATGCAGAGGCCATGACAGTAGTGTTGTTATAAGGCGATGTAAGTAGAAAAAAGTGATGATTCCAGGCCTCTGTGCTTTGAAGTTCTGTACATAGTAATAAACTTACATAGAAATAACAATGACAACAGAAAAATGCTGCAAACTCATCTATCATAAGTTGCAGAGGGAGAACAAAATGAGATAAGAGAATCGATGTCTTTCAAGATGATTGGGAAGAATCGCACAAACCCGCTTTCTTCATTCTTCTTTGTTCTACTTCACTTGCCTTCCTAAAGCTACACAGCACTCATATTGTACCCAGTATCAATATCTGTAAAAGCGAATGCATCAGCTCAATGCTAAAACCTGTTAATCCTCTGTGACAAATCTAGCGTGTTCCATCCCAGGTGGCGATAAAGGAGGGATGGCTGATTCATCCCCAAGAAGGTGCCTTGCAGAGATGCCCTCAGACTTGTTTTCCTTTGATGGAAGGGTCTCAGATGCAGTAGACCTGGATGAGTTGCTTTTGTGAATTGATGATAAGAACTTTTTCTTTGAAAGATTTGTAGACACTGATGAGACAACCGAGCTAAAGACACCAGATTCTTTCAATGCTTGTATAACAACCTGCATTTTACCACCAATGTAAATAACAAAGTGACTTGCAAGAACTCAACATTCCAGGATTTGTGTTTGGAAATTTGTATAATGAATTACTGCATATGTTCTTACCATTGGTGAATAGATGCGAGTCAGAATACCCTTCCTAATGAGTTTCGTCTTCACCTCTTTGTCGCCCCACACAACGTGTTCACGGTACCTATACAGGATAGATTACTTTTGCATCAAGACCAGATATTTTTGTAACCAAAATAGGACCAAACTTTTAAACTTGTTCAAAGAGTGTCAGAAGTTATCCATTGCACAAGTAACCAAGAACGATGCTAAGGTTCTTACCAGCTTAGCATTTCTTCTTCAGTTGCTGTTGACGCAATTATAAATGCCTACAATGTTTATCATCCAAACAGCATCATCAAAGAGTATAAGGAAGTGAAATATAGAGATTTTAAGAAATGACTATAAGGATTTTTAGAGATTTTAAGAAAAGATGCTCACAGATCTATCAAAGTCCAACATAAAGCATCTTTTCACGTCTTCTTTTGTAGGCTTGCAGCCACATCGATCACGCCTGGATGTTAAGTCAGAAAATTTTGCATATGTGTAGTGTAGGACAGCAGCCTCCTCCAATTTGATCTCACTAGCAAGAATTATCAGGTTAGTATTTCCAAAAAAAGATTTTGTTTCACAAACAGAAAAATTAACTATGCTGTTAACCGTAAGACCGTAACTACACTCCACTGCTAACTCCTTTAAGCTAGTTACATGGTTCTATATTAGACTAACAATAAAGTCTTATCATGTTCCTCAACCAATAGAAAATTTACTTAAACATGAGTATATGATAGACATACTTGGGAGTTTTCATGTAATTATGCCATCTGTGTGCCCCATTTGGACGAAGGTGATCTTGAACCCGAGCAACTGATTTGCCGTTACCATAAGTCAAGAAGTAATTTGGATTATTTCGTGTTGCTTCTTTGTACATTCCAAAATATGTATCTTTTGGAAGATGATCATAATTCTTCTTGAACATTGACACCTGCTTGCACCACACATATCTCAGAAGTAATACTAACATAACAAACAAAATTAATAAACCTACTCTCTTATGTAAAAACAGTAATAAACTGAATTATACCTCTGTAAAAGGATCCTTGATATCATCTCTTTCTACGCTGCTTTCCTAAACAACAAAATCCAAAACAATTATTCATAGCCAAGCCCAGATCATAAAAGAAACTTTAGACTCATAAAACTAGCTGAAAATACGAAATGCAAGAAGTGTGAAGCAGATATCACTCACGTAATTTGGAAATATAACCATATCCACATTTGGAGGAACATCAAGCAGCAACCGTCTGAGTGAGTACTCACGAGCACCTGCTGGGTATATTAGCTCATCTGTGTCAAGATGAAGTATCCAATCCATGCCGGCATCCTGATATTTAGCAAGAGCAAGAAAATTGTGAATATAACATGAGACGTGAGTAAAAATCAACCAAATAAGATCTAAAAGAATACTTACCCTTGCCATGACAATGGCCATTTCCATGTTGAGAGATTGTTTGACAAATAACTCATAATTGCAGGGCTTATAAAAGAAAGACGATAGCCACGTCTCATTCCAAATCCGGCTAATGAAGCAAAAACGAAAAAGAATGACAGTAGAATGATCAGTAGTAGAAAATACAACAAAACAATGCTACAATTTCAGAATATACAAAGACAAAACATGTACTTAGTGCCTTCTAGAGCTATAGCTTTGTCGCAAATATGCAATGGGATAGCTTACTAACCTCTTTGCTTGCTTCTCCTCAAGCTCTTTCGTCCTGTATATTACTTTCACCCCCTGAAAGAGACAATGTTACAACATTTATTGAAAATTGTGTGCCTCAAATACAATTTATACCTACAGGACTAAAGAGCTAGAGATATACAACCAAAACAAAATAAATAATGGAACCGAAGAGAGGTAGTTGAACTCACAGGAATAGACTCCAGCACTTTAGAAATACTCGGAGTAGCAGCTTTCCCTTCTACGAAAAGGAAGAATGTAGAGACTCCTAGAACCTTATGGTAGAACATCCATGGTAGAATCTGATCCAATCCAGCTGATGTGCTAGTCGTAATACATATCTGTAACAGTAGCAATGTCAAGACTCATATACATGGGCACAAAAAGTGAGGTGATTTACAATGACAGATCTGATCAAAAAATTGAACTTTAGTATTTCTCAAATCTCTATGATCCAAAAAGAAAAGAAATTGATGTTCCAGATTAGACATTGGAGTAAGATTTAAGAAAAAATGGAATTTGGAAGTCTAGATCGATCCAAAGACTTCAAATCAGGAGTAGTTACCTTAGGCTTTAAACTAGTATCAACACCAAACTTCCAATCACCATAGTAAGGAAAAGAAGGAGAAGAGCTACGAGCTAGATTTGAGCAGTCGGAAGACGATTGGTGAGACTTTGGGGAGACAGAAGAAACAGTCTCCATGCCGGGAAACACCTCGTGATTGAGATCGGAGCCGCCAGGAACCGACGTAGATGAACGAACAGAAGCAGAGGCAGGATCGGCGAGACCACCGCCTCGCCATTGGAGGATAAAGGCGAGACAAGCAAGGGAAACTGGAAGTAAAGTAAGGAGAAGGAGGAGCCTAGAGACGAATGAATGGTTTTGGGAAGAAGATGAAGATGAGGAAGAAGCAGAAATTAGTGGAGCTCTGTGATGGTGAGTCGATTTCATGGTTAGCTCCACGAATTTGAAAAAAACAAAAAAAAAAAGTTTAGGAGGAAGAAGACGAAGAAGAAGAAGAAGAAGAAAGACGCGATTCTGAGATCTTTCTTTTTATTTTATTTTTGTGTTTTGGTCGCCACTGATTCTGAGATCTAATCGATAAAATTGAACTTTTTTATTTAATTTAATTTATTATCATCTCATCTCCTTTGTTATGTATAAAAATTGGGAGATCTTCTTCCATTTTTTTTTTCCAACTGGATTGGTATTGATAGGCACCAACACGTACAACAGAAGCAACACATGGAGAAACAAATCTCCACACACATCAGACCAAGCTTCTACACTAAGCCACTATAAACTCATAACAATGGCCTATACAAAAGAAGATGCTCAAAACAACAGACCCATATAATAAAAAAAAACCAATTCAAACAGGGGAAATGACTTGATGAAAACTAAATGCAACCAAGACGGATGACTTGCTGCAACATACGATTGTAACCTGCAATCATCAGCGACATTCTGTGAATTAAGATTCGTTCCTCTGTTTGAATTAGATTATTAAGTTTTTTTTATAAAAAAAAAATATTAAGTCAATGACACTTCTTCCATTCTTAATTATTATGTTTTTTTTTTTGTTTTTGGATCAAACAAATTGATAAAATTAAATTTATTATTCAAGTTATCATCAAATCATCTCATTTTTTATGTATAAAAATAAAAATTGGCAAATCTTCTTCCATTTTTATGTTGTTCCACTTAAGGGACCTTTACATTTAAAACACTAATTAAAATATTTCACGTGTCGTCTCATTAGAATTTGAATGCTTAGAGCCCAGTAAGGATCTAGGTGGGCCGGGCCTGGTAATAAATGTATGGATCGCTGCTCATCATTACTTGCCCTTATTTGTTTTTCTTAATTCCTCATTTCCTCTCCTTCTCTTTCCATCACCTTTCTCGTTCACTTGCTTCAGATCTGGCAGCGATTTCATTTCTTCTCCAGTCTTTCTCTCGTCTCGATTCTATCTCCTAGCCATTGGCGGTCGTGTCTCACCCGTGGATCTCTGATTCTGACCCCGGGTTTGCTCTTGACGCGATCTGAGGTCAAACATGGCTGCTGCCAACGCCCCCATCACGATGAAGGAGGTCCTGACGGTGAGTTCTCCTTCCTCTTCACTCTTCTCTTTGATTAAATATATGTGTATCGCCTGGAATCGAGCGTGATTATCAACGATTAAGCTCTGTTCAGTCTCTTGATTGATTGATTCCAGTTTCCTACTGATCTCAATTCTGCTCGATCGATTTGTTACTCTCTAATTTATCCGGATTACTGGTTTGGGGAATGCATGTTTCTGATCAGATTTCTCTAAATATGCTCAGATCTGTGTTACGTTAATTTATTGATCCCGAATCTCAAGTTGTTGTCTAGTGCAATGTGCTTATGTACTTGGATCTCATAACTAAGTAAATGAACTGTGTGCCGTAATGCTTGATTTTGATTTTTCCAGCTTCCGAGCGTCGGGATCAATCAGCAATTCATCACGTTTACAAATGTTACTATGGAGTCTGACAAGTACATCTGTGTACGAGAGACGTCACCGCAAAATAGTGTTGTAATTATAGATATGAATATGCCGATGCAGCCTCTAAGGAGACCTATTACTGCAGATTCTGCTCTTATGAACCCAAACTCGAGGATCCTTGCCTTGAAAGGTTTTTGATTGTTTCCTTCTATCCAAAAAGCTGGTTTCGAGCTTATCACTTATAATACCCATAAGAGTTTCCTTGAATTCATAGTTCATAATCCACTTACCTTGCTGTTCACTTTTTTCTATAATTTTTATGTAGCTCAAGTTCCAGGAACTACTCAGGATCATCTACAGATATTTAACATTGAAGCAAAAGCAAAGTTGAAATCACATCAGATGCCTGAGCAGGTGAGTGTTGATGCAAAGATATTGTAACTCCATTATCTTTTCTGTTGTACTTCGTATAGACTCTGATTTTTTCAGTCGGATTTTTTTTGGATAATAATCTTTCATGTTCTTACAGGTTGTCTTTTGGAAGTGGATTACACCAAAGATGTTGGGGCTGGTGACACAGAATTCTGTCTATCATTGGTCAATTGAAGGTTACATATTTCAGCCTATTGTCATTTTCTTCTTATCAAGTGTTTTTGTTTCTAATTTTGCTTCGATTTTTTTTAGGTGATTCTGAGCCAGTTAAGATGTTTGATAGAACGGCCAATTTGGCCAACAATCAAATTATAAACTATAAGTGCTCTCCTAATGAGAAGTGGTTGGTTTTAATTGGAATTGCTCCTGGCTCTCCTGAGGTAGGTTTACTGCGCCACATATTAGGATGAATAAAGACATCAAAACTTCTTTCATGATGTACATTCTTGACTTATCTTGTCCTTATTATCTATCTTCTTTAGAGACAACAATTGGTTAAAGGAAATATGCAGCTTTTCTCTGTGGATCAACAGCGGAGTCAGGCCCTTGAGGCACATGCTGCATCGTTTGCGCAGTTTAAGGTAACGTCTTTGTTCTTTGGTGAGTTCATCTATGGTCTAATCTTGAACTGTAGTTTGACTTGTAACACTATTAATATTAGGTCCCTGGGAATGAGAATCCTTCTATTCTTATATCATTTGCAAGCAAGAGCTTTAATGCTGGGCAGATAACATCAAAGTTGCATGTCATTGAACTTGGTGCTCAACCTGGTTAGTTCCTCGACACAAAACTATATTTTCACTGTTATTTAATATAATTGGTTACATTTTTTAGTTGGTATCCATCTGATCTTTAAAGGCTGGCGATTTTTTTGCAGGAAAACCATCATTTACAAAAAAGCAAGCAGATCTCTTTTTTCCCCCTGATTTTGCTGATGATTTTCCTGTTGCCATGCAGGTTTGCTGTTGCATTAGAATTTCAGTTTTATTTGTAAGTCGTTAGTGAAAATTTCCTGGCACTAATTTCTCTTTTTCCTGACAGGTCTCTCACAAATTTAACTTGATATATGTTATCACAAAACTTGGCCTATTGTTTGTGTACGATCTAGAGACTGCTTCTGCTATCTACAGAAATCGGATTAGTCCAGACCCAATTTTTTTGACTTCTGAAGCTTCCTCAGTTGGGGGTTTCTATGCCATTAATAGGCGAGGACAAGTTCTTTTGGCTACAGTAAACGAGGCTACCATTATACCTTTTATTAGTGGCCAAGTATGCTAATCTTTTACGCTATTTTCCCGTTATAACCTACCCATGTCATCATGTCATGCTAAGAAATCTATGCTTTTGTATCATAGTTGAACAATTTGGAGCTTGCTGTCAATCTTGCTAAAAGAGGAAACCTCCCAGGTGCAGAAAATCTGGTATGCGATGTTTATCATGGATCTGTTGTCTTGGTGAAGTAATTATAGTTGATGAATGGCAGCTTGAAGAAAAAGAATGTCATTTGGTAATGTGAAGTTTCTCATATTCTGCTCGGATGTTGTAGGTTGTCCAGCGGTTCCAGGAGTTGTTCGCTCAAACAAAGTACAAAGAGGCTGCTGAGCTTGCTGCTGAATCTCCTCAAGGAATTCTAAGGACACCTGATACAGTGGCCAAATTTCAGGTTTCTATTTCATATCCAAGCAACTATGTGTAAACATGTTTATTTACTATTAAATGTAGGTAACACCAATTTTTCAACTCCATAATTTTGCAGAGTGTTCCTGTACAAGCTGGGCAAACTCCTCCATTGTTACAGTATTTTGGGACTCTTTTGACTAGAGGGAAGCTCAATTCATATGAGTCACTGGAACTATCTCGACTGGTTGTGAACCAAAACAAGAAGAACCTCCTGGAAAACTGGTTGGCAGAGGATAAGCTAGAATGCAGTGAAGAACTTGGAGACCTTGTCAAGGTAATCTTGAAATGGACGATTTTATTTAAAATGTGTGATATGTCTCCTATAGTATGTTGTGACGATAAACCTTTCTGTTCCAGACTGTTGATAATGATCTTGCTCTGAAAATATACATCAAAGCTCGGGCGACTCCAAAAGTTGTAGCAGCTTTTGCAGAAAGAAGGGAGTTTGACAAAATATTGATTTACTCAAAGCAGGTAAGCAACAAGATCTATAGTAACCTCTTCTGTTATTTTTACCCTAAAGTTCTGTGTTTTCATGAATTACCATTGTTTCATATTGTGACTTCAGGTTGGGTACACACCTGATTACCTGTTTCTTCTGCAAACCATACTCCGTACAGATCCTCAGGTTAGTATGGTGCACTCTTGATACTTGCAACATACTAAACTATGAATGGACTTGTTTACTGAATATCAATTAACTTGTTGAGTAATTTTGACCTGATGTTATATAGAATGAAGAAATATTTTTCCACCGTATTAATATCAATAGTCTTTTAATGTTATTTGCAGGGAGCAGTAAATTTTGCATTAATGATGTCTCAAATGGAAGGAGGTTCTCCAGTTGACTACAACACCATCACTGATCTTTTTCTTCAGGTAGGTGAATATATTTTGTATGCACCAATATTCGTAGCTCATTACTTGTTCTACTCCTACATACAGAATTGTATAAAGTAGATGTAAATTATCATGTACTTATTTATCTATTTGTGCATATTCAGAGAAATCTGATCCGTGAAGCGACTTCTTTCCTTCTGGATGTGCTAAAGCCAAATTTACCTGAGCATGCTTTTCTGCAAACTAAGGTTTGAAAATAGTTGCCACCTTGTATCTCTATGTGTTTTCTCTACTCACCTTCTTTCCCCAGACTGTTTAAATAATTTGTCAACACAGGTTCTGGAGATCAATTTGGTAACTTTTCCTAATGTGGCTGATGCGGTATTAGCAAATGGGATGTTCACTCACTATGACCGGCCTCGCATTGCTCAACTTTGTGAAAAGGCTGGACTTTATATCCAATCCTTGAAGGTTGGTGCTCGTTTTTTACCATTTTTACCGACCAAATAGATGTATCATCTTTTCACCTTCCAACTTCTTTTCCTTTTGATTTGTGCAGCATTACTCAGAGTTACCTGATA